AATTCGCACATGGCAATTCACTGAAAACGAGAACTACAATAGCTATACAATTAAGACAAAAAGGCCCTCTTCTGTATTGTTTTTGCCTGCAAAAAAATATAGAAAGCATCTTGGGTGCGATACCACTTTACTTGTACTGACTGAACAATGGAAGAAAGAACTAGACAACAACAAGATCATCGGTCTGGTCTCCATGGACTTAAGTAGAGCATTTGACACCCTGCCCTATGACTTAATTGTGTCTAAACTACGCTAGTATGGAGCCGATGAGAGAACACCTAGTCTCATAAAGGACTACCTCTCTAATCGTCTTCAGAAAGTTAAGCTTGAGGATAGAAACTCAACCTGGCAAGAAGTTGATGCGGGGGTTCCCCAGGGATCGATACCCGGGCCGTATTTTTGAATATGTTTATGAATGACCTAGTTTACTTAATGAAAAACTGCAACATATCCACTTACGCTGACAACACTCAAATTTTCGCCGCTGAGACAGAACCAGACAAACTGCAGGAGATGATTAACACCGATTTAGCTGCTATTGAGCGATGGTATGATACAAACGGGATGGAACCACTCAAAATATCAAGCAATGGTTACGGGCAACTTACAAACTCCGAAACAAAAGTTCCACTGCGATAATACAACAATACCAGTTAGTGAAGACCTCACCTCTTGGTGTCACTATTGACAACAAGCTGAACTTCGATAAACAGATCGCCAATGTGACAAGAAAGGTATCCCAACAGCTTGCAGTACTGAGAACGTTTGAGAAACATTCTACCTCGATATAAGGAAAATAATTTAATCATCTCTTATTGCCCCCCATTTTGACAACGTTTCTGACGTGTGGTATTTCTGCAGCAAAACCGCATCCGATAAACTAGAAAAAGTAAACGAAAGAGCTCTGCACTTCGTGCTCAAAGATAAAAGCAGTCCTTACACAGAATTACTACTACTACGAAGATCAACAACCTATAATCTTCGCGGTACAGATTTTCTACCCTCACCCAAGGTCAACTCTACAAAGCACGGTTTGAGATCTGGGCGATACCTGTCCCCGAAGATATGGAATGCATTGCCGGAAGCATTAAAACATGAGTCAATCTAAGTAGCTTTAAAAGACGCTCGAAAAAAGAAAAAATGTCATACAGTTATATTGATCTGTAAAAGTTTTATCGTAATTATTATTGAACTGTACATAGTTTTATTTTATTTTATTACCGACATATTGACAGATTTTTATATCGTAGACTGAGATTAAATTTGTATCTTAGTGTTTTTTCATTCCTCTTCTCGCAATATTTTTATTTGTGACAATACCCACAAAATAGCGATACTTACAATACTTTAATGAGCTAAGCGTATTTGACCACATTAATAAAGTTACTTACTTACTTACTCTGGAGGTGGTCTTTAAAATTGAAAACTAATGAAGCGAGAAGGCCCTCCCTTCCCTCACTGGTCTGTTCGCTTAAGGCTTTTCTCAATGTTCCATCCAATATTGCCACTTGAACACTCGAAGGAAATATTGAGCGCTTGCTTGCCTGTAGATATTCCTGCAATACATGATAATGTAAATTACTGTAAATTATTCCTCTATGATACTTGGGTGGAGCACCAGGTCAACTGGTGGAAAGCCGGCTTGTGTGTTACATCTCGGCGAAATAGAAATCAATAAGATACAAAAGATACATCTGGAAGACTTTTTTTTCAGTCTTGAAATATTTAATGTCCTTAACCAATCATGGTCACACGGGGAAACTTGTAGGAAAATATCAGTTAATAGTACAAAGGAAACGTTTAGTCAACGAATGAGGAAATATTATCTCCTATAATTTCAATAACAATATGCAGTTTAAGAAATTCACTAAACAAGCAAGAGGATCCGCTAATTACTTTAAAACTGCTCGCATTTTGGCAGTTATTCAAAGTTACACAATAATAAGTATGTTTGAATAACATCCATTAGACTACATATGCAAAATCATAATGCACGGGGGAAATGTCCCGGATATTCCTTTCTTTTCAAAGACAAAACATTTTGTTAAGACGTAATACGAAGCAAAGCCCATTCGCATCTTCATTTACACTCGTGGATTGGGGTTACAACAGGAGCCTCTTCATCTAAAATTCTACTGTTAAGGTATGTACTCTTCTATAACATATATTGATCAAACGCTTCATTTTGAAACGTTTCGAGGTAAGTTAAGGAGAAAATAGTAGTTGCGTTGCAGTGATGTGTATTTATCTCCTCATCCATTCTTGGAAATATAAAACGTTTGGTTTTCTGCGCCGCTTAATTCACAAGAAATTCTTATTCAAATTAAACCTACTTTCCCTGTTTTGCATTATAAGATAAACACTTCAAAAGTTGTTCACAAATTTCAAAAACTAAATATACCATGGTCATGTGAAAAACACCAAATCAACAACATGAGAGCGATTTACATTGGCCCTAAACTGAGAAAACATTTGTGGAGTTTTATTTACCTGCAATGCTTGTGGGGTAATCAATTATTAAACGAAATACGCATCGCATTTATGTGCCCTTTGCGCCTTACTACCAAAACTGAAGTTCAACGCACTTTTACTTAGTCGGCTGCTGTTTTATCAACTGAATTTTCTAGCTACCTGCAAACGACAAGTTAAAAGAGATCACTTAAGGAAAACAGTGTTACTTGATGATCTAAAATCGTCTTGTGAATATATTTGCTCGCAAAAAGATGGAGGAGTTCGAAGCGGCAAACGAGACTGCTGACGCTCTTGCTCAGAAATTTGCCTCGGAAAAAAATGACATCGTTTGCGGTTTTCTCAAGGAAAAAGAAATCATCGGAATGATGCATCAAGAAGAAGTGAATGAGCTGGTTGAAAAGTTTGAGCAGGAAAAAGAAAGCATGCGAAATGAATTTGAACTGGAAAAGAAAGACCTGTTGCAAGGATTTCATTCACAGCAGGTGGAAAAGATAAACGAATTTGAACGAGAGCAGGAAAGTTTGAAAGCCAAACACGCAAACGAGTATCATTTAAAAGAAAGGAAAATTGAAATAAAGTTCAAGGAAGAGAAGTCTAAAATGAGACGCGAATTTGAAGATGTCATCGCAGATAAAAACGAAGAAATAAAAATGCTGCGACGAGATTTCTTGCGAATGCAGAAGAACGGAGACGGCTTTACTCGAACCTCGCCAGACTGCGATGTTTACATTAAACGAATAGAGCATGAAAATGAGTTGAAACGAGCCAGGGAAGAATTTGACGATGAAAAATTAGAATTAGAGAGGAAATCTGACCGAGAAAAGGCAGAACTAGTGCAAGTTTTTACGAATCAGACCGAACGAACGAATAGTTACTTTCAGGAGGAGAGGCAGAGAATCCAAGAAGATCACCAAAAGGAATTACAGTTTAAGCTAGAGGTTACCGAAAGGTTGCTTTCTGAGAAATTTGACCTTGAAAAGACAAGAATGATTCAACAATTTAAGCGCGAGATAGGAGAGATGCAGGAGAGTTTAGAGATCGGTTGTAACGAGAAGCTCCTTGAAAAGGAAGAAACCATTGATGAGCTTGAAAAAGAGAAAAGAGATTTGCTGAATGCACTGCAAATCGAAAGATTTAGTTTAGCTCATGTCTATAATCGTGAACTATCTTTGCTTACTAAACCAGATCGGCCGACCAAAGAGGACGTGGAAGTCGCTCTCATCGACGAAATTGCCAAACTGAAACAAGAACATGGTGAAGCGTTGACTGAAATGGATAGACAACACAAGCAGAAGATAGAAGTAATTAAAAGGGGCCAGCAACCTATCAAAGAATTAGAAAACAAACATCGAAAGGAGATCGAGAACCTTAAAAAGCAATTTGAAAGTGAGAAGGAGAGTTTGGAGGAAGAATTCAGAAAAGAGCAGTTCAATTTGTTAAAGAGTTTTGAATTCGAACGGAATGACCTTGAACAGCGATATAAAGAGATGATAAATGAAAAGCAAATGGAAATTCAACAAAGGGAAGACGAAATGCGAAACATGTACGAGGGAGAACTTGATGGACTCAAGAAAATTGTCGAGGATCAGAGAAAAGAACTGGAAGTCTCCAAGCAGAAACTGGAAGATTTGGCCGGTGAGATGGAGGAGTTTGCCAGCGAAAAGAATAGAATGGAAGAAAAATTTTACAAGGAAAATAATCAGTGTCAAAACCTGGAGCAAAATATGCAAATCAATCTGCAAGCATTCGAGAAAAACATGAAGGACGCTGAAGCACTGCATCATCGGGAACTTTCTGCGAAAATGGAAGAATTTGCAAAGGAGAAAGATGAACTGAGGAAAAACAGTGAGAATGAAAAGGCAAATTTACAAAAGGAAATCGAAATTCTTAAGGGAAGGCTGGAAGAAATCCAAAAAACACCAGAACGCTCTATTGTTGCCACCAGTCAGAGCGTTCTAGAAAATGACTTCGTTGAGATCGACGCAGGTGATATCGCATGCAGCTACGCAACTGGGAGCAATGAGTCTAACGCAGTAGAAAACAAAAAACCATTAGGAGAAAAGAAGGAAGAAGAAGGCAAATTCGAAGGGAAGGAAAACGATGTACACTTTTTGGAAAAGACAGAAATTAAAGAGGAGGAGAGACCACAGAGCGTCCAACAAAAAGATATAAGCAAAGATATTCAGCAAATCCAAGAAAGATTGAGGAAATGTCTTACTGATAAAGAAAAAGAGGATACTTTGGAACAACTTGGCAAATGCAATAAGCAGCTAAAGGAAGCAATCAATCAGGCAATCTTGGAAATGGACAAGCTTTGCGATAACAAAGTTGAATGCAATGATGTGATCCAAATCAGATCACAGACAGCAGTTTCTCTCTCCGATCACCTTCTTGCTCTGGATGATATTCTGACCGATGAAGGAACAGATGGAAAAAGTGACAATTCTGGTAACTACCAGTTAAAAGAAAAGATTAAAGCGGTGTTGAATAATGCACACATATCACATGAAGTTGAAAAATTACAGCTACAAGAAAGACACCAAGAAGAAATCAGCGAATTACTGAAGGAACTGGCAGATGAAAAGACAGTAAGGGTCCAAGAGGCACAGCTGGCACTGAGATATCTACAAGAGCAAGACAAAAGTGAAGTCCAAACCTCGGATTATGTAACGTTTAAGGTCACTGAGGAAAAAGGAACATTAACAGATGACCTTGAGATCAGGCACGAGAAAATCAGTCATGATAGCACGAAAAGAACCAATAGTGAGAAAAGTACACATTCTTCCTCAAGCATGGTGGAAGAGTTTAGGCAAGAGAACGAAGAAATGAAACGATCAATCGAAGAACTGGAAAGGCATTTCAAAACTGAAAAGGAGGAACTTATGGAAAAACTACATACACAGCATAAGGAATTTGTGATGAGCGCTGACGGGGAGATTATTGAAAATCTCCTAAGGCAGAAGTCTACTTTGGAGGAAGCTTTCAATCTTGAAAGATTCTACTTGGGCAGGCTTTACCACTTGGAAATGAAGGATGAATTGGAACGTTCTCTTAATCGAAAGGCAGAGAAAATGAAAAAGGATCATGATCGTGACAAGATGGACATTATCCTGAAATACGAAAGAGACATTGCAGATTTGCACAGTTTGCTGACGGAAAAGAGTGACATGGAGCTAAGATTGTTGCAAGAAAAAAATGACGCAATGAAGAAACTCCTCGCCACCCAGAAAAGAAGTACTCCTGAAAGGAGTAAAGCTGAAAAGGGACAGAAAGAGCAAGATCGACTTGAAAGAGAGAAAGGAAACCTGAACCTTACAATTCCACTGAAGAAAGAAATAGCTGATTTACAGAACAAAAGGCAAAAAGAACATGAAACAGCCGTTGCCAATCTCAAAAATGCCATTGATTTAATAAAAGAAATGTCCAACACGCAGTCAATCTCAGAAAAGGAAGAGAAACAAAACGACCAACAGCGATTTCCTAGTGAAGACTCCCCGCGCTTAGTGGTATCATCGACCATAGGGAAAGCGAACGACAGAAATGGTAAACGACTTGTGGTATCCCAGGGTGAGATTTGCAATAGAGAAGAGTTAAGGGCTGCCCTGGAGAACCTTGTCGAATTAGTTCTCAACGACGAAGAGGATTCCGTTTACGATTCTGAATCAACTTCTGGTGCGAGCTCAGATTTAGAGTCCGAGGATTCTGGTCCGACAGCTGCAAAAGAAGAAAGCGACGAGGGAGCGTATTCTGAGCCTGAGTCAACAGAAGGTGACACATTAAACATTAAGAAAGCTCACCTAGATTTTGCCTTTAATCTCGAGAGATTCAATCTGAGCAGAGTATACTATGGAGAATACAGAGACAGTTTAAAGAAAGTAATGAGAAAATTAGCTAAAGCTAAAGACTCGCTTCGCGATAAACGAAACGATCTAGAGAATGAGATGCTGAGTGGCATCAAGCAATTAGTTGACAGAACTCAGTTTGGTAAGGACGGAGTCCTAATATCCAAACGGAACATTGAAACACAGACATTTGATATACATAACACACCAAGTGCTAATCAAGAGAACTGGTCAGAGCAAGATAATGAAGGCGAATGTCCCCTAGAAACTGAGAAGAGACTCAATAGGTCGTCCACCACGAGGGGCGATAATGAGGCATCAGAGCTCCCCCATGGAGATTTGAAAGGGGAGGAACAAGAAGACGCCAAAAGAAAGATCAATGACGAGAGGGACGCTCCAGGAGAAACATCTGATGAAAGTGAAGAACAGCTGCACCATAGCTTGAAAGACGAAAAACTAGATACAGGTATTCCTCAAGAGGAGATTAATCAGGGTGACGATAACAACCACGAGGATTCTCTTCAAAACAGCAATATTAAAAAGGACGACTCGGACGACGCGGACAAGAGGTCAGGGTTGCCAGCTAAACGTCAGGATGACGGCTCTCCAAAAAAGCCTCACCGCAACGAGGGAGCAAAAGAAGAGGAGGCTTTCAGAGAAAATGAAGATGAAAATGAAGATCAAGAAAAAGAGCAAAAACCCGAAACAGAAAACTCAGTGGATAGGGAGGAGGAATTAGGAAACAATGAATCTATTCGTAGCAGCGAAACGTGTGGCGAAATAAACAACAAAGATAAAGATAAACAACAATCTGAAGCACAAGCTGTCGATGAAGACAGTATCCCGATGTCAGAGCATTTCGATGACACTAAAGAGGAAGACTCGGGAGATAATCAGACAGAGAACGAAAATGGGTCGTCTCAAATGGATGGAGATTCAAAAGGAGACAGGAGTGAAAAAAATGCTCCTGGTAATATGAAAGATGAAGGAACAACAGAGGAAGAAGCATGCGAAGAAAGAGATGGGACCGATCCTAAAGTTTTGGCAAGCGAGGAGAAAGCTTGTATTTTCAAGAAAGATGCAGCATGCCAAACTCTCGATGAAAACGACGCGGTTACTACTGGCCATGAAATGGAAAATAAAGAAGGTGAAGGAGGAACTCATTCGGAGGAACGCTCACCTAGTCCTGAAGAAGCAAACCCAACAATTCCACCCTCTCTTGAGTCAGGCGAAGAAGGTGACAGCCTACAGAGAAATAAGGACGACAAAAACTCGGAGAAACCCAGTAGCGAGAACATAGTTGATTTTTCGGGAGATGTCAACCATACTGACTCCTGCGATGCACAATCCCGAACAGCAGACAAAGCTGTGGACGATAGGTTAGAATTGCAACGAAGCAAATCTCCAGTTGACGACAAAGATCTCATAAGGCAGCTGGATACAAGCAACAAAATGCTACATGATAAATTCAGTTTGCTTTGTGAATTAGTAGGGAAAGAATTTGTCGAAGAAATTCCAGAACTTAAGAACGGGAAAGTAGAAGGTAAAGATCTATTACAAAATATGAATGATCTGTACGTGGAGAACGAACAACTTACAGATGAACTGAAACAAGTCGATGATCAGATAAGAGAACTTGCTGCAACAGGAAGTGATTGGTCAGCAGATCTTAACAAGCAACTGGAAAACGAGGAAATTGAAGTGTTGCGCTCACTGGGAGAAATTGAAAAATGTTTAAGAAGGAATGATGATAGAGAGCTAACCGAGCATCTTCTGAAAGAAAAAGAGAACGTCTGTACAAAACTTGATGAGATTAGCAATCTGTTAAATGAACAGAAAGAAGCAATGGTGGAGTTAGGAAGCAAGGAGGACAAGACGATCTCTGGTCTCATGTGTAAGATGGATGTTTTAAAAGATGATCTTAATGAGAAAGCACAACAACTTACATATAAAAGCAAGATGCTAGAGGCAGCAAAGAAGGCGTCGGGAGAAGAAAACGAAGACTATCAGAAATCTTTGACTAGTCTGAAACTTCAGCTCGCAGCTTTAGAGGAAGGCATTCCCGAAACCAAGAACAATGGGTATCCTGAAAGACAGAGTAATGACGAATTTCCGACTGAAATGATGTCACTTGTTAGAAGTAATGCAGACACAGAAAAGAAGAGAGAAAAGCTTGAGAAGGAAATAAAAAGGACAGAAAATGAGATTGAGAGATGTAGCAGAATGCTAGGAAAGAGGGTCAACAGATTGAGGCCCTTTAAGAGAAAACTAGCACGAATCAGGAACTCTCTTGATTTAATGAGCTTGCTACCAGGTAACGAGAGCGAAGACGTACCAAAAGATCCGACGGATCATGTCGATGACCTTGTACACATTGACTCTAAGCACCTTTTGGTGGATGAGAAACGACCTTTCGATGAAGCCGAAGGTATTAGAGAAAAAAAGGTAGAAATAAAGACTGAGAGTGAAGAACTGGACTTGGCAAATAATAAAATTGACTTGCCATATGAGCTTAAACAGGAACTTACCAATAATATCACGACAGTTGAGAAAGTGGGCGTCGCTCAACGCTATAAGGTCGCAGCTGAAGAGGAATTACAATGCCTGAAAGAAAAAATCAATGAAGAAGAAAGTAAACTGAGAGAGGCGGGCTTCAGCGATCCAATACAAATTATTCAGGCTTTGGAGGAAAAAGAAAAGTTATCAAGAGATAAAGTCAAGCTGGATCAATTGCTTAAGAATAACTCAATTCGTGTGGATGAACACAACCCCGAAGTTAAACAGCTAGAGGTCCTCCTCTTGAAGAGAGAAAGTCTGATGGAAAAGATTCATGCTCTAGATGGTGATATTTTTCAAGAACAGCAAAATTTCATTAATGCAATGCAGTTCAAGAAGAATGGGAAGATAAATAGAGAATCAGACTCTAATATCAAGGGGCTTATAGAGAGTAAAGAAAATTTAATTTCAGAACTCAAGGGTACCAATGAGAAGATATTGCAGTGTCTCAGCACAGGCGGTCTAAGAGGACCACAATCGGAATTCATAGAAGAGCTTGTTGAAAAAAAGGTTAAACTTGAAGACGAGATAGATAAACTTCAAGATGCGATAGACGATGAAACAGCACGGGCATCTGAGATGTTGGTTGATCTTCTTAAACAGAAAGCTGGAGTTGCCAGAGATTTGAGAATTGATACAGAACATGCTACGGACGTGGTACAGGGTTTACAAGAAATAATTGCTGATCATACCAACAAAAAAAATGACGAGAGTATTTCTGACGAAATCCAAACATTCGTTATGGAAGCACGTTTAATTCTTAGTGCAGAGGCAACACCGATGGTCAATGAGGAGAGAGAGGAACTGCGCCAAAAACAACAATTGATGGAAAACCTTGTCAAAGGAGAAGCTGAAAACCTTACAGAGGCAAAACGAAAGGGGCAAGATCTTACTGAGATCGAACATGCTCTTAAACATATAATTGAAGAGAAGTTACCTGTAGATTCACGACTTATGGGGATGGATGAACTCGATGCTAAAGAGGATAGATTTAAGTTACCTTCTAAACTGAGAAAACAGAATGAGAAACAAGCAGATGCTGAACAGCGAGTAAAATGCCGAGATGATGATAGCAACACTTCAAGGCTGCCGACCATTGATGATGCACTGTTAGAAAAACCCATTCAAGAGACCCATGAAGGGCAGAACGAAAGAGGTGAAACAGAAGTACCTTTGTCTACAGTTGGTGAGAAATGCGAGAAAGAGATGGGCACTGGTAAAATAGAACTGGGTGAAGAAATCGAGGAAAAGCGAAGAGAACTAGAAGAAAGCCTTTCTCAAATAGACAATCGCCTCGAAGTCATATTGCTAGGTTGTGACCCTTCGAATGAGCCCCAAACGGTTGTTCTTGAAGGAATAACAACTCTGATTGCCAAAAAGGCTAAGCTACAAGAAGACCTTAAACAAACTCAACGTTTTGAAGATTTCCTGAAGCAAATGGAATTTTCCTCTGGGGAACAGTGCTCTGGCCCTGAAGCAAACAAAGACCGCCATCAAAGAAAAATACAGCTTGAAAGCGATCTTAAAAAGCTGAATGATATGATTGATCGTAGAGAAAGGAAAATTGGAAAGATAGAAGCGAAAAAAGACTCTAAGGAGGAACAATTGAAGAAATTAAGGCGCGAAATAGGGGAATTAGATGAAATAATGAAACCTTTGAAGGAAAGGCTTAGAACTGCAAAGACAGAAGTAAAAGCTGCTTTAGAGGAAACGCAAGCTAACATAAGTGAACAAGAGAAGCTCTCTGGCGAAGAACAGGTGGCACTACACCAAGAATTGGACGTTTTACAGAATGAGATCGAACAAGGCAACCAGAAGTTACAAGAAGTAGAGGGACAATTAGATTTTCTCAAGAAAGAGGTCAATGAAAGTAATGATTCCATTCACGCGGACATTCTTGACCTTAAAAAGTTGCTAGTTGAAAAAGAGGATTTAAGAGATTATTTGGCCGAAATCGATAGAACTCTTGAAAATGACTACGAGAGCGATTCGGATGGACAGGAACGCCCAACCGATATTGAGGAACTTCGCGAAAAAAGAAAGGAACAAAAACGCCATTTGGATGATTTGCAAAACAAAAAGGCAAATTTACACGTAGAATTCGAAGACGAGGAAATGAACGAAGTCATGGAAGATTTAAAACAGCAAAGGAGGGAACTTGAAGAACGAAAAGAGCAAATCTCTGACAAAATACGCGGATCAGGGATATTGAGCAAATTAGCTGAAAAACTAGGGAAAAATAGGAACTCAATACCGCGCTATTACAATCACGATATTTTGGAAGAAATGGCAAGAGATGAAAAGACGCTAACAGAGCTGATGAAAGAACGGCAGGATTCAAAACTGGCTGCTCAAAGACATAGCGAGAATTTGAAAAATATGATGGATTTGCTGAGTTCTAAAATTGGTGAAAGTCTTGTCAATTCCCTCGCAACAGTTGATCTTGAAGGATACAAGCCGGAGGATGAAAATCAACACCAAGCAGTGATCGACGAGATACAAGCTAACGGGGTAACAATCAGTGACATACTCACTGATATGAACGAAGAAAATCAACAACTCAGCGATATGAATGGCGAACTTAATTCAGATTTGGAAACACTTAAAGATATGATTGGTGAGGAGCTACTCGATGTATTGTTAAGTGAAAGACTACCAAGTGAAGCGGCAGAATTTGAAGACGTTGTTGACGCGGTGCGGAACCGAGGAGAGACTTTGGAAAGTATATTGCGCGATCAGAGAGGCAAAGAAGAATTAGTTGGGGACATGCTTGGTAACGACCTGTTACGTGATATCTTGAGTATGGAAGACAAACCACACATTAGACAGAGACCCAATCCTCCTTCGAACATTTCAGCTATTACAATCATGAGAAATTATGGCGAGGATCTTGAAAATGTAATCGGGGTGTACGAAAAAGAGCTGGATAATCTATCCCAAGAAAATAGCTTACTGAAGGAGAGACTGGGAAAAGATCTTTCTAGAGCTCTCCTGCAAATGGGTAAAACAAGTGAGACGCCTATTAGTATCAAAGATACCGAACAGGAAATGCCACCTGGGGTTCAAGACGTGAAAAGTGCGAGAGGGGAAGAGCTTGAACAGAAGACATTGGTTGTAGAAAGTGAGTATAGTAGTCTGGAAGATGCAGATACTGATATCACTGCTCTTGAAGATACCGAAAGTGAAATCAAAAAGAAAGGAAAAAAGAGAAGAAGAAGGAAGACGAAAGGGAAAGCTGGATTTCATGGTGCTCCTAAAAACGAGACTCTAGAAAATAAAGACCACAAGAGTCAAACAAATGCAAGCTTTTCTGAGGAAATCCTGAATGGAGATAAATATATATTGGAAGATACAGAACAAGATAAAAGATCAAGTATTGAGCCAAATGATTTACCACCAGTACTAGATAACATTTTTGCATCGCTTTTCGATTCTTCAGCCGATAGACACGTTCTTGATTTGGCTTTCGAGGAAGAAGAAATAATAGAACAACCACTCAATGCACCGCTTATAATGAGAGCTAGTGGGAAAACACTCGAAGACGTCATAGCTCAGTACGAAAGAACTCTTGAAAAACCAGTAGAGGAAATAGGAGAGCATGAAGCGAGGATGGGAGCAGAATCGCCAACAAGAGTGAATGAAGCCAGAATAGAAGGGTCAGACGACATTAGTGTGACGAACGAAACAGTGGAGGGTATCGTTGACGCTCAGAAGAAAAACATGGAAATGCTAAATATCCTGAGGGAAAGGCTTGGAACAGATCTTGTTAATGCCTTGATAGATGATAAAGAAGGAGATCACCTAGATGATCTTATGAACGATGAAGTTGAAGTAAACAACATTGAGATGCATCAACAACAATCTGAAATCACCGACCAACAACAAGACGACAGAAAGCCTCAAAGCGACGAAGCAGTATTCTTACAAGAGGAAAGAATCACGGACGTAAAGGGTGATAAGGGAATCGCATCACAGAAAAACCAACCAGGGGATGATACCTCAAACAAGAAGGTTCTGAGGGCACCTAATATTGCATTGGAGAGTCAGAAAACTCTTGCTGATGTTATAGCATCTTATGAAGATGGACTGGACTCTTTGCGGTCTAAACTAGGACCATCCTTGACAAACACTTTACTAGGTTTGGAAACACTGAGTACTAAGGAAAGACGCGAGAGTGGCGACCAAGAAGGGGCGAAAGTACCTCAAATAGGTCTTGCATATGAAGAAATGGACAAAGAGAGAGAAGACAAACCACAGGACGAAGACCTTCCAAAAGAAAATGATGTCGCACTATCAGACCGAGGACCTGTACTATTTAGCACTGAGGGAGTAAACAGTCTGGAAAAAGAATTACGAGCACCTGAGCTAATGGCAACGAGCGGAAAGACTCTTGAAGAGGTAATAGAAGACTACGAAGACAGAATTAATGAAGAAATTAGCGAACTTCAGAGCCTAGTTAGTTTGTTGAAAGAAAAACTTGGCAACGACCTTTATCATACTCTAGTTCCGCACTCGGGTTTCAGGGATGAAGAGTCCTCAGGAAAAGACGAAACAGATCAAGGATTCCCGTACGAACGCGATCCAAAATCCCTTGAAATAAAAAGTGGTGAATGTGAATATGATTTAAAATTAAAATCTTTGCTACAGGACGACGGTGAAACCGTGGAGAATATCTTAAGAAAGTACGAAAAACAGATAGACGAACTTTCGAACCTAGTTACTGATGAGAATGATGAGGGTGTCTCAATTTTACCAGTGATATCAAATGACGAAGACAGGATGTCAGATCTGGAAAAAGAAAACAAGGCATTTGCAGATCGCTTTGCTGGTCTAGGGAAAGTGATAGGGAGAAATCTTCTGCACAAGTTGGAAAATTTGGAAAACGAAAATGGTCAAAAGAAAGAGGAAATTGCTGAAATAGATCTGGAAGATGACATTAAGGCACCAATAATGATGCAAAGGAATGATCAAACGCTTGAGAAGATAGTAAAAAATTACGAGAAGGAACTGGAAGCTTTGAGAAAACTATATTCAAACCAAGGCGAAGATACTTGTGTGGAAGACATTGTAAGAGACTATGAAGAAAAAATCGATGATCTTAAAAGCAAAAACAAGGATGTCCACGATAATTACGACATACTGGCTAACAGAGTTGGTACTGACCTAGTACAAGATATTTTGGCCTCATTGCCTGATGAGAATCTTAAATCCGAGAACGAAATGGTTAAAGGAAACAACGCCAGTCAACTAAATGCACCACTTATCATGAAAAGAGATGTCGATTCATCTCTACAAGACGTTTTGGAATTATATGAGAAAGCTTTAGGACTCTTTCCGAGCTCTCCAAATGACGAGAACTTTGTTAATGTCAAGATGCGTACATTTGATGACCTTAAGAGAGAAAATGAGATTTTAAAAAGAGCAATCGGAGATCAGAAGGCCACGGACCTGATCCTAACGGCCAAAGAAGAAACTCAAGCCACGCCTATCACGAAACTTAAGCCCTGAATCTTCGAAAACCATAGACCGCTCAAGTAAGGATGGTTGGGATGACAAATTCGTTTCTCTTAAAGAAGAGAGATCTCAAGTTCCTAAACTTATGCAAGACGAAGATCCAACAATCACAAATGTCTTAAATGAGAAAGAGAAAGAGATGGAAACAGTGCAAAAACTACCTACTGGTGAGACAGAGGAGAGAGTCTCAATAAGGGAGCCGATGAAGGACCTCGAGGATAGCAATAAAGAATTGGAAAACGAGAAGAGAAAGCTTCTAGAGATGTTACATCACCTCGAAAATCAAATCGGACCTAACCTAATGGATGACCTACAAAATATAAATAAAAGTGTCAAAGAGTCTGATGGGACTGATCTCGATGGCACGAAGCGTTCGCGTTTAGAGGCCCCTATTGTCATGAAAGGTGAAAACAGAACATTGGAAGACGTCCTGCGAAATTACGAGAAAGAATTAGAAGTCCTCCGAAAAATGGTCCCAGACCAAGGAGGGGATGGGGGTACCATATCAGGTATTGTGAAAGACTATGAGGACAAACTTGAAAGCCTCGGTAATAGAAACAATACTCTCAAGGATAGGTTGCGAGAACTTCGGGGAAAAATTGGTGATGAACTATTTGAAGACCTTCAAACAGAGGTTCACAACCTTGAAGGAATGGACGAGGGAGACACCACCGAGAAAGAGGAAAATGATCAGATGAAGACAAAGAGAGCCCTGAAGGCCATTGAAATATTGAATGAATCTCAAAAGCCGTTAGAAGATATTGTGGCAAGGTACGAAAAAGGTCTTGAGGAACTTATAAGAGAAAACAAAGTATATAGGGATGGTATCGGTAAAGATTTGGCGGAGGCTTTATTGGTAATGGCAGAAGAGGAGGACTGTCTTTCGTGTAATAAATTTGATGCAAATGAACTGGAAGCTCGTTTTCCTCTAACTGAAGATTTGTCAAACAAACGTAGGCCCACTAGTGAAAATCAAGATGTGAGAAAGAAAACGGATACATACACAAAGGACACACAGCAGCCATTACGAAGCGAACTCGACAAAGATGATACAAAAACAGGGTCGGATGATTTAAAAGCTATTTCTCTTCTCAGAGATGAAGGATTGAATCTTGAAGCCATTTTAAAAAGATACGAAAAAGAATTGGATGCACTCGGACAAATTACTATTGGAGAAAACGAAGATGACGTCAACGTGCCTGACCCAATTGCAAATTTCCAAAATACCATCGAAAAATTAGAAGACAAAGAAAAGATCTTAATGAAAAAGTTGCAGCATTTCGAAGACACGGTCGGTGCAGACCTTTATTCCTCGTTGGACAGTTTTAAGAAGGAAAGAGAAAAAGACGATCAGAAAGATGATTCTTGCGATGAGGAAATGGACATTAGTGTCATTAATCTGATGAAATGTGAGGGGAAAAACTTAGAAGACGTCATAAAAAACTACGAAAAAGAGCTGTTGGCATTAAGAAAGCTGATGCCTGGTGAAGATAATGAAATAGCTGATATTATCAAAGAGTACGAAGGGAAAATCAAAGACCTACAGGGAAAAAACAAGGATCTGACACATATCCTTGATAATCTTGAAGACAATATCGGAAGCAGTCTTTTTGAAGACCTCAAAGGAGCAAAGAGGCCTTTAGATGGCACAGAAAAGACAAGCAAGGAGCAAGAAAGTCCCAAGAAGCTGCAGACAAAGAATAGGAGGGTATTCCCCTTGGAAAAGCAGTTAGAGTTTTATGAACAAGATCTGGATGAAAAGGAAAAGGAAAATAAAACTTTGAAGGCCTCTGTTGGGCCAAGGCTTGCCAATTTTCTGTTAAATTTAGCGGCAGAAAAGAAGACACCATTGTTAATTGATTCAGAAGAGCAATGTGCAGTCGACGGTATAGACAGCAAAGAGCCATTTACTTCCATGTCACTGGAAAAAGGATCAGACCGGGTGTTTCAGTCAATTGACAACAATAACAACGATAAAGATGACTTCAGCTCAATTCCTGGCTCTGATTATTTGAAAGCTCAGTCACTCATAAGAGATGAAGGCAAGACTGTAGAAGATGTATTGGGAAAGTACGAAAAGGAGCTGGGAACAGTATCAAAAAAACTATCCTCTGACGAGGGAGTATCGTTTCTTGACGTGGCCACAGACTGTGAAGAAAAGATCATTAAACTGGAAAAAGAAAACGACCACTTGTTAAGCAGGCTGAAGGACATAGAGCTGAGAATTGGAACCGCCCTTTTAGATAAAATAGAGGGGGGTGAGCAAGAGAAAGACTCAGTCCTTCAAAATGAAAAAAATGAAGACGACGATATGGCGAATACTTTAAAGGCTCCAGAGATTATGCAGAGTGAGGGAAAAACTCTAGAAAATGTAATTAACAGGTATGAAAAGGAGCTCACTGCCCTAAGGAGTCTCGTACCAAGTGACGGAGAGGAAGTAGGTTCTATAACCGACATCATTAAATCCTACGAAGATAAGGTTGACCAGCTAAGAGCAGAAAGTGAGAGGCAGAGACTTGACTCAGACAGACTGATACAACGGATTGGGCCCAAACTTGTTGGAGATATTAAAAAACTGAACGAAATTAGTAGTGAGGAAACCGATGGTGCCATGCAAGAAGATAAGAGCTCAGACCTCAGGTCAGAAAAACAAGACAAAGATCTAAAGGTAACCAAGATCATGGATGTAAAGAAGTCAACTTTGGAAGATGTTTTAGAAACCTACGAGAGTGCCCTTGGAGCTCTCTTAAGTGATGCCTTACCATTCTCCGATGAATTAAACGAAGGGAATATCATGGCTGATTACAACAGCCCCATCGAGAAATTAAAGGAAGAAAACGAAATTCTGAAATGTCGCATCGGTCCAGCTCTGTCAAAACGACTATTAGATATCACAAAGGACGATAACAGTGGTGCTCGCAATAATGAACACGAAGACGGAGAAACTGTGGAAACAAAAGACCCCTCTGTGGACAAGAGCAGATTTTCGAAGAGCTCAAAATATCAAAGGAAGCCTCAAAGTAATGTTTTGTCGCCAGAAGAACTAAAAGCTGAAATTTTCATTGAGGAGGAAGGACAAACGATAGAAGACATCTTGAAAAATTACGAGAAGGAGCTAGAAGTTCTGAAGTCCCTTGTTCCCGTCCAACCGGGCAAATCAGTTGAGTCTATCTCTGATCTGGTGCTAAAATATGAGCGCGAGATCGATGCCTTAAAAAATGAGGGTAGCAATCTAACCAATCGTTTAGGGTTCTTAGAGGAAAAACTCGGTCCAGATCTCATGGTTGACGTGGAAAATCAAAATTTGTCGAAGAGGGCTGAAAATGACGACAGTTTTCAAGAGCTAAGGAAAAGTGAGCTTCAGGCTCCAAAGATTATGGTAGAGGAACAAAAATCATTAGAGACTGTTGTAAGTTGTTACGAGAAAGAACTCGATGCCCTTCATAAACTAGTCTCTGACCAAGAGAACAGCCAACAAGTGTCAATTTCAGACATCATCAAGGACTACGAAGATCAACTCAATGAATTTAGAACCGAGCTTAAGGATCTGAAACTAAATTCCAGCGCCTTAAACGACAGACTCGGTATCAATCTGGTTCAAGAAATTGAGGGGCTATTCGACGAAGGGGTAGACAGGGATGAATCTTCCGACGCTGCACGCAACCCTAGACAGAAAAAAGAAGCTTCCGAATCAGAGAAACAGCTTAAAGCACCCAAAATAATGCGTAAGGACAATAAAACACTAGAAAGTGTTCTTGCAACTTACGAGGATGCACTTGGACTTCATATCATTACTAACGGTTCTCCGAACGAAGACTTGCACGAAGCAGATGATATAGACACTCACTTGCGGAATTACAAGGCCCTTAAAGAAGAAAACGAAGTCTTGATTGGTGCACTAGGGGAGAACCTGACCCGGGACATAGTGGATGCGGCACCGACGGACCACCTTAGTTCCCAGGACAAAGTTCTAACTAAATCAGAGGAGAAATGTAGAACACCCTCCACCACGGAAAGACTAGACAGGTGGCCTTTAGAAATGAAGGCCAAGGCTCTGATGAGAGACAATGGAAACACTATTGAAGATATTTTGAAGAAATATGAAGAGGATATTGAAGCTCTCTCGAAGCTAGTTCCATACGGGACTGGCGGCAGCTCTTTGATTTCAGAACTTGTGAAAGACTACGAGGGGAAGTTGGAAAATTTGCAAATCGAGAATAGGAGCCTAGAAAACCAGTTGAAAAGCCTGAGAAAGAGTATTGGTCAAGATCTTGCGAGAGACCTGGAAAATCCAGTGCTGGAGGTGGAGAAGGGAGGAAAAGATTTAAAAGCTCCCTTGATAATGCAGGAAGAGGGAAAATCTTTAGAGAACATCTTGAGAAAATATGAAAGAGAACTGAGAGCGTTCCGAGAAGCTGATCCAAGTCAAGAGGAAAACACGCCCACGATAACGAGTATAGTCAATGAATATGAAGACAAAATTGAAGAATTGAAAACCCAATATGAAAGCTTGAAGGAAGAATCCAGCTCTCTTAAAGAAAGCATTGGTCTGGAACTTGCAAAGGACGTCATGTCAGTGAAGGTTGAATTAAACGCCCCCGAGGAAGGGCACAGATCAATCAAAACACCAAAGTATAAAGCTACGAAAATCATGCAAGAAAAGGAAACAACCTTAGAAGATGTTCTGGAGTCATACGAAGCAATGTTAACTACAAGATCTGGTGATGTTGAATTTTCAAGCGCTGAAAAATGGGAAATTTTGAGAGAAAAAGTTGGATCTGAGCTCGTAAACGAATTGTTGCTTCCTCCAAAAGAGAATGTGGGAATTAAACAAAAGTGGAAAGCAGTCATAAGATTAAAGGAAGAGAACACAACCCTTGCAGATATTTTAGAGACCTATGAATCGGAGCTGGAGAGATTAACGAGAGAAAAGAATGCGATTGAGGCGCTAGTCAAAGACGATGAAAATGATGGTCAGTCTGCTCTCGACGTAATTTCACAATATGAAGATGAAATTGAACATTTAAAGAACAAAAATATAGAAATGGAAAATAAATTGTCCACATTGATCGCAAGAATGGGAGATAATTTGGTCAACGACATTCTCAGATTGAGCTTTAAGGAGAAAACGAAGTTAAAGCCGTCAATAAAAGCACTCAAGATGATGGAAGATGAAGAAAAGCAACTCTCAACCATTATGCAGGAATACGAAAATGAGATTGGAAAATTGTCAAGAGAGAATGAAACTCTCAAGACGATCGCGAACACAGAACATGGGATTGAAAATGGTGATTCGATAACAAATCTTGTCACAAATTACGAAATGAAAATTCAAGAACTTGTCCAAGAAAAACAGGATATTGAAACAAACCTTGGTGTGTTAGCTGATGGGGTTGGACGAGAGGTGGCGAACGAAATCTTAAACCCTAGTGAAGCAGATGAAATGTTACCTCTAAATGCTCTTAGAATAATGAATAACGAACAAAAAACCCTGGCTGAGGTTACAAAACAATACGAAAACAGTCTTGAGAGTATGAAGAGAGAAATTTCTGCCATGCGCAATCTTGTTTCCGAGGACACAGAAAAGTTATCACTTGCAGACAAGATATCAGAATATGAAGATGAGATTTCAAACTTGAAAAATAAAGTTCGAGAACAAACTCTATTGGAAAAGAGGATCGGGACGGACTTGGTGCAACAGCTTAAAACACTCGGCAAAAATAGAGCTGAAGGGGTCGTCCTTAGGGCAGTGGAGGTCATGGAGAGAAAAAACGATACAGCCCTCGAGGATATTTTAAAAGACTACGAAAACGAACTAAAGGAGAAGGATCACGAAATATTAACGCTAAAGGAACTGGTGTCCGGTGACATACTATCGTTTGCTACATCCCAAGAAAGTGAAATAGATGAACTCAAGACCGTAAAAAAGATCCTTGCCAATGAGCTTGACGTAATATCTGATAAAGTTGGTAGGGAACTTGTTAATGAAATATTGAACACATCGAATAAAACACCGACATCGCAGAGCAACCACGTTTACCATAATGCAGTCCGACGAATGGAAGATGAAGGAAAGTCACTGGCAGATGTTTTAGACGAATACGAAAAGGAAATCGAAGCAAAGCATAACGAAAACGAGGAGCTCACCAGGAGAGAAGGTACACTTACAAAACTCTACCATCAAATTGGGAGCGATCTCTTTAATGAGATTTTGATGGACAATCTCTCCGAGAGTTCTCGCACCGACGAAAAGCCTCTTTTTGAAGCCTCGGCATTGATGGCGGAGAAAGAGAAGACCTTGGGAGAGGTTGTTCTCGGTTATGAAAGAGAGTTAGTCAAAGTTAAAAGGGAAAACGGCGCCCTTCGTGTATTGACAGAGACGGAAGGTTTGGCCAATAGTTCAGCCATTGAATGTTTTTCAGAATATGAGGAGAAAATTCAAAAACTAAGCACTGAGAATCTGGAGTCCAACAAAAGGCTGCAAAAACTAACTCTCACGGTGGGAGTGGAATTGGCTGAAGAGTTGCTGAAGTTACCGCACGGAGTAAAAAACGTTCCCCAGGATCCTATTAATGACTTGCAGGCGTTGAGAACTGTCAAGGAAAATCATGTAACATTAGCAAATGTTCTGCAAAACTACGAAAATAGACTAAAAGAAGACGAAAATGTTGGCACTGGTCCATTGGTTTTCAGAACGACTCTGACAGAGGAAGTAAAATTTGCTCAGATAGTTCGTGTTGACGAAAAGGAGCCAATAATTACCATTTCAGAAGGTGAAAGAAACCCAAAATCTCAGTACCTGAAAGCTGAGGAAACGTTCACCTTGGAGAAGGGAACAGAACGCGAGGAAATTCAATCAGGCGACCAGAACCAGATTCTATCAGTCGTTAGTGAGAACGAAGCTTTACGCGTCAAATTGAGACGGCTATCTAAGAGAGTGGGAGCAGAACTTGCGGAGGAACTGATGAGGTCACAAGAAGACGAAAGTAACGATATGAACGCCGCAGTCACTTTTGCTTCTGTTAAGGAGCTTGATGCCTTTGATGACGTTGTCACAGAGAGAGCGACATTAGCCCAGGTGTTGGAAAGCTATGAAATGCAATTGAAAAAATCACGTCAGGCCGAAGTAGGTGATTTGAGTGGGCCTGTGGTCGAAAGTCACATTTCTACCGAGGATTTAACACGTGTTAACTCGAAGCCCACTGACCAAAGCGCGAATGCTAATTTAACTATGCCAAGCGGTCGACTTTTAGAGGAAGTCTGTGAAATTAATGACCACGACGATTTTAACCATTACGAGGTTCCCAATCGTGATAGTGCAAACTCGGTAGCAAGTGAAGAGAAAACAAGCGCTAGTGATCAACAAAAGGACACGGACAATCGTGAAACGGCAGATTTGTGTGATATGGATATCAGTGCGCTGGAAAACCTTATTCCGAAGGGACCAAAAATCATGATACCCAACGAAGAATCTCTGCTACCATTACAAGTTCAAGAAGTCATAAACGAGGAAATCATAAGCGTGGAGAGACCAAGGCAAGTGGAGCATTTCAATCTCGAGTACATGGATGAAATATTTAGTGATAATTTACCCGAGGAAAATAAAGCCGTTCAGAGCGAGGTTCCAATTTCAAATTGGTCTGAAAAGTATTTAGCAGTAACAAAAGCAGCCATACAAAGTGGAAATGAAGAAGACGATTTAGATTGTTTGCAAAATAGAATAAAGGAGTTAGGGAAAGAGCTTGAGGAAGTAACTATTTTAAAAGAGAAATACGAACAAGATGTCCAAGATTTACTTCAAGACATTGTTGATCTGAAAATGAAGCAGGTAGGCGATGACGAAGGTGAAACGCCAGAGGAGACACGGAAAAGGATTAAAGAAGAAATCGAGTTGAAGCAGGACAACAAACAACTTCAAGAAGACTTAAAAAGGGAGAAGAAGAGAAGGTTGTCCATTGAAGAAAGCAAAAGGGATTTGCTTGATGAGCTTAACAGCTTGATGAGAGAGAAGGAACTTCTCCTTAAACAACAGAGTGATGACAAAGAAAACGGAAAACTATTAGAAGATATGATCAGCTTAAGGAAGAAGCTCGGAGAATTCGACACAGAAAACAAACGTTTAAAGAAAGAAGTTAAGGAACTAAAAGAAGCATTAAGCGAGGTAATTGTCACTCACGATGAAGAAAAAGAGAGAGTGTTGGAAGAGTGTGAAAACGAGAAGTCAGAGATGATGGAAGAGCTGGTGGCCTCTAAACGTGAGCTCGAGTCCCAGCTTCAAGAGTTGTTTGCCATGAATGATGATCTTAAAGGAACTATTAGCAACCTTCAAGAGGAACTGAAGGAATCAAGTGAAAGGTTCTCCACAGAAATTGATGTTCCAAACGAAAATATCGAAAGTGGAACCTCAAAAGGTATCAGTCACGAGGACAATGGCTTGTTATCACAAACATTAAAACAAGAAGGGGGAGATCAGGAAGCAAAACAAGGAAAGAGTCCATCAACGGAGTTCCAAAATCTCGCAGAACAATGGAAGACAGAAAGAGATGAACTGCAAGAAATGTTCAAGGTAGAAAAAGAAAGGCTACAAAAAACGTTTGATGATGAATTGAAGAGAAAACTAGCTGAAAATGACGAGCAACACAAACAGAGAAATGAAGAAATGGCAACGGAAATAAATCGAAAGTTTTCTATAGAGAAAAAGGAAATAAAGGCGTCTGTTGAGAAGAAGATATACGAACAATTTCTTGAAAAAAATATAGCAGCAGAAACCGACTTCCATGAAATTCTTTCTAAGATCTTACAAGAACACTCTAAAGAAATAGAAAATGTTGAGATTGATATACTGAAAGCAGAGGAAAGATTCCAGGAAGATAAAAATAAATTGTTAGAACAAAACGATGTTGAAAAAGAAGCCCTGAAGAAGATGCACGTGGAAGAAAAGAAGGCTCTTGAATCAACTATTCAAAACCTTCTTAAAGAGGTAGTGAAATTGAAACAGCAAAGAAAAGAAATTAGACTGATACACAAGAAAGAGAAAGAAACTATGGAAGAAATTTACGAACGGGATAGGTTAAAGCTCAAGGAAGACTGGGAACTATACAAAAGAGACTTATTGAGCAATCTTCAAGAAGACTTCGACAGCAAGTTGGCAAACGAGACGCAGAAGCATGAGACAAATTTGGAGGATTTAAAAGAGCAGTTGGAAAAATCCGAACAGAGGAGAAAAGAACTAGAAGATCGTCTCAAAGGACGTGCCATTGATAGTGACAAGGCAAAAGTCTATGAGGATGAAAAAGGTGTTAGGAGTGGCCAAGAGGACGAGGCTTATGGAAAGGAACTGAGGTCCGTAAAGAAAACCTTAGAGGAAGAGTATGATAAGAAACTGAAAGAGGAGAAACGTAAGTTTGAAGAAACACTGCAGGGCTTAAGGCGAGAAATTGGAAACCTTCAAGAAAAGCGACGACTTATTCAAGATAAGATATACAACCAGGATCCTTCCCTTGTAGACAGGAATTTGGTAGAGAAAAGCATTGCTAATTACAAGATGGAGATACTGTCTAAAATGGAAGAAGAAGTTGCACAAAAAATAGCTCGAGAGAAAAAGTCTCTTGAAGAGACAATCAGTGAACAACAGTTAGAAATCGATGAACTGAAGAGGCAACGCTGGGAGCTGAGGAACCAGTTGAGGCGAGATCGTAGCAAGTTAGAAGAAGAGTTTGAACTAGAAAAGGAAAGAATGGAAAACCAGTTCTTAAAGGAAAAGGAAGACCTGAAGAACAAGCTTGAGGCAAGATTACAACGGGAGATGACAAAGAGGACAGAAAAAGTCAATAGGGCAATAAGTCCCATCTTTACCGTGAGTATCACGACGATAATTACTCATTAAAGGAGCCACCGCTTGAAAATAAATTTAAATCCAAGTCAGAAAAATAATATTAAACTAACATGCTTTTTTGGTTCAAAACTTCGAACCTTTATTATTGTAACGCTTGATTTAATTTGAACACCCCTAGCGCTCGCCTAACCTTTTATCTTTTTCTTTAGGAATCCCCTTACAGCCCACAAGACTCCCCTAGGAGGCTGAGATCGGAAAATCTGGCCCTCAGAGACGACAATCAACGCTTGGAGCTAGAAATGAGGCAATTAACAAGCCAACTGCAAACCTTGGAATCCAACTTTCAAGAAATCATGTCTTCAGAAAGGACGAAGGTATGAAACACTGGAAAAATAACAGCAAATTAGTTTAATGCCAAACTAAAAGAGAGATTGCATGCAAGCCAGGCCTTCATTGTGCCAAGGCTTTCAAGGTACCTCAATGTTAATTGCAATTTAACTGAGGCCATAATATCTTAAAGGTATCTTGCTTTATCTTATTTGAAGCCTCTTTAGTTTAGATTTGGTTTTTCGTGGTATATGATATCATCATAAGTTTAACTCTGTGTTATTTACCCTATAATGATGTTGGCATATACTTAGAATAAACAGATTTATCACAGTAATAGAAAATGGTGCGCTTTACAGGTTGAAAAAATGAAGAGAATTCAAGAAAGAATGCCCAAGAAGGTTAGTAAGACGATACACAGAAAAACGACATCAAAAGAGGGAGTGTATTTCAGAATTTCACATATCAAACTTTGCCAATTATTATGGTATAATTCGTTTTAGGAAAATGGCTCTATTTTTCGTTATCCTACGGGACATTTCCACAGGATGGTTTAAATCGCACTGAGCAGGTGCAGACGTTTTTGGTGTAACAACTTTTGCTTAGGGTAGTATAGCGAACAGATTTCCGAAAGCGAAGCGCGACGAAAACTGTCAGGTTTGAGGAACAGATAATGTCTAGTGAAAAAAAAATAAGCATATTTTCGCGCGCAAAAGAAGCTATTGTGTTTATTATCACTTAAATATTTTGCAAAGGGCATCAAAACATGTTTACGAACAGTTTACTGTTTGATGCGTGGCATGTTCCCAGTTCCCCTTCTTCTGTAACAACTACAAAACTCTCTCTCATCTTAACTTTAATTTTAAACGAAGGGTTATCGTAGTAAACGTAAGGTTTGAAAATCGGGGAATACCACTTGGATGATATCCCTAGTTTTAGGTACGGAATATTCAGTCACGGGATGCGTTAAGACAAATCGCACGCGACCAAAAATATTTGATGTATAACTATTACCTCTATGGTGAAAAACTGTTAATTATCATCACAGTCATGTTCAAAAGATATCCTCTGGTTAAGAAAATACGTCTCCCATAATCTAATGTTTAAATTCAAAATCTCATCGCCATCCCAAACAAAAAACTACGTGCTGACAAGTGATCATTTACCATCGTCATAAAGATAATGGTCTCATGATTTTTTTTTTATGACCGAAGGGGAGGGGTGGTGCGGTAAGGAACAATGTGATCAATGTTGTTGTTCTCCTCTTACAGGTTACCTTCTCAGACGAGATAGAAACAAGGAACTTGGGTGACACCGCTAGTGATCCTAATGAAACTGTGCTGCAAGAACTACGCCACAGAGATTCTCAAGTCAGAGAATTGTTGGAACAAAAACACTTTTATGAGGAAGTCCTGTCTGAGCTCTGCGAAGAAGCTGGGCTCTTTGAACTTGACCAGAATGTTGTAATTTAACTGAAATAATATCGATATTTTACTTGTGGATGAAGGGCACAATTCTATATTGTATATATTTTAGTTGTGTGTTATTATATTGATCACCAGCTCGTAATTCCAGTGATATCGGAGCTAAGTTTATTTTACCAAATACTCACACTTAGCTTTCATTTGGCAAAAAAAGCAATGATAACTAAAATGTTTGTTATCTACTTCAAGGAAGATACGCTTGTTTTGCTGAAATCGCACCTGTGTGCAAGTATTTGTTATAAAATGCGAGTATACAATTTTTTGTCAAATTGCTAGACGTGCAACCTAACCAAAATAAATAGTACCGTTAACGTGAAACCTGTAGCGCGAGCAACTGAAAATTGTAACCATGCTTAGTTGTACATTGTGCTTTCATTAGGTTTTACCCTTAAAAAAAATTATTCCAGAATTTACACTAAAAAGGAACAAGGAAAGACACAGAAACCAATTAATCCTTTCGGGATGCATATATCACCATTACGAATGTCTCAATTTGTTTACTCCATTATTTGAATGAAAAATTTATGCTGAAGTTTGTTTTCGAAAAAAAGTGACAATTTGTAAGCAGCTTATTTCACGATAATAATTAAAAATAAAATTAACTTATCTTTTATCATAAGCAGTCTTGTAATATTCAAATCCTTAATTAGTTTGGTCTGAGTCAGACCTGTATAATGTGTATTATACACAAGTGTGAAGAAATAGGGGACTAGGTGTAAGTAGCGTTTAGGTTTTTAGTCGTTTGATTAAATTGGTGTCAAATAAAGTTCATTTAAGCAAACTGAGGACGATTATTTTGATGCTGTTGAAAAAATCTTGACGGAACAGATCAAAACTTCGCCGCCAAAAGTGCAGCTTTTTGTTTTGTTTTGAGGTAAACAATAAACCGATGACAATACTTTCCACATTTCCCAAAGTAAAACAAAGCCAAAGTCGTAAATGTTAGGGATCTGAAAAGTGTTCTTTAAATCTTGAATGCTCTTGAAGGTTTTTTCTTTGTCACAAAATCGATCGTCATGCCTGTTGATGTAAATCTACAGGGAAAAAGTAACAAACAGGTACAAAAAAATGAACACAACAGTTAGCTCTAAGCGTTTAAGCGAATTAACGCGAGAGCCACACTGATTAATTAAAGGGTATACAAGATGCAATGAATGTCAACCCAATTGGAATCTAGAGGGGAAAGGGAAAAATAAGTGAAAATTATTGAAAGACGTTGAGCAAAAGTCTTGATTTCACGGCAAAGAACACGCCACTGACAGAGTTCAACTATTGTTTTTTCAGTCGACTTCTGAATGATTTTCCTTACAATATTTCTTGAAAACCATTCCATCTGGTTCACTTTCCGCCAAAGAGCGGGAACACAATTAAGCACAAACTTAATAATTACAGTTAGACGGTATTTCTAATTAGCAAAAAAGATGGTTTGTATGCAACAATTTTCAGGTTATACGGTTGGTTCTTACGCATTAAAAGGAAAGGGGAAAGAATGCAATGAGTTACATTGATTATTGTCGACCAATTGCCAAGATGAAGTAGGTTTCACTTGAAAAAAAATTGCACGAAGTGTTGAATGAACTAGGACTCCCATATAGCATTGTGGTTTGTACCTGTCTTCCAATTTTTTGATGGGGTAATAAGAGACGCTTCTGAATAATTTACCAGTATACCACAAAATTAGGGAGAACTTTCTATTGACAAATCTTTGGGCTTTTAAAACATGATAGATGCCAACTTTGAACCAATAGCTTTCAACTTACAAATGGCAACAAATTTTGATAAGGAAAACAAGGTTTAAAGTAAGGTTAAATAACTGAAAGCACGCTACTTTTGATTGTGCATTCTGTCATATTGTACTGAAATTCTCTTACGGCAGCTTTTGAATTTGGCAATAAAATAAAGACTTATTTAGGAACTTAACATTAAATTACTTATTATCTGTCTCTAATGACGCATTCTTTTAGATGATTTTCCCATTGATCTGTGTTTATCAAGAACCTGCAAAGTTGACTTAAAATCTTAAGGTACCCGCAAGCATTCAAAACCATCGGAATAACAACAAAAACATTCCATATTTCAGTTTGCTTACATAGCAACATATCAACTTTGCGCTGGTGGCATGTTAATCTTACCATTACATTAAAAAGTTTATCAACACTTCACTCAAAGAAAAGGTCGCCGGAGTTAACTCTCTCTTCAACCTCTTCAACTTTCTTACGATTTAAGTACAATCCGAAATGGTGCCAATAAGTGAATCGACGGTAAATTAAATAATCCATACGAAGATCTAAACAAAGCACTGTCTATCCCGACTGCTGTGAATCTTTTTCTTGTGGTAGATATGTTTTAAAAACATGAGAGAAAGATGGTAGACAAAACCATACAGGTGGTGCAAGCCGAAAACAATTCTTCTGAACGGAATTTGCATGAGAAGGCATGCACGGAAACAGCGAGTTCATCAAAAGAAGGATCCGCTAAAATTACTCCTCAAGAAGTGTTTCAAATGGAGGGTCAAATGGTAGGGGGCCAGATTGAGATTCAAAACGGTGGATACGTCGAGATGACGTCTGAAATGTTAGGTGTAAATATGGAATCTCAAATGCAACTTCAGATGATGAGCGAGCAACAGTTGGACTCAGTGAATGGTGATGGAATGACAGTCATAATAGAGTCACAGGAACTTGATGGACAGCAGTTTAATATTCAAAATGGGGTCCAGTATCAAGTAATAGATGGACAACAAGTAGTAGTAGGAGATACTTCGGTACAAATGCAAATGTCTATGTCATCGTCCGGAGAATATGGCGGCCAGAATTTCCAGATTGAGGGGGGCATGATACAAGGAACAGAGATAATATACGGTTCAACACAAGCAACAGATATGACAGTAGATGGGATGAATGGTTCTGTAATGCAATCCCAAGAGATTGCACTTGACAGCAATGGCCAAAAGATTCAAATGGAAGGAATGTCAATGGGACAAAGCGGAATGATGCAAGAAATGTCTTTTGAAGCGACTGAACAACAAATGCAGATGCAGGAAATGTCCAAGCAGGGAATGTCTTTGCAAGATATGTCAATGACTATGGAAGGAATGACTATAGAAGGAATGACTATGCAAGGAGGAATGGCTATGGAAGGAATGACGATAGAGGAAGGAATGACTATAGAAGGAATGACTATGGAAGGTGGAATGACTGTAGAAGGAATGACTATGGAAGGTGGAATGACTGTAGAAGGAATGACTATGGAAGGTGGAATGACTGTAGAAGGAATGACTATGGAAGGTGGAATGACTATAGAAGGAATGACTATGGAAGGTGGAATGACTGTAGAAGGAATGACTATGGAAGGTGGAATGACTGTAGAAGGAATGACTATGGAAGGTGGAATGACTATAGAAGGAATGACTATGGAAGGTGGAATGACTGTAGAAGGAATGACTATGGAAGGTGGAATGACTATAGAAGGAATGTCGATGCAAGAAATGAATATGCAAGAGATGCCCCTAGAAATGCAAAGTCAGGAGATACAAAATCAAGAGATTGCATTTGAAGGAGGCGAGATCCAGGAACAGCAACTTGAGATGAGTGAGATGACTATGCAAGGAATGCCATTGGAGATAAGTGGAGGAGAAATGCAGACGCAAGAATTCTCAATGCAAGAAATGGGAATAGTTATGCAAAGTCAAGAAATAGCATTAACGGGAGGAGGGAACGAGCAGCAATTGGAGATGAATGCTATGACAATACAAGAAATGTCAGCTGTGGACGGTGAGTACCAAATTGAAACGAGTGAACTGACGGTACAAGAGATTCCACTGGATATGGTCGGGGGTGCGACCCAGATAGTGGAAATGTCAATGCAGGAAATGCCTTTGGAAATGCAAAGTCAAGAGATTTTAGCCGTGGACGGTGAGTACCAAATTGGAATGAGTGAAATGACGATACAAGAAATACCACTGGATATGGCTGGAGGAGAAACCCAAATTGTGGAAATGTCTATGCAGGAAATGCCACTGGAAATGCAAAGTCAAGAAGTTTCCATTGTGGAAGGGGCCGAAATCCAAGAACAGCAATTTGAAATAAATGAAACGACAGTTCAAGAAATACCACTGGATATGGCTGAAGGAGAAACTCAGATAATGGAAATGTCCACGCAGGAAATGCCACTGGAAATGCAAAGTCAAGAAGTTTCCATCGTAGGAGAAGCCGAAATCCAAGAACAGCAATTTGAGATGAATGAAATGACAATTCAAGAAATACCACTGGATATGGCTGGAGGAGAAACTCAGATAATGGAAATGTCCATGCAGGAAATGCCACTGGAGATGCAAAGTCAAGAAATTTCCATTGTAGGAGAAGCCGAAATCCAAGAACAGCAATTTGAGATGAATGAAATGACAATTCAAGAAATACCACTGGATATGGCTGGAGGAGAAACTCAGATAGTGGAAATGTCCATGCAGGAAATGCCACTGGAGATGCAAAGTCAAGAAATTTCCATTGTAGGAGAAGCCGAAATCCAAGAACAGCAATTTGAGATGAATGAAATGACCATTCAAGAAATACCACTTGATATGGCCGTGGGAGAAACTCAAACGTTGGAAATGTCTATGGAGGAAATGCCCTTGGAGATACAAAGCCAAGAAATTTCCGTTGTAGAAGGGAACGAGATCCAAGAACAGCAATTTGAGATGAGCGAAATGACGATTCAAGAATTACCATTGGATATGGCTGGGGGAGAAACTCAAACATTGGAAATGTCTACGGAAAAAATGCCCTTGGAGATACAGAGTCAAGAAATTTCCGTTCTAGAAGGAAGCGAGACTCAAGAACAGCAATTGGACATAAGTGAAATGACTATACAAGAAATGCCGTTGGATATGGCTGGGGGAGATATACAAACACAAGAAATGTCTATTCAGGAAATGTCTTTGGAGATGCAAAGCCAAGAAATCTCAGTTGTGGAAGGGGGTGAGATGCAAGAGCAGCAGTTTGAGATGAGTGAGATGACTATACAAGAAATGCCGCTGGATATGGCTAGTGGAGATGTAAAGACACAAGAATTGTCTATGCAGGAAATGCCTTTGGAGATGCAAAGCCAAGAAATCTCGGATGTGGAAGGGGGTGAGATGCAGGAGCAGCTGTTTGAGATGAGTGAGATGACTATACAGGAAATGCCTCTGGATGTGACTAGTGGAGATGTTCAGACTCAGGAAATGTCTTTGCATGAACTACCACTGGAGAAGCAAAGTCAAGTAGTTTCCGCCGTGGAAGAGGGAAAAATTAAAGCAGAGCAGTTAGAAACCACAGTACAAGAAAAGCCATTAGAACAGAACAATGTCAGGAAAGTTACTGAAAGTCAGAAACAAGTCCGGTTGGATAATAGTCTCAATCAAGAGGAGCAAGCTCCTGTGGAACAGATAGCAGAAGAAGAAGCTGTATCGAATATTGGAGAATCCAGCTGGAGTATAGAGGTAATAGGAACGTTAGAGGAACAAGAGCTGGAACGAAGTTGGAGCATGGAAGTAGTTGGAACAATTGATGACCAGGAAAATGACAAAAGTTGGATCACAGGAGAAGGAAGCCAGATATCCTCCAACGGACTAACCCAAGAAACAGTTTCGAAAGACATTAGTCAGGAAAATGAAAAACCCGTCGAGAAGAAGCAACACAATCAGGTGAAACCTGAAGAGGTGCGGTCTATCGATGACGTTGCATCAGTTATTGACAACAGCAAGAGCGAAGAAACGAAGTCTCACGGTGGTGATAAAAAGGTTGGTGGCAAAAAAACCACGTCAGACCAAACTGAGGTAACACAGAAAGAGACCTGTGATCACAACATAGTGATAGAACAATTTCTGGAAAAGATTACCAAACTTGAAAGAGAGAAAGAGTATTTGGAAGGACGTTACGACGAACTACGACAAGAGAGGGAAACTTTGGTGATATCAAGTAGGGAAAGGATGCAAAAGACGGAAGATCATCACCATTGTTGCGATATATTGAAAGACTATAGTAGCTTGATCGAGTACATCACTACTCCGAGGGATGTCTCTTTACAGGATCATAGTAATTTACATGGATGTGATTTTACCCATACTTACGACGTTCATGAAAGTGTTAGAGAGATTAGTAGGAATTCAAGCCAACTGTCTAATGACTATGAGTACTATAAATCCAAGTGCGATCAAATAAAACGTGAAAAGGAACGCCTGGAGAGAGCTTATGAAAACGAAAAGAAGCAGAAAGAGGAGTTTGAAAGGGAATACCAAACTGAAAACGACGAAAAGGTTTACCTCGAAGAAAGGTACCAAGAAATGTTGGAGAGCATAAATCGATTTGATGAAACCATTCGTTCCCTGAGACGTGACAATGAATGCTTACAGAGCAAACTAAACGAGTGGGCGTCATCTCAAGCTAGGACAAACACATTGGACATGGGCACGCTCACATCAGATCGAGATGACGATGGTGAAGATCTTGCGGAATATAAGAAAAATATTCTTGCGTTAGAGAAAGAGAACAGAGAATTCAGGTCAATTCTGGACGTCTTAAGTAAAAAAAATGAAAGCCAAGAAAGTTTGAAGAACATTGAAATTGGACTGGCTCGAGAGAACGAATTTATTGAGTTAAAGCGAGAAAGAGTGAGGTTAGAGGGGAACATGAGAGAGTTGAAACGAACAAACAAGCATCAACAGAATAGGATAGAAGATATTCGAAAGGAATCGTCATTAGAGATTTCTAAATTGAAAGATAAAATCCGAAAATTGGAATGGTCTCTAAGAGAAAACAAAAAAACCCTAGATGATAAGGAAGACGAGATTTCTGGTCTGAAAAAACGACATTCAGAAGAACTTCGTGGCATTGATATGAGACTGCAGAGTCAGATTTCAAACACACTACTGGCAAAGAGCCAACTAAAGGATTTACAATCCAAAATAGAACGACTGGAGGAAGAAAGGAACAGACTAAGAGAGGACTTGAGAAGTTCATTTGTGGGTAGCAGGGATCGACATTCAGGCGTAGACTTGGATTACCAGGATATTGAAATGGTTCGTCAAAAGTACGAAGAAGAAAAAAGAAGCAAGATGAGACTTGCCAACGACATAAAGTATCTGCTTGCTGACATCACGGACCTTAAAGAAAGAAACCACAGACTACAGGAAGATTTTCTTCGAGAGAGAATGGAAATAAAAGCGATGATAGAAAAACAGGCCAATGAAATTACTCAAGAATATCTCTCACAGATCAGTAAATTGCAGAAATCACTGATAGATGAAACGAAACGAAGGCAAGAGGCCGAAGCTGGCAGAAATGGGCCGATATACAGCCAGGAAAATCATACCACCTTTTCAGGTACTCAGACTGACGTGAATTCCAGAACTGGTCGGGGTTACGATGATATCCAGGTGCAGCTAACAAACGAGATAAGACGACGAGAAAACCTAGAAGCGGAGAATAAGAAACTCCTATATAAACTAAATGAAATTCTATCGGCTGATGGGAATCACGAAGGACTTGACGATGCTAATTTCAAATTGATCAGCTCGAGAGGAAATGAAACACACAATGTAGGGTCCTCAAAATATAACCAAGAAAGTGTTAAAAAACGGCAAGAACTGCAAAGTGAAATAGCTGATCTTCATGATAAGCTAGAGGTGTTGAAAAACGAAGCTAAGAAGAACAAAGAACTCAAGAGGAAAAATGAAGATCTTGAGGAGGAAGTCGCTCGAGTGACTCGAAAGCGAGATGAACTCTTAGCTGGCCAGAGAAACCTCACTCGCGAAGTTGACCATTTGTCCCGCACCCTGGATGACGTGGAAAGGCGAAATAGGAAGCTTTCTGATGAAACTGAACGATTCGCGCGGAAGATCCAAGATCTTGAAGATTCATTCCGTCAAGAAAAGATAACTTTGACAAGAAATCACGAGAATGAAAAGGTAAGCGCCGTAGAGGTAGTAGTAAAGGCAAAAGAAGCTTGCGAGAAAAGACTTCAGGCGCAAACAGAAACAACAAGAAGGCTTGAGGAGAAAATAAGACGCCTAGAAGAACAACTATCGGCAAGCGTTGGAACCCAAAGGGAGGGCTCCCGTACCACACTCAATTCGCATAACGACGTTTCTGGAGATCTTAGGAGACGCACCACTGATTCACACGACGACAAATTAAAAGAAGAGGTGGAACATTTAGAGGCCATGTTAAGAGATGCTAATAGGAAGCATGCAGATGATCTCAAGAATCTTGAGGCACAAAAAAGACGGATGTCAGAAGAGTTTGAAAGAGAGCGGCAGTCTTTGGAAAACTACTTTGAGAAAGAGAATAGTAGCCTGAAACAAAGGCTCTACGATGTTGAGTCGACTATCCGCGGTGACGGTATGGGGAGTATTGCCACGGGAGGAGAAAATAGAGAACACAGTCTTATCACTTCAGAAAGGAGATCGTCGTTAAGCAAAGACGGAGCGAAAGAATTACCTCAATTTCAATCAAGGAACGAAAAATACAGCGAGAAATCCAAGGAAAGTGAGTTTCAGCAAAAACTTCAAGGGATGGAACAAAGATATAATGAAGAGAAGAGAGATATTTTGAATCGAGCATCAAAAGAGAAGGCAAAATTAGAGGACGAAGTAAGAGAGGCCAAGGAGAAATTAACCGGCTATCGCCGTTTACTCGAAGACGAAATCGACGACTTGAAAAGGAAGCATCGAAAAGAGATAGATTTCCTGAACGAAAAGTTATCGAAACAGAGAGGTGAGTTCGAGGAAAGACTTCGTATTGGAGAACGTAACGAATCAAGAGGCGTGGTCGGCGGGTCAACCGTTCGTGAAAACTCAAATCAATTTGATCCGATTAACATGACGCGAAGAGAAGATGGCGTGGGAAAGAACAAAGTTCCCAAAGCATTAGTTGGAACCTCGGGGACGCAGGAAGATAGATATCGCTTTGAAAAATTAGATATAACCCCTCACCAAGAACTCGGGAGTCTAAATAATTTTAGTGATAGGGACGGAAGGTCAACTGCAATAACAGGCCGATATGCTTTGGAAGATGACAATAGAATTGGAAGAGGAAGAACAACTGCTGAAGATGCCATGGGAGGAAGAGCTGGTTTAGAAAATGAAACTGCAATGTTTAAGGAGGAAACGAGAGATTACCAAAGCCAGTTGCAAAACGAAAAGAGGAAGCTGATGGAGGCCATACATTCTCTGACACAGGAGGTCAACTCTCTTAAAAGTGAGAATAGAGAAGTGAAGAACTGCTTCAAGAAAGAAATGGAAAAGCTTATCAAAATTAGCGACAGCGAAAAGAAAACCATTCGCGATAGAGCAGCAAGAGATAAAGACGACGAAGTAACACGGGTAACAGAAAGTTATGAAGAAAAATTGTCCTTTGAACGAAAAAGACTGCAAGGAATCACTGATGAATTTAGACGAAAGATGACATTAACAGAAAAAAAAATCAGGAATATGGAAGCCCAACAACGGAACGAGAGAATACGGTACCAGGAAGAAAAAATAAATGCTGAAAAGAGCCTTCTCCAAAGTCACGATGAGTTAAAGATGAAATTAGAGCGAGATTACAAAAAGATGCTGATTGAGGAGAAACAAAAATTTGAGCAGACAATAAAGGGATTAACGAAACAAATATCTTTCCTGCAAAATCAGAGGAGAGAAATTCAAGATAAGTTGCTAAAGAACGAGTTGACAGCCAATGCTCAGGCAAAAACACAACAGGAGTCAAGAAGCAGGATGGTAATTCAGATGGAGCACGAGATCTTTGAGCGAATGGAACGCGAAAAAAGGCCCATGGAAGATAAGATTAAAGACCTTCAACAAGAAATCAACAAGTTGAAGAGGGAAAAATCTGAATTACGTGATACTCTGGAAGGTGAAAAGCAAGAACTTGAAAATGAGCTGGACAAAATGCAAGCAGAGATGAAGAGAAAGCTCAGCAAGGCGAGAGAGGATGTGGAGAGAAATACGAACGTTACAGGGAAACATATGATGGCAACAACAATAAAAAGTGTCCTTGTGAGTATATGTTAAAATGAATACATATCTGCAAATTTATTTATAAAATAGTTATATGAGATTGTTGTACTGAAAGCCTAACTCTTTTGAAAAGGTTGGTTCCGAAACGAGTCAGCACTGTGCTCAATCTGATGTTCGACAATACAAGGAGCAAATCAACTTGATGGAACAACGGAACATGACTCTTCAAACCAAAACAGAGAGACTGGAGCGCGAGCTCAGAGTTATGGGCGACAGATTGAAAACTCTGGAAGTACGAAACAAGGATTTAGAATTCGCTAACAGAGAAGAAATGGTAAGAGTGTTATCCTTTTAATATTCAAAGTGGAGTTTTCCTAGTCAAGTCAAATTGAATAAAGTTGGTGTCTCCTAGTTTTCCAGTAACTATGGACAAGAAATACACCTTAGTCAATAGTAAAGATGGTGCCTTACCTAAGTAAGGCCTCTAACCCCATTCGTTGAATTTGTTTACAGAGCAATAGAAACGACGTTTTCCGGTCGGGTTTTGGACTTTATGGAGAATCAGATATCCGCGGAGCCAACGACCTTTCAATTGGCTCAACAATTAGTGGCATGAGGTCGGAGGCCAGAATGTTCCAGCCAAACTTTTCTCCAAGAATGAGCTCAGCTAATGCCAGTTCTTTGCTGGGTTCAGGGCTATCCTATGGCGACATTTTAGACAAGGTTCGGTATACAATGCACACCACAGGAAGTATTTCTGACGCTCTCAGGGGTCCAATGTCAAGCACAAGTGGAATAGTCAGCGGAAGGTTCCATGGGGATACAAACTCTGCGCTAAGGCAAGGTGATCCAATAACAGGAGGAATGCGTAAACAATCAACGATATCTTCTCTGGGAGTCAGAAATGTCGAAGTTAGCAGTTCTCTCGGTAATGCAGGTGGAAATTTGACAGCTGAAGGAGTCGGAGGCGACTCTTATGGCAAAGAAGGGAATCATTAACCTTCTGTAGTGTAAAGATATTACAAACTCAATCAAGGGAGTGACGTGATAACTATCATGATATTAATAATGACAATGAGAGAGGACTCTTTTTTCAATGACAGCGCAATGGCAAGTATTTCAAATAATAGGGCGCCGAGGCGTTGAGATAACTACTGGGTGGATTTTAAAGACGATAATTTTTTAGAGTTACATTGGACAACACAATTAATAATTACCACCGTTAAATGAGTGTCCTAATGATAGTGCATCACTCATGGCCGTGCACCATTTCTTTTATAACCCTTGTTAGTAAGGTTGGTATTGTATACATAGTTAGTTGCTAAAATTTCTTTTCAAAAATAGCAAAAATTTCGGTTAAATATTTTTTGTCTGTCTCTTTTTTTTTAACAAAAAGCTTTTATTAACCAATAAAAGGCCTATTTGTTTTATTTTTCAAAAGGGGCACATAACCTACATAAGATTAAACTGCCTCAGTTTGTTATTTTGGTTTCATTAAGCAATTGCGAAAGATCCATTTGGTTAGCGAAATTGGTATAGACCAGCCTTAAAGATTTGAAGCTGTCGTTCTAAATGATAGTCACGGGTATCGTGAGCCTCAATACTTCAGTTCAAATGTACTTGCTAGAAATTGTTATTGAAATGTTGATACTGTGTATATCAAAGTAAGTATAATTTCTTCGTAAGGTCTGTTGTAAACCCTTACGCTGTTTTCGCGTTGAAAATAATTGAAATGGGCACTTAAATTTTCCTTTGAAGGACTTGATACTTTGCTTTGTAAATGGTTTACTACTTTATTTCTATATCGATGTTTGCATCAAACACAAGCAGGGTTAACAGTGATATTAATTTTACTTATCATGTTATCAATTATTATCTATAGGTGATTTAATGGGCATTGCCGCAGCTGGTAAATCGTATAATTTTTCCTTCAGATGCATGAGTTACATTCTGGTTTTTTTTTCAAAGCGGCATGGTTTATAGCACAAAGGATATCAATAAAATAGAGGGGATTTTATCTTATAGGACGTGCTTTCTACTTTCTACTTTCAGTTTAAGATAAATATTTTCATTCATCGTTGTTCCAAGAAATAACAATTTTCAAAGTAGGCTGGTAATGTTCGGCATACTGATAAAGCTTTTTAATAGTCCTCCTGGAGCTTAGCAGCTAGACAGGTGCAAAATCCACGTTTGTCTTTTCACTCAATCTACACATCAATTAACACCCCCCCATCATTAGGCTAGGCTCAATGCCAAATAATTTACATTGAAACATGGACCGGAACACCTTCAATTCATCAAATAAGTATGCGGCGTCACTGGTCATAATCCTAATAAAAGCAGAGCGTTAGCTGTTGTTAACCCGGATTCAGAATACATGCTTTTTCCTTTGTTCATAACATCTTCAAAGCATAGAAGATGAGCTAGAAGGACATTAACATTTGGCTGGTACTTAACCAGGTAAAACCGCAAAACCACCTGTGTCCTAAATCTACAAACCTACACCGGTTTTTTTAAAATAAAAATATTCCGTCAACCCGGTGTATAAAAGCTGAAGGACAAGTAAAGGAACGTTTACGAAACAGGCCGGTGTAATCGTTAAGGAATTGAATGCATGGCAGGAAAGGGACAGCACTAGTTGAGGTTTTCCCTTTGTGAAATACCGGGAGATCTGTGGTTTAACTTTGTATTTATATCCCACGGCTTTGCAGTAGATTGCATAAAAATGAAAAAATGGCGGTTTATTTGTAATTTGCCGGGTTTTTAAAATAGTTAACGGTGAAATCGTAATTTTTAGACAAGAAACCCCCCCCCCCAAAAAAAAAAATTATTTTGTTAGTTTGGCAGGTGTAGCTTTGATTTAAGGTTAAATTTCAAATAATTTTTTTAAAATGTGTCTTAATATAATTGACATTATTGATAAAGGAGGACACATCTCCGCGTGACCTGCTAAAAGGAAAATGCAAATGAATTTGACGTGACACAACCAACTCCTCTGATTGGATTTCGTCGTGGATGATAATTTTTTACTAACCCAACTGTTTACGTCCTGGAGAAAAACAGTCAAAGTGCCAGAATATAGACATTTTTCGAGCTGTCAACCAAGGAACGAGAGCTTACTGAAAGAGGAAGATGTCGTAGACTTGTGTAGAAGATGTAGCTATTTTTGAAAAGGCACAAGTAAACGAAATTCAGGTAGGTTTACAAAATTATGAGAAACGTTCGTTATGAAGCCCTTTTGCACAAGTATATTGGCAGCTACTCTTTATGCAGAGATGGATATGAACAAGAGAAAATTATATGACTGACATGTTTTCTATACCAGAAAACTGGAGAACTGTCAGTCCTATACTTACTATCAATCATATATTTGGATACTCAAAAGTAATTCGCACTATCGACAATATCGCTTCGATAAAAATTCCTAAATCTTTTTAGTGTTAAAAATTGATGCGTTAATTCATTAGCTGGTAGAACTTTACAGACAATAACAAGGCTTAATTTTTTTACTTGCGAAATTCAAAGCTATTTTTTTTTATTTTTCTTCCTCAATCAAATATATTTTACAATTTTACATTTAAATTTTCTGAAAACATGTGAAGTGACAGTTTAAATTTAAGATGAGTTTCATTTATACTTAAACTGGGTAAATATACCCAAAATTTGCTCTTGCCTGTTTTTCTTCGGTGTTTAAGAATAATTTAGCAATAAATATTCAAGATTCAACCACAAACATCTAAATTCACAGTTTCGAATTCGTGCTTACTTCAGACTCCATTTGACTTAGGGAGGTATGAATACCAATAACCTTTTCCCTTTGGAAAAGCATAGCGCCTCGGATTAACTGCAAAGATTTGGGGAAAAAACTTGACTGAAAAATTATATAGTTCTTGTTAACCGAGTTCAAAGTGCATTCTGTTAGCCATGGACCCGGCGAGGCTTTCCCCTTTGAGCCCTTTAACTGGGAACAGGGTCCTAAATGGGAACAGGAGAGAAAGTAAGCGAAGATGCCTTTATGCTGTTCTCTATATATGGATGTAAAATACCTTCCTCACCAATAATCTCTTCATTCTCAAAAAACAACATATTTTCTTTAATTTATACAATAAAACCAGTTTATCGAAATATAATTTAGTGATACGATGTGTAGGAAATTTTAACAGAAGACAGTAGCGTTAAAGATTATGTTTGTGTCCTTGTTTACTTAGGGGAAAATAACAGACATGTCTGTGGTCGAAATCAATGAGTCCCAACCCATAGATGGTTGGGGAAGTCCTTATTATGCTGAACCTACCTCATACTCCATGGTTACCAACGAAATTCCAATGGAAGACCAAGGAGGAAGTTGGAGCATGGAAGTCGTGGGAACAATTCCAACGGACCAAAATAACAATGCGGAAATCCAGTCTCTTAAGCAACGAATTCTGGCGCTGGAAGAGGAAAAGAAAAGTCTCAATAACATGTATCAAAAAACGGTAACGGATTACGAACTGTCGAAAACAAAACTGATGCAAGAATACGAGACAAAGATCGGGCAACTCAAAATTGAGCGAGACAACTGGCAAAAAAAGTACAACGAGTCACAAAGAGAAGTCCAAAGACTTAAGCAAAAGATTTCCGCCATGGAAATAGAAAATCTTCGTATGATTGAAGACTTGAAAAGGGAGCTTTCAAACAAATGTAAGATGGAGAAGGCAGAGATGGAAACCAGGTTCTCCACTGAAAAAGATGAAATGCAAGACAGCTTCGAAGAACAAATACACATGCTTCGAGCAGAAAACGAGGGTCTGCTACAGACGTATCAGAAGAGCACGAAGGAGTATGAGATGAAGATTGTACAAATTCAGCAGGAATATGAAGTTAAACTAGGACAGCTTAAACTTGACAAAGAAAAACTTGCGAAAAAGAATACTAACCTCAGCACACAAGTGACTACATGGCGTGAAAAATGCTCATCTCTTGAGAAACAATACGAAGAAATGCTGGCAAACCTGAAGATCGAGTTGACGGAAAAATGCCAAGTTGAAAAGGGTGATATGGAAGCTGCCTTCACGAAAGAAAAGGAATCCATGATGGCAGCTCACCAAAAATCCCTAGACGAATATGAAGTGAGAATAACTTCAGTCACTGAGCAATATGAGGAACAGTTGGCGCAACTCAAAGCGCAGAAGGATACATTTGAAACAAGTTACAACGGTTCTTTGGAGGAAATTACCGAGCTGAAGAAAAAATTGAAGGAGTTAGAGGAAAGCTACGAGTTACAGATGAGGGAGCTCCAAGATAAGCTAAAGATGGAGTACCTTCAAAAAGAAAATGCCATGGAAAGTGAATTCGATACAGACAAGCAAGACTTAATAAACAAGTACAAGAAACTTATACAACAAGGTGAGATTAGAATACTGGAAATTCGAAAGGAAAACAAAGTGATTATTACGAAACTGGAGGCAGAGAAGACACAGCTCATGGAGAAACATGCAGCAGAAACTCAGACATGGCAGGAAAAGGTTAACTCGCTAGAACAGAAGTACAAAGAACAAATGAAAGCTCTGGAGCAGGAGCTGCTTGAAAAATGTGAAAAGGAGAAGAATGAATTTGAAGTCAACTTCATGAAAGAAAAAGAAGAAATAATTGAAAGCCACAAGACCACGATTCAGAGTTATGAAACAAAATTGACAAGCACTCAACAAGAATATGAAGTGAAAATTGCTCAGATGGAAAAAGAGATAGAAAGGCTCGAAGAGACCAATAAGGCAAACACGGAAAAAATGGAACAAGAAATTTTAGTTTTAAAACAGGGTCACGAGAAACAGATTAAGGAAGTCAAAGATGAGATGACAGAAAAATGCAATAAGGAAAAAAGTGAAATGGAGGAGACATTTTTCAAAGAAAAAAACAATTTGGTAGAGTCCCACAGGACTGTGATAACAGAGTACGAAGAAAAGATTACTAGTCTCCAGGAGGAATTGGATGCAAAGGCTGATGAGATGGAAAGTGAAGTGAGGGGCCTCAAGGAGTCACACCAAAAAGCTCTTGAAACACTGAGACAAGAAATGGCTGAGTTAGAGAAGAAGCATAAATCAAATACCAAGGAGCTTAAGGAGGAAATGACGGCTAAGTTCGACAAAGAAAAGGAAGAATTAGAGTCAAGATTTCTAAAGCAGATAGAGGAGCTAAAGGTGTCCAATGCAAACACAGTTAAATCGTACGAAGAGCAACTAGCTGCAATCAAAGAAAAATACGAAAAGAAATTGGCAGATTTAGAGGCTGCCATGAACAGTCACGAACAGAAGTATAAAGAAAAGATCCAAGGGCTGAGAGAAGAGTTGTCTAGTAGCGTGGATAAATATGAACAGCTTATTAAAGAAACGAAGAAAGAACTGCGACAAAAATATGAGAAGGAAAAAGAAGAGATGGACAAAGAATATGCTGATGAGAAATCCAAGTTAACAGAGAGTCACGAACAAACTGTGGCAGATTACGAAAAGAAGATAGCAGACATCCAAGAAGAAATGAATTTAAAGTTAGAAAAACTTCGAGAGGAAAAGGTGTTGTTGAACGAAGACCACAGCCAAAAAGAAGAGGAATTGATAAAAAAATGTACGACACTAGAAGAGACTTACAAATTGAAAATGACGGAAATTAAAACATCTCTTAAAGAAAAATGTGAAAAGGAGAAGAGCGAGATTGAGGCAAACTTTGACCAAGAAAAACAACAGCTCATCGAGAGACAGAGTGAGATCGTTAAGAAGTACGAAGTTAAGATAACTGATCTGCTGCAAGATTTCGAGAAAAGGAATTCTCATTTTACAGCCGAAAGGGAGAAACTCGAATCGCAGAAGAAGAAATTACAGGCACAACTTGATAAGCTCCGTAAAGAAATGTTGAAATTACGAGAGCAATACGAAACAACTCTAAGAACCACAAAGGAGGAAATGGCTGACAAGATGAGAAAAGAGAATGCAGAAATAGAGAAGCAATTCAAAAAGGAAACTGAAAATTTGAAGGTGCAACATACTAAGAAGTTACAGCAGATCAAAACCGAGAAAGAGGCTATAATATCTAAACTAGAGCAAACAGTAAGAGATCTAGAGTCCAAAATCAAGGACTTGCAAAATCAGTACGATCAGAAGACAGCTGAGCTAACGAGAGAAAACGACAGATTAGTTGAGAGGTGCCAGAATCTAGACAGAAAGAATACAGAGGAGAACACCAGTCATAGAACAGAGACAGCCGAACTAAAAGAGGAAATAAAGAAGCGTGAAAACTGGATGGAAGAAAACAAGAACAAATATGAACAAGAGGTAGATAAACTGAAGCAAATTATAGCGCAGATGAAAGAGGACATGGAGCATAAAAGTAATCAATTGACAACGATGGAGAAAGAGCTAGATCGAGTTCAAAACAATCTTAAGGAAAGCCAAGAAGAGTTTATCTTACAGATAAGTTTATTAAAGAAGAAAATTAGTACGTTAGAAAATGACAAGAGGGGTTTGTTGAGCCGCATACAGAGCCTTGAGGCTTCCAAGAAAGACACAATAGTTTATTACGAAGAAAGAATTGTTAAGGAGCGAAAAGAAATTGAACTGAGGTGCATGTCACAGGTATCAAAGCTACAGGATGCACTCACGAAAGAATCGCAGGAGAAAGACGAGATTAACCAAGAGAATCAGGAATTTCTGAGGGAAGTGACAAATTGGAAGACAAAATTCAGCAACGCAGAGGACGAATACACCAACAACATGGAAGATTTGAGGAGCAGGCATGAAAAGGAAATAAGCGACCAAAAAATTGATTATGAAGATGACTTAGCCGATTTGAATAAGCAATTGGAGCAAAAGAATGTAACCATTTCAGCACTGGAGAAAGGAAAGCAAGAGCTTACCACGGCGGTCAATGAGCTAACCATCACAGTAGCAGGACTTGAGGAGGAAGCTACCAGACAAAACCTTGAATGGGAGAAAGATACCCTCGCAATGAAAAACAAGATCGAGATGCTTGAGGATGAAAATAGAAAATTAAACAATGAATCGGAACGATTACGCTTGAAATTGGATGACGTTGAAAGACTTTTCAGCGAAATTGAAGAGCAAAATGAAGCGACCATTAAAGACCTCAACGTAAAGATTGAAGAATACGAGACAAAGATAAAAGGATATTTGGAGGTTGAGACAGCAAATCGTGACACGCTTAAGGAACTATCTCGCTTACGATCTCAACTTGAGGCTAATACAGCAAAGGAGAGCAAACTGAACCAGGAGAACGGCACCTTAACATTAAAGATAACAGAGTTGGAGTACCTTAATAGAAGACTGACCGACGATCTTGCAACAATGGCCAAAAAATGTTCAGATTCAGAGGAAGAACGTAAAATGGAGCTTGAGCAGTTAAAAGAGAGGCACGAAATGGAGAGAGAAAAACACATCGGTGAAAAAGATAAGGCAACGGTCGAAGTGCGGAGATTACAAAAGATCGTAAACGAACTAGAAAGTACTATAAGACGCTTAAAGGACTCTGTCGAGTCAGTCAACGAGGAGAAAAAGAGAGACGAAGATCGTTTTAACTTTGAATTGCATGGTTTACTTGAGAAATACGAAAGTGAAAGGAAGAGGAACGAGACGTTGAAGGAGGAGCTCCAGCAGAAGACCCGCATTTTTGAGGAAAAGAACAGAGAGTGGACACGAAAACTGGAAGATGCCAGCTATAGACATCGAGATGAAAGAGAAAAGCTCCTAAAGGAAAGGAAAACTTTAGAGGAGAGTTATGAGAAACAGCTGAAGGATCTGAAAGAAGAAGCAACCAACGAAAGAGAGATTTGTGAAAGGAAAATAAGTCAACTCGAGCAAACATACAAGCACGAGATCAACACAGTTCGTTATGAACGCGAGCAGTACTTTAGAGAAGTAAGCAGTAAGGAAATAGAGAAGACCCGTAAGGAACTGGAAAAGGAGAAGAATGATCTTCAGCAAGAATTCCTAGCGGAAAAGAAACAACTGATTGAAGACTATAACAAGAGAATTCAAGACGAGAATAGGAGGTTTACTCAGTGCGAGGAGAAGTATAAAACTGAATTAGAAACACTTACAAGGGCAAAGTCGGAGATGGAGAGGAAGATATACGATCTAGAGACGACAATTGAAAGAACCAAAGAACAACTGACGTACCGCTTCACGGAAGAACGTCGTAAGATAGAGTATAAGCTAGAATCGGAGTTGAGGGAAGTCAAGGAAAAACACAGACTAGAGCTCATAGAACGTTCGCAAAAAGACAAACTGGATATGGAGGCAAAAGTCAAAACCGAGAGAGAAGAATTTGAAGAGAAAATAAGTCTTGAGTATCAAGCCAAGATAACAAAAGAAGTATCCAATCGGGAAAGGCAACTGAAAGATTCTTTCCAGAAACTAGAGAATGAATTTCGTGCAGAAAAGGAGCGGTTACTGGAGACGGAAGGAAAATTGAAGATGCAAAACGAATTGTTGTTAAGGGAAAAAGATGCGTGGCTTAAGCAAAGCCAGAGGGACAAAGATGAACTGTCCGGAAAATTGGAACATGAAAAAGAATTGCTAAATGTAACCTTGGAAGCTATGTCCAGGGAGCTTTCCAAGATGAGAGAGGAAAAGACTTCTCTTTCCGAATCCTTCAAGAAAGAAAAACGAGAGCTAGAGAAGAAGTATGAAACAGAAATGGCGGAATGGAGAAACAAGGTCGAAAAGGGAAAGCAAGAATTGATGGCACGACTCCGAGAAGAGTACAGACAGGCAGCTCAAGCTAACCAACGATCGGCAGACGCAACTATAGCTGGGCTTAAAGAAAAACTAGTGAAAGCAGAAAGGAAGATCGTAGAAGCAGAGGAGAACTTTAAGAAGGAGAAAAGCAAGTTAGAACATCAATTTAAGCACGAGAAAATGGAAATAGAGCAACGAACTCAAAGGATCACGCAAGAATTAAAGGTTTTCTTGGAGCAGGAGTTTTACAAAAGATCACAAGACGAAAGGAAGATTTATGAGAACACCCTGTCGAACCTACGAAGCGAAATACTAGAACTTCAGGAAGGCAAGAGCAGACTTGAACGAACTTTATTGGAACAACAAATGATCGCGCATAGCCTCGGGAGAGACGTCAGTTCACTGAAGAGTGAGACGCAGCAGTCAAGCCCTAGGCAACGGGAACTGAGTCTCCTGGAGCGAGAACTTCAAGAGTTACGACACAAAAACGAAAAGCTGAAAATTGCCACGAAAGAGGCTCAGTTTTATAACAATGAGCTTGTACAGTGGGAGAGTGGAACGAATTGTCCAGTTTTGAAAACTGCTCAAGAAATGACGTCCACTGCCTCGACCTCACAGTTTCCTGTAGTTTATAGCGGAGAAAGAGGGGTGAGTACACGTAAAATTGTCGCAATGTTATTTATAAAGTCAAATAAAGCCCTGAAGGAGCGTTTATTAGGAAACCTTCATCAAAAAGTGCCGAATTGCGCTCTTTTTAACACTGTTAGAGGTGGGGAGACGTAGCTAAAACTGAGCATTGATGAGTGAAAGTGATTCGACGAGAAGCTGAGTTCATTTCCATAGAGTTTAAAGGAAACAAATCAGAAGTCCTAAAGTTTATAAATTGATTTGAGAGAAGAAATTTACTAGCCGAAGACACTAATTAACAATAATTTTCCCTGTTACACTATACAAGGAAGGTTCCCCACACGCGTTTTTAATCAATCGATGTTATCGTTTTCCTAAAGTTATCGAGGGTCTCTAACGAAGGCAAAACCCGAATCCTTGAGCAAACAGGCCTAAGGTTTCAATCAAACAACGATCGTCTTGAAAAAGAGTTGGAGAAAATGGGAGAAAAGCTGATGGATTTGGAAGAAAGAAAAACGGATCTTATGCCAGAGGTAAGATTGAATTAACTGATCAGATGTTTATGAAAGCACAAGGTCGCTCCAACATGATTCTCGTGACGTGCGTTTTTCCAGATGTAACTGTTGGGTGTAACAAAACGACTGTTACCTCTGGTGCTTATAGAGACCTTTGTCTCTCAAAATGCTTTTCTTAATTATATGTTAATCTTAAAACATAGACACTAAAAATAGCTATAAGCATACGTGATAAGAGTTTCTTAATCACTACCAATATCAACTTTATGAAATATTTAACAGGTTGAAGACGTCACAGCTAATTCAGGAGAAAACTCAGAAGTAACAAACACAAATCGATTCTACAGTAGCAACACTAGCTATATGGCGAGCAATTCTTCGTCTGGACCTAACTACTATTAGTTAATGAAGAAGGGAGCACCTGTTAAGTCCAAAATGGGTTGACGAGTTTGTTACCCAAGATCGGATCTCGTTACTTTATTCACTAGTGATATAAGATTAATTCTTGGTGTTATTTGGTGTAAGATTATTACCCAGGCTATTAAGGAAAAGTAAGCAAACTGATTGGTCTAGGACTGCGTCACATCGTGTAATCATCACTTCGTGCAAGATGACTATAATACTGCAGCACGAAATCAAAAAATGACGACAGCCTGTATTGATGATATTTCTGAAGTGATTTTGAAGAAGAATGAAAGTGAAATTACTTCAGTAATCGGGGAGATTTTACAGACTAGTCTAATTGGGCTCTTTCAACAGTATCAATGAAGTGCTAAAGCCACATGGAGTAAATAAAAATTGTTAAATTTAGATATTGATATACAAAATGCCAGAAAAGTAGTAACTGAACAGGCCTATTTGTGACACTACATCTTAATCCAAAGCGTGTAGTTGATCGTTAGCACGTAATTCATAGTGATTTCAGTGGTAGAAAATTTTATTTAATTTTCAATCAACTGATTCACAAAGTTGCGTTTCACATCGAGTTCCACTGATTTTTCTTTCAGAGGATTTCTCCTTTGAAGGGAGAAGTTTATCAATCTTATCATATTTAAATTTAGTTTTCACAATAGATCAGACTGTCTAGATGTTTAAGGACACGTGTGATCTATTATTGCTTGTTAAGGCATTAGGTATCAATTTGAAGCAAATTACGATGTGCAACATCAATTGAGGGGTAAGTCAAAATCCTTGATTATCACATTGGAGTGTGTCATTCCTCAAAGATTAAATACTTGTTCTACAGCTAGACTTTTCCACCTGGGAAACTAACTTAACATCGTTGAGGTGCGGTAATTTATGAGACTACGAAAAAATTTAGGTAGTTATAGTCAGTTATCTCAAGCATTGGAAAATTTTCACTCCGTTTTATAGCCATTTAATGTTTGTAATATTTATTATTTTAGATTAACACGAGTAAAGCCATGACTAGTTGTGGGGATTGTTTATTGTTTTACTTTCAGTGAATTTGTCTTTTTTGAGAGAAAGCTTTCAAATATTTTCCAACCGTTTATAATATGTAGCAGTAGTTTACTGAGGGTAGATAGATTGTTATGATAATCGGTTTAAGAGGCCATTGGGAACACGATGCTTTGTCTTTCAATTTCGTAGCATTTAGTAAGTCATAATAACTTAATAAGTAACCTAACTTTTATTTCGTTAGAAATCTTTTAAATAATACAGCTCTTTTGGTGTCTGAGTGTTACCGGTTTATAAAATGTACCAGTAATTTGAGGGTGTAGGATTAGTATACATTGGTGTGGAAGCCATGAAAGGCTATTAACTGCACGATGTTTTTTCTTTCAATTTTATGTTCTAAAATTAATCATACCGACTTGACACGAAACTTTACTTTCATTTCGTTAGAGACACTTTCATTGGTATAGCTTCCTAAGTAGCTAAATAATACAGTTTTCTTTTCTGGGAGAAATCGATTTGGTGAACTCATTTCTGTGAAATTTGTAATTTACGAGGAAACAAGTCGCCTGCATAATGTACTTTTTCAATCAAGGACATTTCATGTTCAGCAGGGAAGGGATCTATTCTTTGTGGGAGGCTATTGATTAATTCACATAATAAAAACATTTCCTCTGGGTCATTGCCTTCTTTCTTTTTTTAAACAAGGGGCTCAGTGTATGCGTGATACCAATACTTTTAAAAAAAAAGCAAAAAACAAAAAACTGGTTTAGGTCTTTTTATATCTATCCTTCCAACTATCGCACAACGATCTACATCCCTCTGTTTTGCAAGTAGTTAAAAACTCGCCTGAAAAGGTTCAATTCAGAAGTTGGAATTGTTGTTGATTGTCTTTGGTGCAGAAAGCACACGTGTATTGACGAAGTTGACATTCACAATAATACTAACTGTCAGAGACATTCATTTGAGCAGGATGATCTCCCCCCAGTCAGTATTGTGTTACTTTTTATTATCATCTCAGCGATGACGGTAGTATATTGTTATCATTCCACAAAAGCGCAGTAAAAAGCAAATTTCATTCAATATCTGTGCTCACCACTCTTAATATTTGGCCAAATGGTAATCCGAGTTTTTTTTGTCTCCGATTTGATGATCGGCATGTATTACGCCCCTTTATGCAACTTGTGAATAAATTTGCGACAGAGTTTACCTTTCCTAGAAAGCGGGTAAGATTTGTCTCCTAAGAGTCCCTTCCGGTTTCATCAGCGTGGCGTCTGTCATACATTTCTAGGTTGGCTGGTCCTGAGAATTGAAATTTATTTTCAGAAATTATCTTCTTATTGATCATTTTTCCAATTCCCTTGATTCCTTTGCTTAAGGATGTTTTAAAACTACAATGTGAATTTATTTACACATTCTGGGAGTCGAAAGGTCATTTTGTTCCATTGGGGATGGCGTGACTCATGAATCATGCTGAAATGGCGTGACTGATATGCCGTGCTGACATCTGATAGTTTTTGACCGGAGTTGACAGAGTGTGGCGTCATCACCAAAGCTGAAGGAAGTTTGAAATCCTCACGTTTCATATAAATCTGATTGCATAAAGTAAGTTTTTCCTTTACTCTGTGTGTCAACGAGTTGAATCATCCAGTAAATGCGGTAAGTTTGTCTGTTAGGCTTAGCTGTCGGCTTGTTATGATAAGTCTTAGACAAGAATGAAATGCTTTTTTACGCTATCACAAAAATTGGCAAATAAGCTACTACACCGATTCCATATCTTAAATGTAGTAAACTTCTTGAGTACTATGACATGATGTAAGCTCTGCCAGTTCCCATTGAGCATATAAAAACAATGTGTCGACGTCAGTGTGTGATACATCACTCGTTTTTGAGGTACAAATACGTCCTTACCTTAGCTAGTGGTGTGACCCATCAGGATATTATCGATTGGCGAAGGACTCAGGAAGCCAGAGGCACAGTTTCGTGGATCCCATACAACTCGTTTAAATGTTGATGTTTTTGCTTCCTTGATTCTATCACTGGTGTTTCTTGGACGTTGATTTTTGACTGCTCGTCCGTCAATGGCCCTAGGCAAATGACACGAGCAATGATTGACAGACGGTGAATAAATGAAGCGATAACAATAAGACTTGAAGTGGCCGGCAGAAAACAAGGGAATTCCAAAGGGCACGAACACCTATCTTGCGGATATCTATTAGCTTTGGACGTGTGTCAGTCATTTGAAGGGATTACGCGTTACCTGAACTTGTCAGATTCACGAAAGAGGTTTTATTTCTTTCAAACTTTGGCTTCTCGCTCGGTTCTGTAAACTTCGGATAGCGTATTTCGTGGTGTTGTTGCGTTATTTAACAATCGGTCGGCATTACATTCCGTCCTTGACTAAGTTTAGATTGCGAATATTACATTTGCCTATAGGTGACTAGGATGGGGTCTATGTTTGGCCACAAAATAGACTATAATAGGGTAGAGGTTGTGAGAGGCTTAGTGGCACAAACGCAACAAAAAAATGACCCAAGCGTTCCACCTCCCCGCCTCCCCGGGTTACGGATCTCCTATTTTATGGCCCGCACGCGAGCGGGCTCAAAAGATGGAGCTCGGTTAGTAAGCGGTGTGTATTAGAAGGAGTCGGACCTTCATATATGCTTTGAAGTTATTACTTTACGCAAGATTGTCTCATAACGACAGACCTTCTTAATCAATCTCGGCCTGTATTTTGATAATTCATAGCTAACCACGGTGAGTACATTTTCATTTCTTTTCTTTCAGAATACATTGAGGATGGCATTTACTACATCCTTGTCTATAATTGGCATCATTCTCCTCATAGGATGCTTTACACACAACGTTATTACCGGTAAGTGGAGACTGTTTTTTTTCATAAGAACCTTTTGACAAACAAAAAAAAAAAAAAAAAAAAAAAAAAAAAAGGAAAAGGAAACCAACAATTAATTTATAACGGGGGGGGGGGGGTTGGTGGGGCAGCAAAGATGGTTTCATGGTCTGATGACTCATGTCATATTGTCGACTGGTTTCGAATGTCCGTACACAAAGCAATAATTTTCATGTCTTAACGCAAATATAACTCGTATCAGGAAAAGAATAACGTTTCTGGCTGAGTGAAAATATTTGTTAAACGCCATGCCACTCTTGTCATGTGTCGGACATGATTTTATTACTTGATAGGTTCTTTCGAGCGACACTTAAGCGACAACTGCTTAAGAAGACGACCTAGGTCAAGAGAAGAAAATAATAAGGCTAATTTGAATTTCTTTGCCGGCCTCTGCGCTTGAAAATTTCGCCCGCAAATCAACAACCGCGTGTAAAGTCATATGCTGCACTGAGGAAAAACCTGCCGAATCAAACTGATTCAAACGTCACTATTCTGTCGCGCATGAAAGACTCCTCGCCCACCCCTCTCCCCCCGCTCAACTCTTCTCTTGACTTGTAAAGTCTCGTTAAATTCATTAAATTGTTTCTTTCAAGGAGGAGACGCAGGAACTGCCGAGAAGAGAAGTAAGAACTGCACTAATCCTCCAGGTGAAGTATGTTTCATGTCATTTTTGATTCGAGAACCAATCTCATAATATACCCTTTTCTCGTTCAACAATTTAAAAAAATTAGATCCTGGCAGCTCGCAGGATGTATTTTGTACATGGTTTAGCTAACCTATGAGTTCTCTCATGACTCTCAGCGTAACTCCACTAATAGATCATTCAACCTTGCAATATGTGAATTTGTTCATATTAGCGTCCAGATAAACGTTGGTTTGCCCAACCCGGTTCCAGGTTCCTACGAGGGCAAGATGTTCATGCGTAATCAATCTTCGTCGATGTAAAGCGAGATGCGAAGTCACCAAAAAATTCGAAATTTTTACTCGACCTCCCGTAGATAAGTTCGGGTCTAACAATGCAAGCCGTTCTTTTCCCGTTTGGTGACCAAATCTGCTTCATAGTCCCATGGGTTCCTAAAGGAGATGCGGGGAAACTGAAGATGAGAATAGCGAGCCTCCCCTACTAAGTTTACCTTTGATGTCGCTAGCATCATATTACTGCCTTCTGCTCAAATACCTTAGGGGTGGTACAAAGGTCGAAAATGTTGCTTGTTTACATAGAAATGTGCGTAAGAATACTCAATTAGAAAGAAAAGGGCTTCAAAGTCAAAGTTCAAAAATTGACGATTGCAACAGATTGATATGGAAATATTTTGACAGAGCTTACGCTAAAACCATCAAGGTGATTTTCCTTCTTTTTGCCCCATTCTTGCGCAAAATACACTTTAGCAGACCTCGCAAACGAAGAGTAAACGAACAGAATACTCAACTAAAAACAACGGGCTTTAAAGTCTTAAAATCAACGATTACAACAGTCCCAACGCTAGATATTGAAATATTTTGTCGCGCCGCGTGAGCGAATTTAAATCTTATCTTTAAGTTGATTTTTGCGTACCTATTTGGCTGCCACATGGCTATACGTTACACACATTTGGCAACTGGTTTGATTCGACCTTTTAAAGCGATTTTATTCTTTCCTCAAGCTGATTTCGCATGTCTGATTTTGCTATATTTTAGACATATTTGGCAGCTTATTTACCATGTTTTGGGGATTTACAGATTCCATTTGATTTGACCTTTCTTTTTGTCATTCAATCAGGTAATAGGTTATTTCGCTCCTAGGGCGTAAATTTTTGTTTTTTCATTGCTCTTGAGGCTTCGAAACTTGCTCGAGCGCTCTCCAACAAGACTGCCAGCTACGCACACACTAGATATCACGACCTCGCAAGTAAAATTGCCTACTTTTTACACAACAAATCTCCGAGTAAGCACGAGTGAGAGCTTCAATAGTGTCTACCTTCATAGATAACGCACTGTCGCACGAAGAACTTGCCCCTGAGAGACCTGATACTGGATTGGCCAGTATTAGCAAAGTTTCGTGTTTGAATTAAGTTTTGAATCCAAATGGGAGACTTAAATTCGTATTTCACCTTAATTAGTGAAAAATTCCTACTGATCCCTTATTCGAAGGGGCAGCTTAGGAATTTATTAATCTACTTCTTTCATCCCCATCAGGTATAGCCAATGGGAAGGTTAGAATAATAAGAAAGACACATGCAATATACAGTTGTAATCCTGGCTATAAGACCATTGGGATTCTCTTGATCAGATGTATTAATAGCAAGTGGACTGGAAATCCTCCCACATGTCAGCGAGGTGAGACATGAGAAATGTGTTTCATGCTTTGAATTGAAACGTAAAGGCGATTTATCCCGCTAAACTCGGACATACTCTTACGTCTATTTTCCTTAAAAACTAGTGTGATAGTGAGGGAATAAAATCCACTTTCATAATTTCCCCAAACCTACCAATCTAATGGTGCAATAAGCTTTAATGTGACCTCTAAACAGCAAGAAACTTCTGAGTTTTAAAAATTGCTTAAAAATAAAAAACGAACATTTAGCGGAGAAGTAATTTTTTCCCCGCCGTGAGGTTGATTTTGATATCAAAGTGCGCTGATAAGCTAAATTCTTTAGCTGATATTCAATCTATTATTATGGTACCATAATTTTCATGGTGATTAAATTCCACCGGACAAAGGATACATTAGACAGGATTTATCACCTCATAATAGTTCGCCGAATGCGTACGTCGTGTAGTGCCCTATCCAACAAGAACACCGGGTATACAAATGATAACTAGCGCAATTTTTCCCCCCTTACTACAGACTCGACACCTCTATCATGTAAAACACCCAGAAGAATCCGAAATGGAGATTTTGAGCCACATAAAGACGACTACCTGGTTGGTACCACTGTCAAGTATTCCTGTGACGACAACTACCGGCTCAGAGGGAGTGCCAAAGTGACTTGTACCAATGAAAAAAGCTGGTCACCCAAAAAACTTCCAAGATGTATAAAAAGTAAGGAGATTTCGTTATTGTTTACTGCCATATCAAACTTGACTGTGTAGCATAGTTAGGAGTAATGGTGGCCTAACGGATATCGGGCTGAGAGACCATATTGAAGGCCACATTGGGGGCATTGCCAGTATGGGCAAATCACTTTGCTGTCATATTTACTTCATCAAAGAGTAAGACGCACTGTCTTTAACGTTAGCATACTGTACTTCAGACAAGGGGTACGGGTTCGAATCCTGAGCGAAACACTGTGTCTTGTCCTTAAGTAGTTGTATCTCTTTTCACCCAAGAGTATGAAGCTACCTGCATATTTTTTATATGGCGCCGCTGCCCGTAAATTTGAGCATAGTCTAACGTGAAAAAGGTCCAAAATAATCGATCGAAATACCTTGTAACATGTTTTAGATGGCCGCACGTCTGGAGTTACTAAAAAAAATCTAGACATTTTCAATGTTTCCTACATGGAGGATTCGGCGCAGCTGTTATCTTTTCTCCGCCTTCCTCACGAAACAAGTGAGGTATTGCAAATTCATTCCTTTGTGACCAAATGCCTTGGGCTTAAAAGAAAGTGGGAAGGATTGCCTGGGAATAAACCAGCAATGACGAACCAGTATGTTGGGTACAGTTGTTAACTAAAAATGATATACTTAACCTTTTATACTCTAACATCAGTATGCATATTCTCCGTACTGTTCTCTTTACATTTCCTAAGGTGCTGACGAAGAGAATTTATTTAACAATCAGGAGCTTCTTTAGTTGGTGGTAATTTCTTTTATTCTCACGGCCTTAATGGGTGATTTAGTGGTGATATTGTGAGGAGAAAGTAGATGGTAGCCACTCTTAGAGGTTAAAGGGTTAAATGACCGCCTTGCTCTCTTTTTTAGGAGCAAAGTGTAAGGATCCAGGTACACCCAAACATGGTCGCCGAGTCGGAAGTTTGTTTCTAGAGGGAACTCAAGTCCGGTTTTCCTGTGATGACGGATATGAGCTCGTTGGTCTTCAGTCACTTCAATGTGTTCCGTTCTGCAGATCGTGCAAGACAGTAAGATGGAACGGAACAACTCCAGCATGCGAAAAATTTGGTAAGTGTTTTTCTCGAAAGACTTATAAATACTCATTGTTTAAAGAGTTGTTTGCGCAATAGCGTAAGCTCATTTTACTTACCGGAGAATCGTACTTTGGATGTTTGCGGGTATCCGATGCTTGTAAGAAGCTAAAGCTACAAGAAAATCGCACGTTATCATTGAAGAAACATGGTCCTCGTTTTCGCACTTTAAACTTAAAAGTATAGCCAGAGGAAGGTTAACAAAGAAGTGTTTCGGGAACTCGTACATTCAATCACTGATTCATTTATCCATGAAGATATGAGAGAAAATCATATATTCGATAAGTATCAAAAAGAATAGCAAACGTGTCCTTAACGACGGATCTGTTGTTCGTAGATCCCTTAAGAGGTTTGAAGAGGGTCGCAGACAGTCTCCGAGAACATTTCATCGACAAACTGAGCTGGACGACAACCGACAGTTTGGCACGCGCAGGTTTGTCCTCGGGAGCCGGAGGCCTCGACTTGGTGTTCGTGTTCGACAGCTCAGCAACTGTCGGTAGTGCGAACTTTAAAAAAGGAGTTGAATTCGCCAAGACAATCATCGACGAGTTTGGGATATCGGCATCTCCCATGGGAACGAGAGTTGCTGTTGTTACATTTAGCTCGACAGCTAAAGTAGTTTTTAATCTGCAAACGAACGCAATGGCTGACAAAGCAGAAGCTATAAGGACTCTCGGTAGGTCAAACCGCTGGTAATGAGAGACGTTAGGGCAACATAATTTCGTTAATGATAGACATATCCCTTTATATCCTTTACACTGTTCTGGTTAATTCGTTTCTTTTTCCGGGTTTGTCTACTATCAGGTCCTTTCTTTTAAAATAATTTTACAATCAAACTGAACATATAGTTGAAATGACAGAGTTAAAGAGAACCCGGTCGTTTCGCCACGAGGAGCTTTTACCACATATCATCCCGCTACTATGATGTTATCGCGCCATTAACTAAACCAGGAAATCGCTCCAAAGGTCACAACTGGCCCTTCTCACCTCCTTCCCGCTCACAGAACTCTTCGGTTCTGAGAACGGAAAGTACTGATTCAGATCGATGTAGCCGAATTAAGAGAATAGGGTCAAACAGCATTATCCAATTATCCATAGAATGCGCGAAAGATGAGAGGAGACTTTAAGCCTCGATTACTTCCGGCGATGGCGCAAACTCGTGTCTCGTTAATTTGGAAACGAAAACATACGCGACTGCGTAGTTATGACGCACGCTGCTCACATGCAAAAATACCTTTTTGCTGATCATTTTCACGGGAAAGAACCTTTTCTCCCAATTCGCCATCTCTTGATAAATGAAAAGCAGCCTTGATCTCCTATCATCTCTCTCCTTTCTTTCCTTCTCAGACAACTTAGACTTCATTGCCGGTGGCACCGCTACACGCCTTGCATTGAATAAGACCATTGAGGAAATCGTTCCTGAGGCCCGAAAAGACAGCAAGAGGGCTTTGTTCCTCATAACTGATGGCAGGTCCAACATCGGTGGTGATCCCAGCGCAGATGCTGCGATACTGCGTGACTTCCAGAAGTTTGAAATCTACGCTATTGGTGTAACAGACAGCGTGAATGAAAAGGAACTGCGCAGTATTGCTTCTGAACCCTTCAGAACGCATGTGTACCTTCTTAAGGACTTTGATGATTTAGCCAAGCTTAAACAGCTGATCACGGCCAAAGGAAATGGTGAGTACATTTTCTTTGACTTTTATTATTATATCTCCCATCGTATACTTACTTTGTTAACTTAAAAGGGCGTTGGCAGGATCTTCTGGTCCTAAATCAGCTTCTAACCTTTCTTTCGGGGCACTTCAGGATCTCTTAAAGCTATACTCTTTGGCTAGGTTTGCTGTATGCGTCTCTGATGTATTTTATGCGAATAAAATCCGAGACAAATTTGTCCGTCAGACACCTTTTATCGTATTTCCTTTCACACATAACTCGGTAACACTTTCAACACACCAATCACCAATTTTTGTGTGAGCAGATTACAGTGAATGTGGCATCGCAGGAGATACTCAGCTGAGAAATGACGATGATGAAAATTTCGGCTTTGTCGGTGGAGAGGAGGCGAAGCCAGGAGCCTGGCCCTGGCAAGCAGCTATCTACGTGAAGGGAAATTTCCGGTGTGGTGGTGCACTTATCAAAGGGAACTGGGTTATAACTGTGGCGCACTGCTTTTTCTACGATGGGGCTGTGAAACCGAAAGATGTTATCGTAAGGATGGGTAAGTCAATCAGAGATATTAGATACAGGTATTTTAAAAACAAGCGTGATGTGGCTATGATTACAAAACGATAAAATTGTAAAAAAAAAAAAGAAAAAAAAAAGATGTTAAGCTGAAGATGTCACATCACATTAGTGTACCATGCTTGCATCTCTTTAAAAGTATCTCTCCTTCTCTGTGAGGACCTCGGTGCCAGGCTGTAGGCTACACTATGTTCACCAGACCAAATAAGGCTGAAACTGGTAGATAATTGGTAGAAAAGCCTCACACTGACGATTTTTATTTTATGCGTATCTTTTGGCTTCAGTTTATCGTATTTTCCCGAAAACATCATTAAAATGAGCCATTCAGACTCAAAAATTGCGAAGAAGAAGGATATTTCGCTCAAGTACAAATAACCCATCAACTCCCACAGGTGACAAAAACAGAATTTCTCCTCACAATATCAAGCGAACAAGTGATGAGAATAGAAGAAGATATCGATAGGAGGATTCTTAGTTGATCCAATACAAAATTCTCCAAACTAACGTCATAAGAATTCTGTAGCAGACAGTGAGGAGAATTACTAATGAGACCTTTGGGGCAAAAGGACAATAATAAGCCACGATATCCCCTGCGTTCAAAAACTGATGTGCACTCTAACAAATTGTAGCCTTTGTAATTTTTCTGCGATTGGCAAGCGCGTCCCAGACAAACAAATGTCTTTTTCGGTAATTGTTATTGCGCATGTTGTTTTGTTTGAAAAGTTGCCTTTAAACAATATCACTGGTAAAAAAACAAAACAAAAAGCTGATTATAAATTCTAACAACTCTATACCTTAATTTGAAAGAATTTCTAAGTGGCGAACTGCTGATGTTTTTATACGACGTAACATTTCTTAACTTCCTATTTCCTTGTGTAAACAAATCGAAGACGATCTTGCCAGAATTAATAACGACTTTCGATTTTAACCTGTTAGGAGAACACAATCGTTTCAAAGAAGAAGGTGCTGAGCAGAATATCGGAGCAAAGAAGGTTATCCTGCATCCAAATGCGACCCGGGGGAACTTAAATATAGGAAATGACTTGGCTTTGATTCGCCTAAAGCACGCCGTGAAATTCTCACCGTTGGTGAGAACTGTATGTCTCCCAGAGCCCACGGATGTGTTCTACGTCAGACCACGAAAAACGTGTGTAGTAGCCGGTTGGGGATCTTCTCAAAAGGTTAGTACGCGTTTTCCGTCTCTAAATGCTCTCCTCATGTGCGTTCTCATGTTCTTCTCTCTCCTCATTGCGGCTGGAGAATTTCAGCCCCAACTAATGTCGGATTTTCGGTATCTTACGTCAGCACAAACTGATCTAAAATTGCTCAAGAAATTTGAGACGTAGAGATATCCCCGCAAAGAGGCGAATTATCCCTCGTTTCCGTTCAAAAGAAACTTTTCTGTTTGACGTTCAGTCGTAACAGGACTTCTCCTGTTATAGGCACTTTAAAATATCATTACAAAGGCGAAAATTGTGCGCGAGAGTGTAGAAAAGGTAAATCACGATGCAATTACTCATGAAATTCTCATTATGGAGAGGCTCTGTGCAAACAGAATGTCTTACTCAAGAGCCCATCACTATGAACGTAGCAATGGCTTTGACCATTCTCCCAAGAAAAAAAAATCAAAACTTGTTGTACCTAATCACTGATGCATGCTCTTCTTGCAGGTTTCGTCGGATGATTTAGCGGGCCCTCCGAATGAAGTCCTGCAACAAATTCAAATGAAGTTCGTATCCCAGCGCGATTGCCGCGAAAATGCCACCAATGCCGCAGCAATAACAGAAAACGTTGTTTGTGCTGGTGACGCCACAGGAAAGAAAGATGCCTGTAAAGGGGACAGCGGTTCACCCCTTGTGGTAAGCGAAAGAGGACCTTGGAGGATATCATAGATGCGTCACTTGCAAATCTTAAGAAGTATACCGAAATAGCACCTTGCATCTTCTTAAAGACCTTCTCATTGACAACTAAATGCTACATGGCGAGTTTTTGTTCTTCGCTTTAGGCGTATGACCGTTTCCTAGTCGTTGGGACTGACTAAGAGCCACTTTAGCCCAAGTCGCTATTACTCATATAACGTATTACTTATAATATCAGTTTGGAAGGAAACGAGGAAACGAGGAAACAAAAACTAAAAACAAAGACAACAAGATAGTCTGAACAATAACACAAGCGTGCGAGCGGGCTAAAAGCCAAAATCTCCATTTTACCCCGCAAAATGCGTTTCAATACCCGACGAAGGGAGAACAATACTTCATTAGAAGTAAATATTTCTTTTTTCACTGATTTCCTTTTTATCTTTAGTGATTTTCGTAGTCGCTTCATACAAACTTTTTTCTTTCACAGATCAGACGTTCCATCGATGACAGCTGGGCGGTGATTGGTCTATCGAGCTGGGAAGATGGGTGTGCCAGTAAAGGAAAATACGGTGTGTACACGCGACTGAAAAGTCATTTGCGCTGGATAAAGCGGAAGACGAACAGAAAAAATAGTAAGAACAACAAAGATTAGAGAGAAGCGTTCGATCAAACTTAACGGAGAGTAGTAGGGAAGTAGGGAAGGGAAGATTTCCTGTTTTCATAACGTATATGGACAAGACTTAGATCTTTTAAGATCTGATTAAAATTGTAGTCTTTCTTTTAGTGATTTCCCTTATTTACCGCGGGGGGTGGGAGGGTGAGGGGCATCGATCACTATTAAGTCCTCCACTCCCTCCCCCTAAAGCGATAAACAAGGAGATGATTAACATAAATAAGGTTCCATGAACGAGAGTAGTTACCTCTTACGATAAACTCGTGAATGTTAATTTTCACCGGCAAAACAATGTTAACTACAATACTTTTTGCTGGAACTGTCACTGTATAGTTTAGTTTGCGGATAAATAAAGTGCACTGACGTACAATGAGGCTTATTTCTTGGTTGGTCTGAAAATAAGTAATGGCTTTGTCACATGATAAACAACATAGCACCTTTGAAAAGATAAATTAACGTATACCGTCGAGAATATTACCGATCAAGGCAGTTCGGAAAGCCGCAAAACTTGGAACAAAAAATTCAAATCGGCGCTCCTAATCCCCACAGTATCAACGCACGCTTTTCATTCAACCAATTTATTCTTGTTTTTCTCGTTACAATAATCCCACCAAAAGCGTAACCGTTGCTCCGTTTTCTGCATACAAACCTACACACACAAACCACAATTGTCACAATTCCTCCATTCGCTCTGACGAAGGGCTATAACTCGAAACGTCGGCTTAGAAACTCCACACGGTGGCCAATTTACATTATCAACTCAGTTGATTATAAAAAATTACTAAGAAATATTTCCTCATGTAACAGTGATTATACCTTAGTCAAAAAGGTACCTACCAAAGGTATTCGATCATTTGTAGAATATATAGAGATCACCTCTTCGCGAAAACGCTCTCTACATTTATGACCTAAGAAAATAAAAATTAATAGTCGCTTCGAAGAATCTCACATGATATGGAAAGAAGGTGGAAACAACGCAGTACAAATAAGATATTCTTTTATTTCCATATGTTATTTCTAATGAAATTTGAGTGCAAGAATGTCACTTAGGGCTAACAGTCTGTGGATAATTGTTCCACCTCGATCTATCACTGTGTTTGCAATTGATTTACTTTATTTCTATAACAATGTTGTCACCACGGTCTCATAATCCTTTTCGAGGCTTTGCTCTTGTTGATTTTGAGCTGATCCATCCTGTGCTCATGTTCAGAGACATTATTTGAACCTGTTGATTTCCCGCTTCTCCATCTCGATTGATGAGTGGACTGAAGAAACACAGGAACAATGGTTTCTTTCCTACCTACAAAGACTTCGGGAAGAAAAACAACCATAAAAATCAAAGAGTGGTTATAAAGGGGCAGCACTTATGTTACTTAATGCACGAAACTTTTTCTTGGGCAACCCTGAGACAGCCCAGAAGCAAACAGTGCCATTTGTCTGGTAATTAAATGATTGGTGTTGTAAGTGTTTCTGTCTCCAAAAATGGTCATGGAGGTTTATCAATACAAATACATCAGATCGTTTCCCTTACTCCTTTATCGAATAACCACTTTCAGCTGTGAGCCATGTTTGATACGTGTGTAAGAGCTCAGCTATTGATCACGATCCTTTACACTCCAACATCAGTATGCATATTCTCCACACTGTTTTCCGTACATTTCCTACGGTAAAGGAGATTATGCCTAACAATCAAGCGCTCATTTTTTTGTTGATCATTTCTCATTTTCTCATGACCTTAAGTTTTATTCAGCATTTATTATATTTTAGTCACACCTAGGAACTGAGTGTGAAGCAGGCTACGCCACTGTTTCTGTATCTCGTTGAACAATCGCTTAAAGTGACAGTCTTCATTCCCTTTCAGAGCGTCACAACACCAAAACCAAAATCATCACAGTTACCAATCAGACAAAAGAAGGAAAATGTCAAAATGATTAAAAAAGAGATCAAAGTAAAAACAAGCAAAGTGCCCGTAGCGAGGGAGACGTGCGTGAGAATGTTGCGATTGGTTATAGTTCGGCTTATCAATTAGATTCCATGATGCCATGCGTCTGTTCAGTTTCAACCCTTTAATTAACCCCTAACAGTGACAAGCATCTAATTTCTCCTTACAAGATCACCTCTGTTTCACATATTCAGGTCATGGGAAAAAAGGAAATAATCATCAAGTAAAGGAGGTCATAATTGTCAAACAAAATCTCTTTGTCAGCTCATCAGGAAATGTATAGAGAACAGTGAGGAGAAAATGCAAACTGATGTCAAGGTCTAAAGGATTAAATTACAGATGAATTCAAAATGTGATAAGAACAATGCGTCACTGCAAAATGCGTTTTTTCGATGACGTCAACTATGCGTCAATCTTCCAAGAGATCATAAATAGGAACCAATCAAATCGCCTGTATAATTCAGCTTATCAGGTAAATCTGATTGGATTAGAAGTTAGGGGCCAATCAGATTAAATTAGAGAAAACCCATGGTAGTCCCGGATTAATTTCAACACTTAATTAAGAATTGCTACAATGTATTTGTACTTCCTTATCATGATCGCATATCTCACCTCATAAGCTTCCAATACTACCGTAATCGTAAGCTGGGCTGGCTGGACATTTTATCCAAGTCTCAAACCCTTTAGACCTTTCAAAATATTAAACATCAAGTCAGTTTATGTTAAGTGTCAGGTGATCTTTTAGGGACTACTCCACTCATTATTCATCGCGGGGGGGGGGGGGAAGGGGTTTGGGGGGGATTCACATAGTTTTCAGGGGAAACGGAAGTGAGATCAGTTATCGCTAATTAAGTATAAAGGGGGGACTACTGAAAATTGACCGTCAATGAAGGGGGGGGGGAAGTCATATCATTAGAATACTAAAGAGCCTTACTAGGGAACTGTTATTGTGACAAAACCTAAATTCTACGATTTTTATGCCGATTTTCCCATCACGAAAATGTTAAGATAAGAAGCGAACCAAATTTCTAAGGCGTTGGCACAGCAACAAAGAACTTACCTTCCACTCGAATCATTGAATCTTTTACAAATCATTCTACATTCTTGAATATCCTGTCGGATATGTTCCAACAATGCCTCGTGTTGTTTGTTTAGTTTCTGGAAGAATGTCAAGCGTTTTTTTATCCTGTTTGTGGTGTCTTCATTGATACAGTTTCTAAACGCATCCAACCTAAGCTTTTCTTTCTCAATTAACATGTCTTGTTGTTTCTGTGCCTCGCGAAACTGGCTCAGTAAGCCCAGTATCTTTTCACGACATTCAGTCCCTTCATCACCATTCTCCGCCACCTTTTGCCAATTATGAACCTCTGTCCGAATTTGCACCTACATAGAGGACAAAATATGGCTTTACTTGCAGGGTAAGAAACATTAAGGTTATACAAAAAATTCAAAAAGGTTCTTTCACAGTTTGGATCAGGGACCGAGGAACCGCTGTTTCTAAGGTTGCAAAAATATCATATTTTAAAATTTGAAGGCGTAAAAAAGTTACATAAACACCTCTCTTGGTAACTTTCAAGGTTTATTAGTCAATAAATGCAGAAAAAAATTAGTCACGATGACAATTTCGAAATTGTCATATTCTATGTAGATATTACATTTGTAATCATAACCATTACAATTTCCTCAAACGCGATTGGTGCATTTGCTGCTTTATTTGTCATTAATCATTCTTTAGAGCTGTAATCGGACAGTTGAGGTAGCCAGTCATACTAAGTCCACTCAGCCAAATCTACCAATCACAGAATTAATCACAATAACCTAAGCAACAACCACTTATCCTCAAAAAAATTGAGGAATTTCCAAAATGGAGAATTTTTTAAACTTTAGTAACTATCTCTACGGGAGATATCTGACCTAAATGTATTTGTTGTTTACGGAAATTGTAACGGTTATGATTCTTTGTCGTCCAATTCTGTCTGTAATCGCACGAGTGATTGACAAATTGGACTCCGGCCTCGCGGTCGTCCAATTTTGTCAATCACTCGCATGTTTGCAAACCGAATTGGACTCCGCTCGGTCCTATTACCATTAACAATTTGGCAGCCTCCCAAGACTTAGTGAAATCATTCACACCTGCAATATTTTCTTTTGTTCTTGATAATGCTGACAAAGTTTGGTAAAGTGTTCAAACTTGTAGTCCGGTGGAGATTGCGCGGTGGCGATTACCTATGGAAACGTTGTTAAACTTAAATTGGTCTTAAAATAAGTAACGACTTTGCCAAATGATACAAAACAAAAGCACCTTTTAAAAGAAAGAAATGTACACCGTCAAGAATATATCCAAACAAGGACTTTGCTTTCCCCTTACCCCAGGAGTCAAATTTGTTTCAAAATGTCTAAATCGTGATTTGGGCGTGGCTTTTGGTGTTACACCCTAGTGATATTACTAATTTCTTGGAGGTTCTTCGTATTTTACATAAAAAAACCTAGCCTCGATTCAAACATATTCATTTGCAATTTAATCCTACATCAGACTAAAGAATTCTTGGAAGGAATTTCAAAGGCGGTGTTATGATGGAAGGTTTCCATCGAAGCTTTCAGTTGATGATTGTAATCTCATGTTTACACTACTCGTTATAAAGATACACAGTACACTTACACATTTCATTAAAGATTATTACAACTCCATAGAAAGAAGGGCACAAAAAATATAATAGGATGAAAAAAAAGGAGGAAAATAATGATTCAATTAAAGCAAATGTTTCGCAAGAAGGAAGAAATTGAACCTGTTATCTGTGATATCGATATTGAAGCCAAGGTAGCTGACTTACCTGTCTCACTGATACACCACACGAACAACAATACTACTAATTAACTAATGGCGTACACGAATTATGTTACACAAATGTTCACAAAACACTGATGGACTCTATCTTCGCTCTGTCTTTTCGTCGGTCTGTCGGTCAGTCACAAATTGAGAATAAACAAGGCTGAAACACACAACTCAGAAACAAACGTTGAGAAACAAACAAAACGTACAAATAGCACAAGACACATGTATCTATGGGTTGTCAGATTATATGCGAAGAGACATTTCAGCAAATAATTACACGAGATAGGCACTGATGGCAAACTGAGCCATAATGTGTGGGTAGAAAACTGGCTCATACATAGACATTTTCGGATACTTTAAATTACACAATCATAAAGTTTGACACGTTATTTTAGGATCTTCGCGTAACACTGAATGGAATAAACTCAACTTGAATCTTCCTTTCGGAGGATTACAAGCATCAATATCAATTTATTTGTGGAAGTGTCGAAATAAGATTGTCTTGATATAATTCAGAATTCTTATTGGCACGACCTGGCAACTAGTTTCTGCTATTGGCCCAGCAGGCTTCTTAACCTTCCTAAAATTCTATTAGATTCAATTTTTTCATCGGTTGACAACAGTATCCACTTTGGTTTGGCAAACACCAAGACGACGTACAGGAAGTTTCTGTAAACCTTAACTGACCAGACATAAATGAATCCATAGCAAAAAAAAATTAATTATTAGACCCAATGTCGTGTTTATTTCTCCTACTTTTTTTAAAACGTTTTTTAAAAAAATGAACAATGTCTGGGTCAGAAAGAGACGGCCACTTACCGCAGTGTTATTTTGTTTTACCGGTGGCAATGCGGGTGGCTTATTCGCCAAGCCCACTGAACTCATCGTGGTTCCCATGGTAACCGGCTTAATAGGTTTGGTTATAGACAAACAATCTATCTCCAACTTTCCCTGAAATTAACAATGTAAAATGTTGAAAAGTTTAGGTGCAATAATTCCAAAAGCTAAGCTCACCGTAGTATCACAGTTTGGGAAGCGCATTGTATTTTTTCGGCTCGGGGCCAGACATTTCTGTATAATCTACCTGTTTGCAAAAATGTTTGGGCAGTAAAGCTCTCACTTGTAATGGAATTATCCCATAGAATTTGTGCTTAGTGTTTATACATTGAAATAGAGATAATGGAAATAAACAGGTAGAATCCTTACCTGAGAAAGTTGTGGTCTGTCTGATACTCTTTGCGTCTTGGTTTCAATCGGAGCTGCAAATCGACTTGGTTGAGCGAGTTTGCAGGTGGTGACTTTTTTTATGCGAGTCGGTGTAACACGAAAACACTTTCTTCCTCCCAACGTTCTAAATGTGATTCCTTACTTGCTGGTTGATTCCAGCGGGCTAACTGTTTTGCTGCAGGTTTTGCGAATTCTATACAGCGTTAGTGTAATCTGATGATGTGAAGTCATCGTGTCAAAGGTGTGCTGTATTGACTGCAAGGTTAATACGCCCTGCAGTATTGCACATATGAGACCACTTGCACATGTCCTTCTGCCAAGGTCCGAGCAGGGCGAGTCTGTGTCAGCGGTATCATAAACTGAGGTGTGGTTTATGAAATCTGTCAGCTTTTGTAGTGGTTCGTGAACGGCGTGAAAAACAAGACTCGACGCTTTGTTTACGTTGATAAGACAGAAGTGTCGAATAAAATGAGGATAAACCGTCTGCGTTTTAAAAGTGCGCTGATAATTTGCAGCTTGTCGAAATATCAATGTGCCCAGTGTATAGCACGCTACAAGTAAAATGCTCACAAAAGACTCATTTTGTTTTTGTAAGATTTTTGTGCAATTCAGAGAATATGGGAGAGGAATTCAGGGAACCTGTTGATTTTTCACAGGTTCATATAGACCATATGATAAGATTTGCGTAACAAAACAGCTTTCGTTTGTGTTGCCAGGTGCAGCTGTTTAGTAAAGACGAGATCCACTTAACACCGAAAGTGACTTCAGAAATTTGGCAAGTAGCCGAAACATTTTACAAAGATGCAGATGAAGTATAACCAAAATAAGTAGTACAGTCACCATTCATAGGCAGACACATGAAAATATTATGCATTCAGCTAGAGACGTGTGACCAATTCAACCAATTAGTTGATAAAGTGAGTCGAACTGCTACAGATTGAACGCCGGAATAACACGAAACACACCAAGTAACACGAAAACATCCGAGGAACTCCGATCTATTTTGGTATTAGTCCCTTGAATGAAAGATATTGCTCATATTAGCTGGCCATAATTGATTTAGCGCCTTACATAACTCTAAAAAATAAAATAATATTTCGGGAGCACTCCACAGGATTGACACTAAATAGCAAAGAAATATTTTTTGAAGAAGCACTTTTCATTAAAAATGGTGTAAAAACAAATAAAGAAAAATAAAGGGCCATAAAGGTCGAAACTGTAACAATTTATTACATGTTATCATTTAGGTCTGGAGATAGCTTTGTGCGGAGTGGATAAATAGTTCTCGTTTTTAAGTAAATGCGCAGAGCCATCCTGAGTGGTTGGTACTTTTGTCTAATCGTCATCTGCGCCGAATCGCTGGAGGAGCTCTCGTGAGACAGTCCATATAAATAAAGCAAGTCATCTCGTGGCAGCTGATCGGTGCATCTCGACTCTGAACACCAGGTGATTATTGCCAGTTTGATCATGGGAACGATTATGTCATTCTGCTGGCGAATTCTCTCCAGATTTCCATTCTCAAGAGGAAAACCATCACTCACCCAGAAAGAACAACAGGATAGCTACTCAAAACTGACGGTAAATTGTTTATTGGGGTGCAACTTCAGTATGATAAGTGACTAAACCTTCCGTCTGTATGGAATATTCAGTCGAAAATTGGTGATTTTTTTCACAGTGACATAAATCAGTTATCCCGCGGTCGAAGTATTTTCGAGACTGCAATCAGACTTTTAGAACAAAATCGTTTCACCTTGACTAAGCATACGTTTTGAGATTGATCAGGCAAAACTGTATTTAGTACCAAACGTAATTGTTTAGAAATATATCAAAAAGAAAATTTGATTCCAATTTTTTTGTCACAGCTTTGTGGTAAAAACTTTCCAATCATTTTCCTTCTCCTAAATAATAATTATGCAAGTGAAAGAAAGCAAACAAATTGGAGCAAATTCTCGAATAAACACGAGAAGCTTAGTATGTCTTCCAAAATTCGTGCGTGCTTCGGCGTAATGCATCCAAAAATAGGTATCAATTCCATCTTTGATTTTCTATCATTGCGTAAATCTTTAATTCCACTCAGAATTTTATGACGTCTAAACGAAGATAATTTTCGTATTACCATTAACGCACCACCAATCAAATCTCTTACCTTAATTGGCCCACTGGGGAATACCATTAAATCCTCACATTTGGTTTCAGTTTAAGGATTTGAATTTTAATAGAGTCAGATTACGTCGAGGATGCACAGCGATATTGTATGTGTGAACAAGCGCAATGGTTTTCGCGTAACATATAGCGTATGTTTCTCAGACTTATTTCCACAGAGCACATAACAGTTCAAAGGAAAATTGAAACGCACACCTGCGCATTCGTTTGAAGAAAATGATCCATCACTTGGAAGAATTTGACTTCTCACTGATGAAGCTGTTAGGTGCCTGTTGCTAGTTTTTTTGTTTTTGTTTTTCGTTTTGTAATAAATCAACTGACCTGTGGTTTTCTGAATAAATAATGAGAGATGAAGGAAGTTTTCATTAATTTTCACAGTTTGACTAGCAAAAGAGTACGTTAAAATCTTTGAGAGAAGAATTTCCTTTATATAATATTTGATTCCATAAAGGATAATTGAGGCAGAACTGAACCGGCACAAAATCGTAGATTCTTTTGATTAATATAAGACCCGATTTAGCTCAATATTTCTGCCACTGATCACTATAGGGCTTACCAAATTCAAAATATTTTAAGAATTCTTTTAGGAATAGCATAATAAACACATCTTAATCCAAAAAGAAAATTCATTGCGAAGTGCAGGTGTCGAAGAATTATGACTTCGAGAGTAACCAGGAGTCATTTTGTTGTGTACTTGAACAATAGGGCAATCTACTCTCGAAGTGTGTTTTGCCATGAACTCGGGTGTAAAAGAAAAAAATGGATACAACATCGGTACTAAAATAAAAAGTGAGAAGAACATTTCTGCTACGGTTCCTAGAAGTGCTCCAAACTGCGACGGTGTTTTGACTAGACAAAGAAAACTTGTCCACTTTATTTGTAGCGATAGTCGCTAGTTTGGCGACTATTGTGTGACGGTCATGTGTCAAGTCGTATAAAGTTTTCGTACCATAGTTTTCATGGTCTGAAGTCTTAGTGAGTTACACATTTTCATACATTGAAGATTTTGAATAAAGCTGGGCTTGGAACACTGCCTAGCTCGTTCTCCGTTTAAGTTTGTCAGACATGGTGGGAATGAGAGACGCTGCGACCCGTTTGAGTCAGTGCGCGTGCGCCGGACTAACGTTCGAGAATCTTAGGAGTCATTAGACCTTTCGGAATAAAGGGTTAGCTGTTTCTGAAACATATTTTCCTCTTAATCAGGACGTATTAAGGAACGGTTCCAGATGCTGTGCTGATGTGAAGTGTGCAAGCTTGGCGCGGACAGCGAGGGAGCTTTTATCAAAAATGGAACAGATTCAAACACAGCTGCATAACGAAGTCGTGTTGTGGAAACTAAGGTACATACGGGGTATATGCACGACAGAGAGTCGACAAAACTTCTACGAACTTCTTGGAAAGTTTAACTCCTTTCACGAAATGCTTGACGCGATCATTGAAAATGAAAAGAAGTATATAGAAGCCATGGAACCGGAACAAAAAGGAGAAGAAGAAGAAGGAGGACATAAAAGCGAAACCATAGACGCGGAGCCATCTGTAGTGTTAATCGAAAAATCAGGCACCGAAAAAAAGGCTTTGCGGAGAAGAATTAAGTTCTTCACAAAAGTTCATGAGCGCAACGTTAAACTGCTATTTCTTGTTGTAAACGAAGTAGCAGAGTGCAGGTCGATGGTGGATACTTCATGCATCAACGGTCAAGAACTGTCGGATAGCTTCGCGTCAGAAATAACAGAAACTGGTAGATTTTTGAGCGTGCTGGAGGAATCGCATGACGAAGAATTAATTGAAACTTCGTCAAAAAGGCTTGGTCCCAACAAGCCTGAATGCACGATTCAGAGGGTAGATTCAACGCAAAATTTGACGACTTGAATCAGTTGGTACTCTGAACATCATTTTAAATTGTTGTATCCCACAGTTACTAGGCACGCTGTGATTGGTCAATTGAACGGGCTGTGATTAAATCAAAGCAGTTAATGTTGGCAAAATCTCAAATTTGGCGGGCCGATGAATGTTTGGATCTTTTATTGTCCTAAAATAATGTGTTTAAAGGAACCAATGACCGAACAACAATATCGAGCAGACTTATTATATTTTCTTTGTGCGTCAAGTTGTTCGATGCGAATGGAAGTCGTTTCACGAACCCGTCGGAGATAAAACAATTATTTAACCCAATCATAATTATCATATTTGTCGCAATATCCTAATTAGCATATATCATGATTATCTAACCAACTTGTATTTCCCAATCCGCACAGTTTGTAACGAATCCTGGGTTTTCCCCCAACAGGAATAGTAAGGTTTATATTCGCTCCGACGAAGAGCTAACGTTCGAAAAATCAGCTTTAAAAACTCTTCACGTTGGCCAATTTACATTATCTTGATTATACACCCCACCGACGCAGCACCACAGTTTTTTTTTTCTAAAAGAAACCAACCCCCACCCCCATGGGATCGGTATGCTGCCCCTATAAAGATATTGAAATGACTGCAAACCTATCCGTGTAAAACATACTTTGATGGAGTAAGCAGGAACAAAGTAAAAACGAAAAAAGAGAAAAAATAGGGTGGAGAAGTTGCTTTCATTTGAATCTAAACTTTAAAGCTACTTACCCATATGTAGGGTTAACCATCTGCATGTTTACTCGTGACACAAATATCGCCAGCATGGACAATCTGAAGAATGGAAAGGAATATATGATTTTCTATCGAGAAACGAAGAGTAAAGTATCGACTAAATAGATTCAACCGAGCACAAAATAGAAGGCCTTGAGAAGATTTCGCCCATCTCCCCCTTATATCGCATATAACTTAGCCCTTCAAGGGCCTAATGAAACCACCACAGCCGATAAAGAGTCTCGTAGGCAATTTTGAAATTGCAAGGCAAGCATTGCGGCATTTTAAAGCACGGTGCACCCTGGGTGAGTCATAGCCGTGAAACTTGGACAGAAAATTTGAATAAAAGTGATTCAAAAAGGATTTTTTTCTGCAAGAAATACAACTTGAACATGATTATTTGGTTGGTCTTTCAAATCTTATAAATTCATAACTGCAGTGACAATGAATGAAGTCTCTGTCTCTTTGCCGGATGGCACGACATTTGTTTTTCTACTGCGCCACGTGAAGAATTCTAAATTCAGCGACCTCAATAATCCTTAACGCGAACATTATAGCAACTGTTCACCATCGCCAGAAGAATCATTAACATTTCAAAATTGACTTGCCTCTCGTTACCTTTCGCTCCGACGAGATTTTTTTGGCCTTTTCATCCATATCACCAACAAATAATCCTCACCTTTCAAGCAAAATTCTTGTTAAATACAAACTGTAGAGGCTAGAAGCTGTTCTGCATTGAAACAATGCAATTAACTGTATCTCTCGGGATGAGGTCAATGCAGAATTGTTTGGTAGGTGTAGGACAGCTAGAAGGCTGTTTGAACACGCCGCCATTTCTACGAAATGTCTGCTGGGAACTTTAAGTGATTTCCGCTGACTGAAAAGGAAATGACTCTCGAATTTTCAACCAGTGGTCCCTTGAGAACGAGGTTGAACATTGTAAAAGTGATCGTGAGGGTACGTACTTGTGTCACTCAGAGTGGTCTTGTTGCAAAGGTTACTGTGATATTTTCGTTTCAAAGATGGGGAATCGAGGTATGGAAGACCTTATTCCCGTAATGAACAAAATCCAAGATGCGTTCGCTCACATTGGGCAGCCATCGAACGTAGATTTACCGCAGATCGCCGTCGTCGGAAGTCAAAGTGCCGGCAAGAGTAGTGTGTTAGAAAACTTTGTAGGCAGGTAGGGCATTTATTTTATGATATAATTGAGTTCTTTTCGGCGTCATCTGTCTTGAAAATAAATACATCGTCATGTAGGGACTTTCTTCCGAGAGGATCTGGAATCGTCACAAGAAGACCGCTGATACTGCAACTCCATCCGGCCAAGACAGGTTTGTTTTTTTGAAATTAGCTTCAAAATGGCGAATGGGAATTTAGCTAGCTTTCCGGGACACGTTGAACTTCAAGTCACTGAGTACGGCTGTTTTAATGGGGTGTGACAAAGCCTGTTTATCAATGCATTGATGTACATTTAAATTTACTCTACTTGTACAAACATGCAGTCTATTGTACGGTCAACGTATTTTACTTTACTTCTACAATTGTTCATTATATTTTTGCGAATAGACATCTGGGCCGGGTTGTTCAAAGCTGGGTTAAGATAACCCAGGGTTAGTATAAAATTTGATTTAAGATCTGAAAGCTTGAAGAAAAAATTCAGCTTAAATCTTTTTGTCTTCAATTTGTTGATCGAATGCTCTGAAAATAAATGGAGAAAATCATCCTCAAACAGCTTTTGAACAGAGAAAAATAGAAACCTAGATTAAAATTTAACCCTGAGTTAGCGCTAATCGGCCTTCGAACAACTGGGCCCTGTTCAACAAGATTACGTTACAGGCTATAAATAAAGCTGACCTATTTTTTTCTTCTTTTTTTTTCGATTTGAGTTTTATCATAAAATTTAAAATACAATTTGTTACAACGTCCGTGATTCTTATAGCGTAGGCAGGGATTAGTACAGAAAGAGGTACAACCCCTCTTGTGCAAATTTTACGAATTTTCAGTTACATGTCAGAGACTGACTTGCTACGATAATAGTCACTTCATTGTTTGTGACTAATGCAATTTTGTCTCGTGGGATATCATTAATGTACATTTATGTAAAAATTGTACACATTTTGGAAAATGGTTAGAGAAAATGTAAGACAAACATCAGTATCAATAGTAATGTAATTAACCCTTGAACTCCCTTGAGTGACCAAGACAGAATTTCTCCTTACAATATCAATACAATATCAAGCAGACAAGTGATGAGAATATAGAAAAATATCAGTTAGGGAATTATAAGTTGATTCCAAACTTTCCAAACTAACATTACAAGAACTGTATGGGAGAAGTAAAGAGAATTACTCAAGAGATCTTGGGAGTTAAAGGGTTAAAAGAAATTATATTCATAAATGTGTGAATAAACTAGATTTACGTTATGTTGGCACATGCACATTTTTGTAGTCTGTGTTTTTCGTTGTAGAGTGGGCAGAATTTCTCCATTGCAAGGGAAAGAAATTTGTTGATTTTGAAGAAGTGAGAAAAGAGATTGTTGCAGAGACTGACCGAGAAACTGGTAGCAACAAAGGAATCTCATCAATACCAATTAACCTACGAGTTTATTCTCCTCATGGTATGCAACTTTCTTGTTAAGGATTTGTTTTAACTAATTGCCAACCAATAATGAATGTAGATAATAAACATATTTTTGATTGTGTGGTCTAATTGTCCGGGAGAAGTTTGTGCAAACTGATTGGTCCATTTAGCCATGATGTTACTGTTTACAAGAGTCATTTGTGGTGTAAATGTAGTGCACAAGAGGTTTGTATGGTGCCAAAAGTTGTTGGCATCTGTTGAGGGGAGTCTGTCCTACAAGTTAGAGAACCATGCAGCTTTCCAGAATTGGTTGTTGAAAATAGTTAGTGTTGTAGGTTACGCATTGTGCAGAGTCCCAGTCAATAGCATGGCTGGTAATTTGATGAAGTATAGTTATGCAACTTTTGTATACGAATTTAATTCACAAGAAAATAATTATATGTTATGTCAAGTACAGGATTTTTCTTAAGTTTTCCAATAAGTGTTTATTGAGTAACTTGTCACTTAGTGTCTCAGAACCTCTACAAATGTTTTATCTCTAATGTCTCATCCTACCAGTATAACATCAAAATTGCTTTAATTCAAATTCTTGAAGACCCTGGTTCTTTCTTCCAAACCTTTATCTAAAGAACTCTACCTTGTGTTTTTGCAGTATTGAATTTGACGCTAGTAGATCTTCCTGGTATGACAAAAGTTCCTGTAGGCGACCAGCCTCCAGATATCGAAATGCAGATCAGAAGTATGTTATTTCAGTTCATCACCAAACCAAACTGCTTGGTGCTAGCAGTGTCTCCTGCAAACTCAGATCTGGCAAACTCTGATGCATTAAAGATTGCAAAAGAGGTTGATCCTGAGGGTAAGATTGGCATCTTTCTTGCAGCCAATTATTTTATTGGAATGTATATCATTTATGCCATTTTCAGAAAGTGTTTGGTTGAAGAAAGATACAGCAAAATTTAAATTTTTTTTCAATTTTTTTCCTTTTACCCCAACTGTTTCACTTCCAAGATCTCATTGGTAATTCCCCTAATTGATTATTTTTTTTGTACTCATCACTTGTCTGCTTGATATTGTATTAATATTATAAGGAGAAATTTTGTTTTGGTCACTTTTGAGTGGAAGGTTAATTTTTACTGATTTGAAACTCTTGTTGACAATATCCTGGTTATTCTTTACAAACAACAAAGGGTCAATGGTAAATCTGGAAACTGCAAAAATTACAGTAATCATATATTGATTGTGTGCAGCTTGTGGATGTCCTTCTTGATTTTTTATTCCAGGAGTGCGAACAATTGGAGTGATAACAAAGTTAGATCTCATGGATGAAGGAACAGATGCCAGAGAAATTCTTGAGAACAGAGTCCTCCCCTTAAGAAGAGGTACTGTCTGATACACATTGCAATGAAATGATATACATTGCAATGAAAATTTTTGTGCAAATCTCTAGACTATTTTTTGGTGTCCTTTTCAGGTTATGTTGGTGTGGTAAACAGAAGCCAGGCAGACATTGATGGTAGAAAAGACATTAAATCAGCCCTCGCCTCTGAGCGAAAATTTTTTCTTAGTCATGCATCCTACAGGTAAGTACAGACATGTATCATGAGCACAGATTTATTTTGCCTAACAAGCTGGAGACTGCTGAATAGGTAGGAGCAGCCCAAAGGGTGATTAGGGCATCCCCTTTCTACTTGAGGTCTGGTGGTCCCAGAATTTTCAAGCCCTTCACCTTACTGCCTACTGCTTCTAAGTTTTTCTTAGTTCACAGCCCTCCTACATTTAATTCCTGGTCTTATCTTCTTTGCTACTGATCTCTGTTTGCCTCTCGACTGTGGGGATTTTTGATCAGTTTATGTTTCTTTGGAATATTTGTTTCATTCTGTGTTCAAATTTACCTTGAAAGACCTCACCAATGGAGTTTTTATATAAATAATGATAGTGATTATTATTGTTTTGAAATATCTCGGGCACTTCTGAATAACAGCTCCTAATTTTATACTTCCTGTAATCTTTTCAGGCATATTGCAGACAAAATGGGAACAGGTTATTTACAAAAAGTTCTTAACCAGGTGAGTTCTGTTCCCTTGGTTTTTTTATACCTCTACTTAACAAATAGAGAAGCCTTGACTGTGCTCTATTCTGTTGTAAAGCATGCATGAAGCGGCTAGAGCACGAAAGAAGTGTAGGGGGAAACACGAGACGTAGTCGAGTGTTTCTCCCCACTTCTTGAGGCTTCTCTATTTGTTTTATAATAAATGATCCATTAAATTCCCCAAGAATTACTTTCAATTTTCAAAACAAATCTTCAGTGTCAGCTTCTCTATTTGTTTTATAATAAATGATCTGTTAAATTTCCCAAGAATTACTTTCAATTTTCAAAACAAATCTTCAGTGTCGTCAGTATGCTCTATACTCTCATAAAGCACGCTACAATAAGCCAATCAGAATCCCTGTTAGAATGGTTCAAATAATCTGATTGGCTGTATAAGACTAAAGCTGTCAAAAATGTCAAACCATCAAAGTTAACGAAAGAAAAGCTAGAAAGAAGTCCCAGAAAAGGTCGGACATAGTACGATTTGGCAGATGGCGTGACAGCTTTAGCTCAGTTCTATGCTTTATACTCTTATAGAGCACGCTCTTTCAACCAATGATAGTACGTGTTATATCCGAGCTTTATTATAATGGTACATAAATCCCAATCAAGATTTTACTTACATGAAAACATTGTTTGTGAGGATTTGATATTTATGACATTAAATTAAAGTCCACTGATAATCATATGTATTTAACTGAAATCAATTAGTGTGGTTCCAACACATGTATTATTTTGACATGATTGATATTGATTTCTGCGGACCTGAAACATTTTGCCCCAGTCAATTTTTAACAATGATTGTTTTCATAGCAACTGACCAATCACATTAGAGAAACTTTACCAGCCCTTCGAAGCAAGCTTGAAGAGAACATTATGGCACTTGAAAAGGAAGTCAAGGGCTTCGAACATTATAATCCAGATGATCCATCCATGAAGACGAAAGCCCTCATGCAGTCAGTATCCAACTACTCTTTGTGCACGTCTTAAAATTAGTTTTGTGCATTTGTTCAAATGTATATGATATGTAAGACAGCCTTAACCCTTTAACTCCCAAGATCTCATCGGTAATTCTCCTTACTGTCTGCCATATAGTTCTTGTGATGTTAGTTTGGAGAATTTGGTATTGAATCAACCAATAATCCCTTATTGATATTTTATTTTTTCTCGTCACTTGTCTGCTTGATAGTGAATTGATATTGTAAGGAGAAATTCTGTCTTAGTCACTCATTGGAGTTAAAGGGCTTATTGGTAATGTCCTACTATCTTATAGTGTGCATTTCACTTTGGAATCTTGGTATGGAGAAACACTTTGAAACCAATCATAGTTGCAAATATTGTACTCTTTCAAAACAATGTCTAATAATGACATTGATGTCTTAGGAGGTAGAAGATTGGAGCACACCACAAATTGGTAATGCAAGGTATCATTGATTCAGAAGAAAAACCAGCATTTTCATTAAAACTGAAGTAGCATACAAATTATTTGCACTTTCCTTATAATGGCTGGTATTCCTTTTTTTATAGCTTAATAAACACTGATTTTGGATGTCTGGATTAAGTGCACTCAAAAAATTATGATCATCATTAACCAGAATGGCGGCTTATTTTTCACTCCTGAGACTTGATACGAGATAAGTTTGTTTGACGGTGTTTTTAATCAACACCTTTTCTTTTTCATAAGAATGTGGTCTGCACATAAACATTATTTGAAGTCAATGTTTATTATTTTTCAAGAAAATGTATTCTTTAATAGGAAGGAAAATAGAATATTCCCTTGCATCTCCATTGCAAACCCAAGAAGATGAGTCAGTGCTTATCAGAACTAGTTCTTTACTCTGAAATTTAGTTCATCTACTTTTGGCAATTTTAACTTCTTGAATCAGGCCTTTTATTTTTCTCTTTTTGACTGTTAATTCTTATTTAACAGGATGATACAGCAATTCAATGGAGATTTTGAGAAAGCCATTGAAGGGTCTGGTGATTCAATTGATACCAAAGAACTCTCAGGTGGAGCAAAAATCAACAGGATATTTCATGAGAGGTTCCCATATGAGTTAGTTAAGGTAAATATGATAACTGCTCCAAGTGCTCATTACCCCAAAGCAACTCCTTTTTTCAACTCTTTCATGAAGACTGTGATTTCTCAATGTTTGGGGAAATATGAAACAAATTCACTTCTTCTGTGCAGTGCAATATTTGTTGTAAACAAAATATGCAAATCGAGATCCTAGACAAAAAACATAAACTTTACAGGAGAATTGTAGATTATTACACCTTTTGTTATTGGATACCAGCTACTCTAAAACACTTTATCAGTTGTATTGCATTCTTTTTAGAATTTCTATTTTTCTTTTAACAAATTAAGCTTAGATGATTTCTCTAAGTAAATAGCAATGAAATAACAAAATTTTGAAATTTTTGACCAGATTTTGTCAATAGTAACCTTAAGTTGCCCTCTAGCCTAAAACTGGAGAAGTGATTTGTCTTGAGTGAATGCACTTAAGTTCATTTATAACTGGATTGATTTGTAATGGAATCTTTTCCATTACAGGTAATTTAGTGTTAACAACTGAGTTGAAAACATAAATTGACCACTGTAAAGAGTATAAAAGCTGACGTTTCGAACATTAGCCCTTTGTCAGAGCAATTGACGAAGGGCTAATGCTTGAAATGTCAACTTTTTTACTCTTTACGATAGTCAATTTATGTTTCCACTCAGTTGTTAACACTAAATTATCTGCTATACTCTCCCACTGATGCAGCACCACAGTTTCTTTAGAAACTTACCCCCTTTTCTATTACACTTTAGGTGGAATTTGATGAGAAACAGCTCAGAAAGGAAATTATGTTTGCCATCAAGAACATCCATGGTATCAGGTAAATGTGCAGTTTAGTTTGATTTTGTTGGTCACTTTTCTTATTTTGCAGACCTAACTAGACTTTGCTCAGTCCTATTACCATTACTGAGGTTGGTTTTTCATGATAGGGTTGGTCTTTTCACTCCTGATATGGCCTTTGAAGCAATAGTAAAGCGGCAAATTGAGAAACTGAGGAGTCCAGCAGTGAAGTGTGTGGATATGGTTATGTCTGAATTAACCAATGTCATCAAGAAATGTACAGATCCGGTAAGGTGGAATTGTAAATTACAACAATCATATTGAGACCTAAGATCAGTGTCAGTAACTGAGCAACTACACACCCACTCCTCCCCCAACCCAACAAGAGTCAACTAACAAAAAGTTAGAGGGTTAGGGGAGGGGGAGGGGGAGGGGAGCAGTTGTTGAGATACTGACATTGGCCTGAAACTTGCACTCTCTTTCAAGTCCATTGCTTATTAAAATTAGGTCAGAAATCAATTTGATGAGTAAGTAAATAATGGAAGTGATCAATCTCAGGTCTGCAGAGGATTTCTGTCAGCTAGCTAAAATTAATTCCAAGTCAAACTGTCAGCATTCAGTTGGGACTTGAGTCTTGAAATAAAGATGGATTTTTCCCTGAATGAATGAATCAAAGGAAAAAAGAGGAACCATATTACCAATGACTACCTAGGTAGGTCAAAAAACAGAATAGAATCCTTGATTGGAATACTTAGGATATACAGTTGTTAAAATACAGTTTGAAAAGTGTGCATGTCATAAAATATTTAAGATAAGGTATGTGCGGGTGCACTTTCAATTGATGTTGGCTAATTCAAGCAACCCTCATGCAGGGGTCTATACTGTCATAATCTTCAAGGTAACATTTAATGTGATATCTAAGTGGATTTATTTAATTTGCAGATTGACAAATACCCTTTACTGAGGGACCAGGTGGAGAAAATTGTTGTAGAACATGGAAGAAAGGGAGAGGCCAAATCTAAAGACCAGGTACAATTACAATGAGATTGATTTGTGTACTTTTAATCGAGCTCATCTTGGTTTCCTCAACATGAAGTGACTGGGAGTGTTACTTCCTCCCCTCCCCCTACCTGAATGTTATGCCAGTCCATCACAAGGTTATCCCCCTAGCATTTTATCAAGTATCCTGACACATGTCTGGTATCCATATATACTCCTGGTTGGAGATAGACACTGTGAGTGCAAATTGCTTTGCCCAAGAACACAACACAATGACTAGGCCAAGTCTTGAACCAGGTTCTCTCGACCTGGAGACCAGAACATTAACTATTTGGTCACTAAGTCTCCAATCAAGATGTGCAAGGACTACTGTAAAATTTTGGTAGTGTTGTTTGTCATGAAATTCTTTGGAACACATTCCTAACACTACAACATCTCACAAGATTTATTGTCATGTTGCATTCCTGTGAATTTTTCAGTATTCACACATCGAGTACATGCTTGTAAATGTTAAGAGTATATGGAACACAATGTCATCAGGTTATATGCTTTTGGTAACATGCATTTCATGTACTGGTGCTAATTTCATAAAAGTCATGTAATTCACGTTTAATTTTATCCACAGGTCAAAACATTTATTGATATGGAGCTTGCATACATTAACACAAATCATCCTGATTTTATTGGTTATGCAGCGTAAGTTAAAGTGTTTTCACTGAAAGATTTTAACTCAAACTCTCCCTGAATGCTCCTTATTTAATATGCAGTACAAGATTACAGGGTTAATTTTTTTGCATTTTCTTTACAGAGCATCAAGTACATCCAATCCTGGTGAAAAAAGACAAAAAGAACTATCTCCAATCAGGTGTGTTCATCATTTTGGTTGAATTGTCCCTCAACTCTTTGACTCCCAAGATCTGAATGTAAATTCTCTTCTCTAGCTGCCACACATTTCTTTGTAAATTAGTTAAGAGAATTTGGAGATAGATCAAGATAACAACTTCTACCTGATAAGTTTGAGTATTCTCATGACTGCTTGCTGAATAATTTATGGATATTATAGGGAGAAGTTACATCTCAATTACCTGTAGGAGTTAAGGCTTAAGGTTGTAGAGTTCCTTAGCTGGAAGTGAATCATGTCACTTACTACATTCTTTTGCTGACCTACCTTGTGATGGTGCATATCTGCAAGAGTACTTTCTGTTATGGGGTTAAGCATTTTCTTTTACATTTTTGACTCCAAAGAGTGACCAGCATCTAATTCCTCTTTTCAATGTTACCCCTGAATCACACATTCAGGTTGCAGAATGACAGAAATGATCACCATGGATAGTTAAATAAATTCTCCTTGAAAGAAACTAAGGAAAAGGATAGAAGACAGTTTGGAGAAGATTCATACTGATGTTGGGGTGTAAATGGATAATGAACTCAGGAGTATAGTTGAATGCTTGTTAATTGCCAGGAAAATCTGACAGAAATGGGGTAATCTTCAAGGGATGATTACACTTTCTAAGTTAAGTCCTGGAGCCCAGTGGACCATCTTAATCAATGTTAACCCTCAGTTTCTGTACCTCAAAATAAGAGGAGTACAGAAAAGTATATAGATCAGCAGTGTGTTCAATCAAAGCATTTTGGCTTCTAATTTGGCGTCTGCACTTTTTGTCTCCTCTCAGGTGATTAGGAAAGGCTGGCTCACAATAAGCAATACAGGATTTATGAAGGGAATCAGCAAAGAGTACTGGTTTGTACTTACAGGTAAATTGCATAAGTTAAAGTGTGTGTGGATATCCAGGCTCTCAAATCCTTATGACTGTCTGCTACTGTCATGCTTCCATTTTATCTGCTGATAACACCTTGGTAAGTTGTCAGACCCAGTGGAGTCCAATTTGGTCTGTAATCAGGCAAGTGAATACAAAATGGAAGGACAGTGAACCAGGAGTCTGATTTGTCAATCACAATTTTGATAAAAGGTTGTTAAAATTCTGTTACCAATTAATCCTAGACATTATGATGTCTGAAAAACCATAAACATAATTATTACAATAATTAGAAAAATCCTCCATTTTGGAAATTCCACAGTTTGTAGGGTAAGTGGTTGTTGCCATGATTATTGTAATCAATTCTGTGATTTGTGGATTTGGCTGAGTGGACTTAGTGTGGTTGGCTAATTTAACTGTCCAAACACGGATATCCGCTTACAGCCTATACAACTCTACAGAATAATTAGTGAAAAATAAAACAGCAAATGGACCAATCACATTTGAGGACATTGTAATGGTTATGACTAGCTGCCTAAGTAGTGATAACGTCACGGTAATCATCATTATGTATTCTTTCAGCTGAATCGCTTTCATGGTACAAGGACGAGGAGGTATGTTGAACTTGATTCAGCCCTTTGACACCTAAAAGTGACTAACATTAAAATTCTCCTTCCAAGATCAGTGCTGAATCATTTTTAAGGTCACAGGAATATAGGAAGTTATCACCAGCTATTGATAAGCCGTTGATTGTTAAACAAATTCTCCTTGTCAGCACCTTAGGAAATGTTTAGAGAACAGTACGGAGAATATGCATACTGATGTTGGAATGTAAAGGGTTAAAACACTAAGTCAGTAGTCTGAAAGGTTGATTTCAAAACAAAGATCAACAGAGGTAGACATCATTCTCCTCAGTGGCGAAGAAGTCGCCATGGCAACCAAGCCACAACCCATCCTGAAGCACTTATCAACACAAAACCAACAAAGTGATATGTGGAGAATATACATTTGCTCACTTAGTTGGTGGGCGGAAGGGAAGGAAACCATTAGGGTGGAATGAAATTGAGCGAAAGCAGAAGAAATACCTCTGCAAAACTCTGTAGAACGCCCCGCATCCCAATGGTGATACTGGCGCGTTTCTTTGGTTTCATTTGGATAAAATACATTTAGTTTCATAATAATATTAAGGAAAACTATGCCAATCAGAAACTATCAACTCTTTCCAAAACATCCGCACGTTGTTGCCTCCTATCTTAACCTAGTTCTTGCGTATTGCGGTAAAATCGTCCAGAGCTGGACGATTATTGCAAGGCAATCAGAGCGCGTGTATCTCTATAATCAACTGAACCACCATACCCACTCTGCCTGCAATCCGTTTGATTATTAGGAGAAGGAACAGAAATATCAATTGAGATTGGATAATGTGCGCCTGCGTGATGCTGAGGCAGGATTCATGTCCCGAAAAGCTGCCTTTGCTATCTTCAATCCTGATCAAAAGTAAGTCGATTTTTTTCCTTTTGTTTTCATGTTGGACACCACTGATTTTTCACCTTTCTTTGTTGTACTCTTAGTGCGTTTGGGAGTCTGAAACTTCAAGAGAAACAGGGACGTTGAGTACGGTTGCGCGATATCTTCAGTTTACGTGCAGTGTTCGTTTGTCAAAGAAGAAATTTTTGGTGCGCATGAGTAAATGTCGTTTCGTTATTATGCATCATCATAATACTGCTGTAGTTGGGTGTAACGCGTCTCCTAAAATAAAATGCTTTTGGTGATGCTTTACCTGGCGACAAAGCTCAAAGCTTCTCTATAATTTACGAAGGACAGTGGCTTCGTGTGTTGCGAGTAACTATTTTATTTTTTTTTTTTTTTAAGAAATTTATTTAAAGACCACAAAGCGTTGGAGCTTGCAGGAGAAAACCAGGACGTTATAGACAGTTGGAAAGCCTCGTTCCTTCGAGCCGGAGTGTACCCTGAGAGAGATACATCGGAGGATAAGGGCTTGGTAAGGACCGCATGAAAAGAAGAAAGAAAAGAAAGTGCTATTGCTTTATTGAAGACCCTCTGAATTATCTTGATTGATGGAGAGGTTGACGCAAGTTTTATTGACCAATGGCCGCGCGCGCATTGAGGCAAAACTCAGGCGACTCTCGATACTTCACTGAAAATTACCTTGCCTGCTTTCATTCGGTTTGTTCTCATTTTACAGCAAGGTGAGATAGGCACCTTAGATCCTCAGATGGAACGTCAAGTGGAAACCATCAGAAACTTGGCGGATTCTTACCTCAAGATCGTCAGCAAAACTGTCCGGGACCTCGTCCCTAAAACTGTGATGTTCTTCATTATAAATAATGTAAGCTCACGCTGCTGTGGTCGTTACTCTATTTAGAAGGTGCTTTAGTCACTTCTAGCGCTGCAAACTTATGTAGTGATTGCTCTGGTAAATTTTTCCAGCACATCTCATTTGCAATAGTTTGTTGTTGCAACAGGCGAGCTGGTTTCCAAACCTGCACAGCTTAAAGACATCCCTGAGACTCAGGTAGAAGGAATAATGGTCGGTGCACATTGCGACCGCGACCGCGTGGTGTTTACGGCAAACTTAGTCGTGTGTATTGTTTCCAGAACAAATCGTTACGACTTATTTTATACTTATGAACATTTGGCAGATCAGTGGAAGCATTTTTTTACTCAACTTTGCGCCAGCTTTATTTCATTTCGGTCATACTCATTAGCTGAAGTTTTCTGTACGTCTAAACAGACGAATGTCGAGACAGTCAATAATATTATGCATTTTTTTCTAACACACGTTAGGTGAAGGAATTCATTGGTCAGGAGCTGTTAGCCCATTTATACTCGGGTGGGAATCAGGTAAGAAAAAAAAATCAAACGAGAGATGTGATCTTGATATTACATGTATCGTTCATACTGATGACTGTCCACGCACACCACACAAGCTTGAATAAGTAACATTGGAACAATGGTAATATCTCAGCAACTGTGCACCTACTCCTCCCCTAACACAACAACAGTCACCTAATAACAAGTTAGGGTTAATGTTGGGTTATTAAGGGAGAGGTAAGTGCATAGTTTCTCAGGTACTGAAATTGATCCGCAACAGTTTGCCTACTCTGAGCAGAGTAACGTGTTATAAAAGAGAAGGAAAAGAAACTATAATTTCTAAAAATTTATTTAACAACGCAATCAGATTCTACCAGGGTCGGGACTCTACTCTAAACGAAACAAAAAGACAACGAAAAAAAAAACAGAGAGGATCTACTTTGACGTCTCATTTCTTAAATCCTTGAATCAGGGGTGAGATCCATTTAAGGGGCCTTCTTACATTTACCTTACGTTTAAGCGACCCCTTCCCTTTCCCCCTTCCCCCCCTTCCTGCTCACGGAAAAATGCGGTGTGTTTATTCTCCGTGATTTAGAATGACTTGATGAAAGAAAGCGAAGCTGAAGTCGTTCGTCGGGAGGAAATGCTGCGCATGTTCCACAGTTTGAAGGAAGCTCTACGGATTATTAGCGATATAGACGCGAATACCGTAACCACATCGCTGCCACCTCCTGTCGACACAGGGGACCGTGACTTACTCGATTCATACAAGCCTCCCGGGTATTAAGTTTTTACACTCTAACATCAGTATGCACATTCTCCATACTATTTTCTATACACTTGCTGAGGTGCTATCAAGGAGAATTTGTCTAACAATCAAGAGCTTCTTTAGTTGGTGATCATTTCCTTTATTCTCGTGACCTTAATGTGTGATTGAGGGGTGATATTGTAAGGAGAAAGTCGATGTTAGTCAGTCTAAGGGGTCTAAGGGTTAAGGATGACGTCTTTGAAACGCTGAAGTTAGCCTTATCCGACTTTAACGATGCTAGTCCAGATTATACAGCGACTCGTTTGAAATTGTCTTATTTGTCGTACGAGAGAACTAGCAGCAAGATTCTTTTTGTGGACGAGGTTGTGGGAAATTTGGATAAGGCCTAGAGGACTGTAGATTAAATTGGAGGCCACCAGATTTCTCTGTTTTGAAACCAAGAATTTGCGAATCAAACAAGAGAAGCAGCGGCGAAACGAAAGAAGGACAATCCAACTGATTGGATAAAAACCTACTACGTTAGGGACCTTAGTTAACCACAAGACGTTGAGCCCGTAGACCGCCATTTTCAATGTCATCTAAATTCGAAAAAAACAAATTGAATGTGGTCCATCATCCAAGCGCATACGAAAGATTTAAGGAAGTGAATATATGACTCTAGTAATGTCCTAGCTCAACGTAGAATCTCTGTGACGAGAGCCTTGGAGCCAGTTTGGTTTCCTTATTGGTACTTAGAACTTTCTTTGTCCCACGCTCAAGACAAGACGTGAGAAAATCCTTCTCCAATGTTAAGGGATATTATGGAGCACACATCTATGTAACGAACGACAAAAATATTAAATTTACTTTTTCTTACAGAAGCAGTAGACAACCTCCTGTTCCTAGGGCAGGTCATCCGAGTCCTACCCCACCGTCTCGACCGTCCCGTCCCGTTCCGGGCGTACCATCCCGACCAGACAGTGCTCCTTCTGTACCCAGGTAATTACATTTGCTCTTGTCCGCCTCGCATTTAGTAGCTTTGAAACGTAGTTGTGTAACAAAAGCGGTGGCTCATTTGGTTATCGCAAGAAAATTATCTTAGTTATTGCTCTTCGTTTGGACATAAGGCATTTCAAGAGTGTAAATGCACTATTTTTTTTAATCTAATTTTTTAATCACAGGAGACCCAATGCGCCAGGCAAACCGGCTCCTCCTCCACCAATACCTGGTCGGCCTCCTGTGCCATCAAGACCTTGAATGTCACGCAACTGCATCAGCATCGAACCCGCTTGTCATGCAAGATGTATTTTCTTATTCTTCGATTACTATTTTGTGTAAATGTACCTGAAGTTAGGCATACCAAATTTTTTAATTGATCATCGACTTGACGGCAAATTTTTTGGCAAAAACTTTAATAATATATTTGCAAAAGGAAAAGTTCATCCTTCTCATTACTCCTAAGTACCACCTAGAAGACCGTACTTTAATTGTTTCCCACCACTAACACGCGGTGTTTGGTGAAATCGTCCCATTTAGAATAATTCCGAAAGGTACGCTGTAGTATGATCAGAACGACTGGTCAATTGGCTTAGTTTGATTTAGTCAGTATATATAGTTAAATAGGTAGGTTTGTATAATTACGTTTTTGAAGATGAAGCCCTGAAAGGCTTGATGGATGGAAGGGTGATTTCTTTGGCGGCAGGCTTAAACGAACGAAGAAATGACTGAAAAAAAAAATTCGTTTTTTCTTGTACTCGTGGTATGACTGACGTAACTCGATTATTGACCTTCATAATTTCGCTTCAGATTGGTGTTAGAATCGAGTCAAGCTTGAAATTTACCTTCCAGATACATATGTTTGTTTAGAATACACAATTAAAAATGATGGTTTCGAAATTTACGTAGTTATAAATTAAATCGAGAACCATACTTGTAGTTGTAGACATTTGAAAGGTTCATCAACTTTGTACACTCCTAAACATCTGGCAATGTTTGCTCCTTGATCCGACTTCATTATTCGTGGTTGGTTTTGTTTTTATAACACTCACTGAGTTGAAAAGCGCTATAAAGGCTTGCTCGATTATCTTCAAAGTGTAGCCGGTTCAGTAACTAACAATATTTAGTAACAGGGAAAGATGGCGAGCTCGAGGCACTTGCCTCGCTTAGCAATGTAATGCGCCTGAAGACTTGCATGTTGTGATTTAATCATGCAACGATTAGTCGTAATTTTTCAGTACATAGAAAAGTACCCAATAAATTCATATACATGGAGAAGTCAACAACTAAGACTTGACTACTCATTTGAAAAAAATTTAATTAACATCCTCGATTTTGAAAGCTTTTCTTTTCTTTTCTTTCTTTTTTTTTTTTTTTTTTTTTTTTTTTGGGGGGGGGCATTAATCAGTATCGAGAGCACATACCTCTAACCAACCGAGTTTGAGTTCCTTACTGTGAGCTACCCACCAGGAAAAATTAGGTTTCGCAACTTGCAGTACGGACCGAGGAAACGAGGTTAGTAAGAAAGTTATTACAAATGGGTTCCAATCTGGCGACCAAGACAAACTTGAATTCAGTGGGACGTAAAGTGATAATACGGCCCGCAAAATTGACCAATCATAGCGCACGAACTAAAGACATACAATAAAGAACAATATTCGACTGGTCATCTATAGTCAATACTTAATACATGGTGCAGTTGTCTACTTTTAACTTCAGTTTGGTTACAGACCAACAAATTTTGATTAACCCCATTCCTGATTTGGCTTCTATCTGCATTACTTCCCCTAGTACATCATTCACCAGTTCTTTTTACAACAACAGAGTGGCCCACTATTTACAATTCTACTAATTATCAAGTCAACTGCTATAAGTTTGTACAAATGAAAAAATAATAGTGGTCAGTTTGCCCACATACACCATTCATAAAACTAAAATGAATCAGGAGCCCATTATCCTTTACATAGATTCGTATACATGAATCTCTCCAATCAACTAATTTGATGCTGATGGAAGCGGAATCACATGTAGATCAACCGAGTAACTTAAAATTCATTGGTGTCTTTAATACAAGCCGTAACATCTCAATTCTCTGCCTGCCCTTACTACAGCAGCGCATTTCAACGTAGTGCCCAAACTATTGCAAGCCCTGCTGTCCGTTAGGAGTCTGGATCAGCGACACAGGTACAGCCTGACCCACTGCCGACTGGGGCGAGACGGGAAGCGTGACCACCTGCGGCTGTACAGCACTGAGAATGTGAAACCCGTCTGTGGCAAACAAACTCTCAGTGTTCAGCGGCGTTGCTTGCGACGCAGTCAGGTTGCCTTGCAACGCAGCCGTTGTCAAGGTATTGGACGTTGCCATGGTGATAGTTACATTAGGCGGTGTCTCTTGGGATTCAGCTTGCTGCACAAGCTGTTGCTGGGGTTGGGTTGTCTGTTGAGCAACCTGTGGTGCTTGTTGCTGTTGTTGTGGTGGCGGTTGTGTTTGCGGAGCCTGCTGCTGCTGTTGCACCTGTTGTTGTTGCTGTTGCTGTTGCTGAGAGGCCGGTTGTTGCAGAGGTTGTGGTTGCAATTGATGGACAACCTACAACAGAACCGGTCAGGTGTTAAAACTAAAAGTCGCCTAGCAAGCTTACGTTCAGCTCACTGATCTCTACTGGTTGATTTGATGGGTAGCAAACTGAACTCTTATCTGAATTTGAACCCTTTGCAAGGTCACTGTGCTGTGTTCTTGGGCAAAGCACCGAAATCTCACAATGTCTCTCTCCACCCTTAAGTTTGAATGGGTACAGCAAACTGTCATGGACTTTTCAAGGAATTCTGAGGGGGGAGGGGGAAAGGTACCGTGCGATGGAGTAGCATCCCTCCAAGAGAAGTAACAATACTCATAGTCACGTCAAGTCAAGGAGACCGGAACAAGCTTTAGCGACTATACGATCAGTCAAAGACTACGAGAAGTCACTCTTTTTTAGCAAGTCCATCGCACGAGTCAAAAAAATTTGTGAAAATGAATAAAGTCAGCGCAAAACAAACATAAAAAGTTAAAAGAAGTGACGACCAATGAAGAACCGATAAATTATTATCTTGATCTTACACCAAATTCTCGAACGCTAGAAGGGAGAATTAACAATCACATCAAGGGAGTAAAAGGGTTCGGCTGGAATAAAAAAGTACTCACGTGTGCTTGGAGTTGCTGTGACGCTTGCTGCTGCAGTTGCTGGGTTTGCTGGAGTTGTTGCTGAAGCTGCTGTTGTTGCTGCTGTAACTGGAGCTGTTGCAGTTGCAGTTGTTGAATCTGCTGTTGGTATTGCAACTGTTGCTGTTGCAGCTGTTGTTGAACTTGTACCTGAACCTGAGGCACTTGTATTGGTTGAGCGGTTTGAATCTAAAATCACAGAGTTCGTTAAAAATAAACGATTTGAAAGTGGGGAAGGGAAAAACTGGGACAGCATCTTTCAAATGCTGACCGCAAACTAACCTGTACAGGTGCACCCTGCACTTGGATGGTTCCATTGGTGAATGTGACTGTAGGAAGTAACTGTGTCTGCGCCAGTTGGGAGCTGTTCACAGTGGTCAGTGCCGGAATTCCAGACGACACAGCAGGCTGCATCATGACAGCCGACAGACCGGCTGAACTGACTGCAGCTTGTAGGATGTTGACTTGAGGCAGTGATTGCTGGATCTGTTGCAATGCCACTTGCTGAACAGTGTCGACCTGAGCCTGCTGCGGATCTTTCAGCTTGGTTTTCTTGGGTTTAGGGTTTTCCTGCCACCATTTAATGAGACCATGAGAAGGAGGTTCTCTGTCACCACCTGGGAGGAAGAGAAACAAAGAAACCCATGCGATATAAACAACCTCCTGTCAAAACCAATCTTCTAATTCTGCTTTAAGCTCCTGTGTAAATGGTGAGTTCCTTGCTTCATCCTACGAGTCACTTGTTTTCACGAGTCTAGGCGGTCACTCTCAATATTCTTGTATTTCGTGAGAAGTAACATGGATTTTGGCCAAATTCTCCCTAAAAGCACCATTTTAGAAAAAGATGTCTTGTCACGAGCGTGGAACAAAGAAAAAGTCTGAATTCCCGTCAGGAATCGTACCTCAGACCTTCGGATTTCGCGCTCCGATGCTCTACTACTCAGTCAAAGAGGTTCTATGGTGTAGGGTCTTAACATCTTTTTTATTCTATTTACAAAACATGACGCTATCGAAATTGCTGATCCTAGCAATATGCAGGACGCGTGGCGTATATGAACTTCGTAATGGATACCGAGCTTAAAATTTAATATCTTTCTTATTCTATTTACAGCACCATTTGAGTATGGGTAATTACACGATTTCGATTGCTATTTAGCTTAAATAACCACGAGTAAATTTCAGACTAACAAAATTGCATGAATTAAAAGGGTATTTCGTCTCAAAAATTCACAACTACTTATTTAAGCCAAACTACACGAGAAATCATGTTATTACAGTACCTATCAATAAAAAAGAAGAAAAGTAGAAAATCAAAACAAACCTGTTTCTTTCATTTGTTCATTAACTCTGCCGATTGTGCTGTGACTACATCCTGTCACCCAGGATATGAACTTGTAACAATTAGAGCGCGCACCTCCAGATGGCGTGAGCATCTCTGCAAGAACTCTCCGTGCTTCTGTCTGCCCTGAGATGGCTCGGTCACGCCACTGCTTTAGCAGATTTGTGTGTGTCATTGCAATCTATAAATTTGAGAATTCACAATCATTACTATCTACTTACACATTCATTTGTTTATAACCCTGTATGTTGTATGTATGTATGTATGTATGTATGTAACAACTCTTTCACAGGATTCATTCTCTTTCAAAGCAATGAAAATTCCATAAATTTACGTCATATTATGCAAGACGTTTCCAATGTTTTCCAAAACCAATGATCAAGACATTGTTTACAGAGTGATGTGGAAATAATTTATATATCTAAGATATGGTGCACAGCAGTAAACAGTACATTAAAGAATGTGCACTGACCATAACACAGTTATCCACACAACACCGTTCTTTCGGTAAATCTTCCATGGCCTTCAGTTTACCAAGGGCAGCCTTTCCTTTCTGTCTCACAATACGAAGAGGTTTCTAAGGGTGAGAATAACAAGATTTATAAACCTTCTAATTAGTGCCTCCTCTCCCTTATTCACTCCTTTCAACTGACCTTCCAATAAGCCAAATTCAAAATTGCCCCCCCCTCCCCCTAAAGAAGCTCTTCCCCTTCATCTGTTTTCAAAGATAAGAACAAAAATGACAAGTATCATGGACAAGTATCAAAATCACTTTTTGCCTTGCACATTTATACCATAATCATATCTGTTTTGAGCATTCCAGTCCGTTTCCCGAAAAAGATAATTTTATCAAATTAAATATGGACAGGCAATTGACGGCTTCTTAATCTTCAAAGCCATACATATAGTTGGAAATCTGAATCTCAATGTCTACATTTAACCCTTCAACTCCAATGAGTGACCGCAACAGAATTTCTCCTTACAATATCAATACAATACCAAAGAGACAACTGATGAAAATTTAAAAAAACAATTCAGCACATTATTAGTTGATCCAGTACCAAATTCTCTGAACTAACATTGTGAGAATTGGACTGAAAACCATAAGGAGAATTACTAATGAGATCTTGGGAGTGACAAGGTTATTTGAGGCTGTGTATCATGTGACATACATGTAACAGATATGATAAGGTCCCTATTCTGAGCAGCTTGCAGCTGAAGTGGGCTGGACTGGTTGAAGATTGCAGATAACTAAATCAATAAAGTAAATATATAAAGAGTGTCCCATCACATGCATGACTGTGATTGTACATGGAACTTACTGATGGATCAGTTTTGAGCTTTTTGTGCAGGAAGTTATTGGAATACAGCAACACCCGCTGAGTAGCTCTTTCACATAATTTCAAAGTGTCGCGTAAGTGTTTCCTCTTTTCCAGCACATACTCCTCAAATTCAGTACACTTCCTCTGACCATTACCAAGGCCAATGTTTTTAGATCTGAAAAGTTTCAACAGTCACAAAAGTTTCCAACAAGTTCTTCACAAAATATATCAATGTTACAACCAATGCTCTTGGTTACTGCTACTGACACCAGTAGAGACAGCCACTTTGCAAGTATTTACTAGGATCAACAAGAGTTATTTGATTACTTAAATTGTTACATAATACTGATAATGATGCACTTATAGAGAATTTCCCTAACAATATGCCCCATGCACTTTACAACACAGTGTAGGACACTTTGGCCAGACTGCACCGTACAGTTTAAATTTTTGAAAGGAAATTTTGAGAGTTCTCCTTTGACCTTACTACAGTACTGGGAGCTACAATCCCTTACATGTACATGTATCTTTGAGAGAAATGTGTGAGTTCCTTCACTTCCCCTGCTAACCAGTACAGAGAAGGTGCAGGATACAGAGCCTACTATTGATTGTCCTCATCCAAGAAGACTAGAAAGTCTAACCATTTGCAGATGTCATAGCTGAGCTCACACATTCTTCTATACAATGTACAGTAGTTGAGTCAATAAGTCAAGCAGATGATACCTTTTCGTGGATTTTGCTTGGTTTCTGACTTCTTCAACATCATAGCATTTCTTGTTACTGAGTTCTTTTGCTTTTTTAAGCATTTGAAGCATGTCGTTGGCTCGTTCCCTTGACTCTTGCATGTTGCTTCCTACATAAAAAGTAGCAAGAAACAAGTTAGGGCTCTACACCAGAACACTTTAAGATTTACAAATAACATGTTTGCCTTTCATTACAGGTAACTTAAAGTGTAAAATTTATCCCAGCATGACACATAACTTTGCCTATGATTTTAAATCCAAAAATTAAAGGAAAGTAAAAGAACACTCTTTAACTGTTATTAGCTGTATTATAAAATAAATTTTTCAACTGTGTTTTAACGCAATCCGAGATTGAAGGGGTGTGCTTCAGTGGCTGACTGAGATGGATGAGGGGAACATACGCTGCAGGTGGAGCTGACAGGATTTGGTTGTGTAACAGAACAAATCTGACTTGTCTTGATATCAGACAGACTTACCATCTCCTATGATATAGGACTGTAAACAGCCGCATGCTCTGAATTTAAAATGTGGACAACAAAGCCTTTCAGCTGAAACAAGATTAAAAAAGCAGTCAAAATGAATGCAAGCTGATATCTGATATAAAGCTTCATCAAAGTAAATTTTTATTTTCATTGATTTCTAAACTCTTCAGAAGGCACCACAAGCATGCATACTGTATGTTCCTTAATTTATAATCATCAATGGTCAGCATTAACTGTCCTTGCCAGGTTTCTAAATGATCTTTTAAAACTTATGGTTTAGCACCAATTTCAAAGCTCATGATAAAAAGCATAACTTTAGAAATAAAAGTAAACTTATCATTTGATATTACCATCAGGGTCTCCGAGTCCTTCTACTAGAGACATTGCAAACTGGTTTGCCTCCTCCAGATACTTCTTCTTTTCTTCTGGATCTGGTTCACAGCGTTCTCGTCTCGGCTTTTTAGGACGATCAAAGGACAAACCTAAATTTGATACAAGTAAAAACATTTCTCAGAGATAGATGTACTCTTTCCAGTGTGATATTACAGAAAGATGTCACTGCCTGCCCTTACATTAGTTATCTACTTCAAGTTCTTGAAGTTTCACAGGAAGTAGCATGTTCCACAATTTTCTTGGTAAGAGTTCAAACAAGTTCCTTCTAGCTTCACATTATATTAATTTGTAAAGAGTAACAAAATCATCAAGTGCTTAAATGTTTAAAATCCTTTGTAGTAAACAAATTATCCAGGGTCGTCAAGGTTAGTGGTTGTACAAATGCTACAGAGCAAGTAGGTAGCAACCTTTGCTCCTTGCTGATGCCTGACACAAGTCCACAGTTGCATTTCAATGAAAAAGCCCTGAGTATGAGCACCCTGCACTGACAGCACATTACACACTCTTTATACCCTGTAACTCCCAAGATCTGATTGTAAATTCTTCCCTCTTGTTCCTTATACGTTAATTGCAAGAATTTGGTGTTATATCAAGATACATGTACATGTCACAACCCTGATGCCATAACTTTGATCACCAGCGATATTTTCATAACCTGTTTGCTTGATAATGTAACTAGATACGGAGCACAGTTCCAAGTAAAATCACTTGTGGGAGTTAAAAGGTGACATGTAAGCTCACAAACAATATAGCATTACATCAATGACAAACATATTTTAAACCAAATCAAAGGGTTCAAAGCAACAACCAGTTGCTCCATATTACAATCAAAGATCAACTGTTGGCAACAAGAAGTTTTAATGGTAACCACTAAAGGAGGCAAGGAACTTAAATGTTTTGCTAATGTTCATCATGTACATTGTAAAGAGTCCATCCTCTTGTTTTGTTATGTTTTTAATGCACTTAACAGGTGATGGTTTAGGAGCATGATTTTGTTTCAACAAAGAAACTTCTTTAACCCTTCTTGTTAAAATATTCCCCTCTGAAACCAAATATTTTAGGCCACCAAATTGTTCCATTAATGATATTAAAATAAGAATGTTCAATCATTTCTCACTTGCCACCCAAAAAGATTTCTCTTGGACCCTATATTACTGACACCTACCACAAGCATTGCACAGAGTGAGAGTCTTCCCTGTTGCTGGATCAACCTTATGCCGAGGACTTGGCTGATGGGAAGAAAGCTTTGGTCTGTTGCCTCGTCTTGAAGGGTTGATAACATATGGAGAACCACACAAGTCACACTTGAATGGGATGGCTGGATCACGACGAGGAATACGAAGCAAAGGATTCATGCGTCTCCTCCTCTTCTTCTTTGCTTTAAGTTCATCTTCTGTTGGAGATTGAAATCTGACTGGTTTCCTCTTCCGTTCTCGTTCACTTGCTCTTCTTCTTTCTAGCTCCTCAGATGAACCCTTCAGATGTTGCAAAATATGCATATATTAAATAATATTCATTTTCGAGATTATTTTTCACATTCTAGATATGTTTTCTGAGTGAGGCAAAAGGAATGAACCAAACCTCTTTCTCTCGAGAGATTTAAAATGATGAAACTGCTTTTTTTTCAGGGTGGTAATAAAACAATGATCAAGTTTCTTGTTGGGCAAAATCAAACATGTTCTCTTTGTTTATAACAAAATTACACAATCTAATTTCTAAATTAGCACACCAATACTTCAGGCATAATCTGGACACTGACTTAAATGAAGCTACAGTTAGAATGATGATTACATGTACTTCGATGAACACATCTTATACAGTAGTTCATTTAAAATACTGAATATAGGTATGAGATCGTTATATATGAAGAACTTCTTCTTAAGCACAGACAGCATGTTGTATACAAAAGTAGCATGATGTACCTTACAGTAATGTGGCTAACAAATACACTCACTGGGAGTATATCAAATTCAATTTAAATCATACCTCTACATCTCCCATATCAGAGAGTCTGTTATGGGTTAAATCTAAACTTGGTTCTGGAAGATCTTTGGATTGTGAGGTATCATGCTCCTCTTCTACTGCACTAGCTCTGCTGTTAGGATCCCGATGCCCAAAAATGACACTAAATACTGCATCATCAGCTGCTGAAGTCTCACCAAGAGCACTAGTGGATGGAGCATACAGGTTTGAGGTGGCACTTGAGTTACTAGCCACTATTCTCAGTCTCGAGGCATGGCCAACTGGTGTATCCTGTGAAGGCTGATGACAAGGAGCATCTAACAGGTTATTTGATGAAGAATTTCCTGCAAGAAGTGTTGATACTGCAAGACTTTCACAGGCAGTGCGTACTAATGTTTCTAGTGCACTTGTATTTGGAGCTCTTGATGACTGCAGAACGGACTCATTGTCATCTTCAGACACTGATGAGGCTTTAAATAAAATGAAAGGGAGGCATATCAAATACAGTTTTACAAAATTGATGACAACATACATGTAGCATAAAAAAATCACAGTTAATTTAACTTAAGCTACTGTATTTTGTAAGACAAAAAAGAAAAAAGAACATTTTCAGAAATGAATTTGAAGAAATCAACATTCATGGTTCATGCACATGGAATCAAATGCTATTACAACCTGTACCAGAGTATCAGACTTGAAATTTTTTTCACTTAGCTTTAAACTCTACAAGTATAAAACCCCTCGCTGGAACATCAGGGTCAGGAAAAGGCAAAGATTTTCTCCACATTAACAGAATCTTTTTCCCTTAAACGCACAAGTATGAGTCCAACCTAATTTCTCCTTAAAAATTAACACTCCTGTATCACGCATTAACCCTTTAACTCCCAGATCAAATTTGAAATTCTCCTCACTGTCAACCACAATTCTTATAATGTTAGTTCAGAGAATTTAGTTTTGGATCAATTAATTATCCCCAAAATGATATTTTTCTTTATTCTCATCACTTATCTGGTTGATACTGTATTGAAATTGTAAGGAGAAATTCTGTCTTTGTCACTCGTGGGAGTTAAAGGGTTAAGGTCATGAGAGTAATGAAAACCGTCACTGACTAATGAAGCTCTTGATTGCTAAACAAATTCTCCTTGCTTGCACCTAAAGAAATGTATGAAGAACAGTATGGGGAATATCCATAATGATGTTAAGTTTTATGGGTTACATGTAAGTTAGAAGGTGGGTTCTTGAGACATCAGGAGGCTTCCATTCTGTTTCATCAGCCTCCTGATAAAATAATGCACCTCCTCTTTAGCTGGCAAATCTATGCAACCCAACAATTTGACCTTATTCCAGAAATTATTGAAAATAACTGTTACAAATCCAATCAGGCCTGCTAAAAATGAGGTGCCACAAATACTGCTTGAGCATTCAAACTGGTCTACTTCCAACAATAATACAGCCCTCCATGTGACTCTTGACTTAAAGATTGACCATTCCTGAAAAGAACCTGCTAAGCTAAAGACCTCCATGCTAAGACCTATTAATCCAGATGTTAGCTGCACACTTAATATCATTACTTGGTAAAAGGTTTGTTCTTGCAGAGCAAGACAGTCATGGCTTTATTTTCACAATTTATTTACTTTTAAACAACAATTGCTGCAGCAATACATCTTTCATGGCAAAAAAGACAAATAGCATCTCAAAAAGTGACAAATTAAATCACTCTTCACAAAGCATTGCCTTATGGAATGCATAAGGCCTCTGAGACATACAGTAAGGGGGTATATTGAAGTATCAGCACACATTTAGACAGATAACCAAATAGACAGGCTGCCTGCTCTATCTAGATAAACAGGCCCTCCTGTTCATGCTTAATTTGAATACGACCTAACGTTCCGATTGACAATGTACATATGGAAGAAGATACATATAAATCCTGAAAATGTAAATTGCAAAATGTCTACTGCAGAAATTAATGTCAGGAAAAGTTTTCCTGCGAGGATTAAATTGTTACTCTTCAATCTCGGGTCGAACATAATCTAAGATATTTCAAATATCGATACATGTAAACGATTCGCATTCTGTGCAGCGGCACGGTATTATGACACTTATAATTCAAGTAGAACGATTTTAAGAAGAGACTCTGGCAATGATATCAAAGTGTTCCAACATTCCACGATGAACTGCGAAATTAAAGGAATACTAAACTCGCCGATCTGCGTTCCGCAAATGGAACGCAAGCTCATAAACACGGCACACATGATATACACAAACCATTTTTTTCACGTGATTACTCTGAAGCTGAATTTTTACTTCGCTTCGGATAATCGATCCATCGCAAGACTCCTCTTAAGTTGCAAATGAACAAAAAGGGAATCATTTTTTTTTTGCTAATTCCTACGAGAGATAAGGTTAAATACTCAATTCTCCCATTTCAGAGGTGATAGAAGCTCAACTGAAAGATAAAATTTGAGAGAATCTAGAAACTCATACCAGCTGACTGATTGTTGTCCTTCTCGTTTTCCGTTTCTCCCGGGAAACTGTAAGAGCTACCAGGATCTTGGCCTTCTTCAGCTAAATTATTGCCTTCAAAGTGTTCTTCAGTCACCGATTGAAAGTTTTCGATGCCGCAATTCAGCGTCTTTTCAGCGTCGATTACTTCGGCTGGCCCACCCGAAGCCATCTTCTTTCTCAAAACACATCACCTGCCCTAACTGCGAGTTGCATTCTGGGACTCAGTTCCGAATACAGCCGACAAACCTCGGCCTCTCGGATGTTGGGTGATGTCTTAGTCGGAATAAATTCGTTGCATCCGAGTAGTCTCCGACTCCAATACTTAAACATGACCTGTTAGAAGTATGCCTCTCGTTCATGTTAGAGTTCAAAACACCCATTGAATTCGAAGTTTGTCGACCTCCACTTACCCCACTGTGATTTGTAACTTCGAATATTTCCTTAAGTTGCTATATCCGTCCAACGTGAGGGAGAAAAGTCTTGATATGCAGGCCGCTCCTTTTTCCCCTGTAACAGACATAAAAATTGTCTCTCAGAAGGAACGCTATCCACCCGGTTACTTCATGGTAAGATAACTTTTAAAAGGAATACACTGTCTTTGTATCAAACTTTATGATATGAACCTTTGAGGCGAGCCAGAAAAGCTGTCTGGTAATCATATCTACGTTTTCAAGTATTTCGATTTTTGTCTTGGTAAATATTAATGAATTAGTTATGAATTTTATTCTAAAATATATATTTTGAATTTTTTATCTCAACTTTGTTTTGGTTCTCATGAGAGTACAATCATTTCCAACTAATGTAATTTTCTAGCATGGTACAAAGACAGGTGATAGTCCTTGCAGTCTTTATGGCACAAAATTGTGTTGTGATTGCTGTACCTGATATTGAAAGCAAGTCCACAAGCTGCATGATTAGTTTCTAAGAGAAGGTTTCCAGTTACAAGCCCTATCTACAAAGGAGAATCACTCTAACGAACTCATAAGAATTTTGATTTTGTTTTAGAAATTTCTCATCATCAAACCTGTTTACTAAAACTTGTATTTTGCATACAACTTAAATAATGTTGATCACACTCCTCAAAATGTCAAGATTGCATTTAGAACAGTACAATTTCTCTGTTTACCAAACTAGGGCCCGTTTTTTCAAAATTCCTGGTAACTTTCCAGAGGATAGAATTAGCCACCCATTCAATAGTCAGGGCTCGACCATAAAATCCGCATTTCTTAGGCTTCATTCATAACTGGCAATTTAAACTTTTTATCTCCATGTCCCACACTTTTTTTTTAAATAGTGGTAGCTTCAATTCATGTTAATCTTGTTTATTAAAATTAATTAGAGTGAGATTATTTTATTAAACTATTGCTGTATATAACTGTTTGCAAATATTACAATGTGGTTACTTTTATGCTTCCACTCATTTTCTTTCGTATAATTTTACTTCTTCACTCAATAAGCTTACAAAGACTGTTCAAGGTAACGATGGGCAGTTATTTGACAGCACATGGAGACATAAAGGGAAACGTTATCTTTGCTTTGCAAGACAGGTAACCAGCTTATGAAGAAAGAAAGTAAACTTACCCTATACAAAGTTTATCAAAATTTGTGATGGTTAAAAATTTAAACAGTAGTCTTTCTCTTAGATGGTTGAGTCAGCTTTAAAACATAGCATATGATAGCCAATGCATATAAATAATGGTAATTGAACTGAGTGGAGTGCAGTTTGGACTGAAATCATACAGGTGATTTCAAAATCAAACAAGCCTGCAGTGCGAGTTCGATTTGAAATCACAAGTATGATTTCAGACCAAAATTGCACAACACAAGGTTTAATTACCACAATAACATCCATTTTGAAATCACCCAAATACAGGACTTGGTCAGTTCAAATATTTTATTGATGCAGTACTGAGCTGGTTTGAAATTAAATTCATCCATTTTTTGGGGGAAAAATATGAGTTTGGAAAACAAAAGTTGCCACATGATACTCTTTGTCTTTCATTTTCCTGCAATTTGATTGGTTACTTTAAACAAGCCTTGAAATCTGATTGGTTGTTTTGTTTTTAGTGTGGCCTGCTCATTGGCTGGGAAAAAGATGTGACTTAAAGCAAAAAATGTTGCAATTCATGAATAAATTGCACCAGCTGGAGCCAATCAGATTACAGGGACCACCAGTGATTTCAAAATGGGTGTAATAAAGAAAGAAATTGTGCAGAATTTCTTGAGGTTTATCACACAACAGGCTGCATCAGATTGAATTGTGTTTCAAATTTTGCAATGAAATCATCAAAACTATGTATAATAACCAAGTATACCAGGCTTGGGAAATCTCTTTCATTAATCAAATGTAAAAATAATTTTATACTGACTACATGTATAATCAATTTTTCTTAGGGAGGACAGAATGTGATTGAAGACTTAACAGTTATTGGTGAGGATGATCGTGTGCCAGCAGGATTTACAGCACTCACAAAAGCTCATGATGATGGTATGTGCAGCCATTGATCTTTGGCAAATTTCTGAAGTACTTTATTATTCTACTTCAAGGCAAGGTTGTTCTTTAACATGGTTATCTAGGCATAAGACATGAGAAACAGTACTCTCCAACACATTTGTTGGGACGCCCTTTGCCTATCCCGCCTCTCTCGATGTTGATCCACAAGATGGCATAGAAACATCGGCAATAGGCCATTTTCAGTACAGTTTTGTACTTAGTTGCCAAGCCTTTGATTTGGAGTGAGACCTAAGATGACCTTGTCATGAAAGAGACCAATATCTATTTAGAATGATAACAAAGTAATTTACATCTGAAAAGCAGCAAAGTTTATATCATAACAAGGTCATCCTTAGCTTTACCCCTCTTCAAAGGCTTGGCACCCAGCCACACAACTGTAAAATGGACTATTAACAACATTGGAAGGAGGAGAGGGGCATAGGAATTATCATAGACGTTGTTCTGAAGATGTGTGTCTGAACTAATTGTGTCTAGGAGTGAAGCTCTGATTTTTTTTCCTACACATGCACTGGTTTTGTGTTCCTTAAGGACTTTTCCTTCTTTGCTGTGTTTTTGCAATTATTGTACAGTTCAATGAACAGTTTAACTGCAATAGATAGCAGCGACAGCTTGAGTTTCTACATATCGGTATTTATTTTATTATTGCACTGTATTTTAAATTACAAGATTTTAATAAGCAGCAAATATGTGGCTTTAAGTGGCAAAAAATTTGATTGTTAAATAGTATGACTGTGCTGCTTATAATTAATGTCCGCTGTATATCAATCCTTAACCCTTTAACTCCCAAGATCCTAATGTTAATTCTCCCCTGAAGCTGCTACACATGTCCTTGCAAATCAGGTACAAGAATTTGTTGTTTGATGACTTTTACCTGATAAGTTTGAATATTCTCATTACCTGGTTGCTGGATATATGTATAGATATTTTAGGGAGAAGTTTCATGTTAATCACTTCTGGGAGTTAAAGGGTTGACCCTTTAACTCCCAGACAGCATTAACTCTGACCAAGACAGAATTTCTCCTTTCAAAATCAATACAATATCAAGAAGAGATGTGATAAGAATAAAGAGAAATATCAGTTGGGCAATTGTTAATTGATCCAATACCAAATTCTCCAGACTAACATCATAAGAACTGTATGGCAGACAGTAAGGAGTATTACTTAATATGAGATCTGGGAGTGAAAGGGTTAAAGATCGCAAGTCAGTCTCTGCTTTTGTGATTGCCAAAAGTAATGAATTAAATACTTTTTATGTACTTGTATGAGTCTTTCTCAACACTTCCCTATATCTACACAATATTATGTGGACAAGGGATGAGAATAAAGAAAAATATCGATTATGAGATTACTAATTGATCCGATATTGAATTCTCTAAACTAACATAAAGAGAATCATTTGGCAGACATTAAGGAGAAGTACTAATGAGATCTTGGGAGTTAAAAGGTTAATATCTTAAAGATCTTTGTATATTATACAGTCATGTAACTTCTCTCTTTCTTCCAGATGACAAAGCTCTGCGGAAACATTTTCTCTGTTTCAAAATCAAGGCAAGCCAGACAGCTGTCAGTGCAGTCTTTGATATTGTGTTAATTAACAGAAACAAAGGAGAAACAGCCCCTCCTGGATACAAATTAATTACGTAAGTATCTCTACATCAGTGCCTTGCTTTTCCAGGACTTAAATATGGAGAATGTGCCTGCTGAGTTGAGGTTGTAAAGATTTAAAGTGTAATTTCAGGGAGTTGTTATGAATGGATACACCTAGTGACAGTAGAGCTGCTGAGTAGAGCTGCTGTGTTATATACTGTACAGCTATTTGCATTAAGGTTGTCAGAAACAGGGGGAGTGTATGCAACATCCCCAAAAGTATTGTGGGTAGTTCTCAGGTCTGATGAATTCATTTTGTTCCCAAGACTGATTTTAAATTCTAAACTTGATGAAAAATGAAAAAAGAACAGAGTTACCCCAATAAATGACAGAAATGATGTAAACTTAATATGAGCAAATTCAAAGTGACCTAACAAAAAATTGTTTACAACATAATATTCTATGATTTTGTTCCTCTTGTATCCAAGTGCATATGGGTGTTTATCCTCTATTTATCAGTCCTTTTGTCCATATTTACTTGTTTCACTTATTAAAATTCATTAATTAACCTTTGAAATTGTCATGTGCTCTTTTTCCTTTTTTCTTACAACCTTTCTGCAAACAGCTGCATGGCAGAATCCTGATTGATGGAACCTTAATTGCTCAAAGTTCCAACTAAACCTGGCATCTGTTGCTCCGTCCAACACTGTCAAATTTTTCACCCAGCGATATTCTGAATCCTCCAGTTAATCAAGCTAGTTTCCAATAACATGGTGGCAAAACTGGCCAATAAGTGTCCATACACCAGAATTTCAACCCTAACCCTTTAAACCCTTGAGAGTGACTAATATCTAATTTCTCCCTACAATATCACACCAGACTCACTCATTAGGGTCACAAGAATGAGGGAAATGAATTCAGCAACTTAAGAAGCTCTTGATTTTTAAACAAATTCTTCTTGTCAGCACCCTAGGTAATGTGTAGAGAGAACATGCATGATGTTATCAGAGCAAAAGGGTTAATGACCAACAATTCCTCTATTGACTGATGTATGCTCTGGGTGCTGAGGTACCTTTGACTTTGACCAATATCAGTCATTTTTAGGACTATTCTATACCTCTGATGATCCAGTTTCATGGTCAAGTGTTGTTGAGGAATGTATATGTGTGTTTTTTTTCCAGGAATGAGGTAAACAACTTGTCAGTTTGTTTCAAAGCAGCTCCAATGATGAGAGAACCACCAGGACCACCTTCAGCTCATCAGAATCCATATAGTGTACCTCCTCAAAATCAGTGGTTAGTTTCCTTTACATAAAAGCTAAAATGAAATTAAAAAATATTAAACAGTTGGTATCCATAATTTAACATCAAAATTAGTTGGTGAATATCATATGCAACCAGCTGAGCTTTTGTGCAAAAACAAGCTATGTTTGACCTAATAAAAGCAGTTATTCATTTAACCCATTAAATGACCAGCGCCTAATTTCTCCTTACAGTAAAACTGCTGAATCATTCATTAAAATCATGAGAATATAGGAAATGATCGCCAACCTAAGATGCTTTGATTGTTAAACAAATTCTCCTTTTTTCCATCAAAGGAAATGTATAGAGAAGAGTAAAGAGAATATGGATACTGATCTCAGGGTGTAAAGGGTTAGCTTAGGCTCAGATCATACAAGCCATCTAGCAAACACAAGAAGTAATGTGCCTGAAAAAGTATCAATGGCACATGCCAGTAATGATTGGACTATTATGTTTAGGAATATGGATGTTGTATGCTTTCTAAAAAAATCTATTTTTGAAACTTACAACTAATACCAGGGGCAGATCTTGGGGAAGGGTAGAGAGGGTGCACAACCCCACCCCTTTGAGATGATCTCCAGCCTTCTAATGTAACTTCATGGTTATGCAAAATCTACTGTACTGTTTGCTATGTATTCTTAGTAATTCACATTATGTTACTGCCCTTCTTCTTTGTTCACTTTAAAATGTTTCTTATTGTATCATGTGTCAGTTACTTCATTCCTTTGTGGTGCACCACTCCTAAGAACACCCTGGATCCACCTTGGCATACACAAAAATATCCATTAGCTAAGCACAAAGAAAATAAACTCATTCTGTGCCAGACGTTTACAGTGTCTTTACCTTTCCATAGGTATGGTCAGGCTCCAGTCCCAAGTCCCCAGCAGCACCAGCTAGGTTATCAAGCGCTTCCTGCAGTGTCAGCTAAACCTGGAGCAAGTTCCGGTGAGTATAACCTTGTCTGTAGCAACCAATGTGATAGGATACTTGGAGAAGAGGAAAATTTTACAACAGAATAAAACCTTAAACTTCGGTTTCTTGTGGTAGAAGAACGCTAGAAGGGAATGGATGAAGTGAAGGGAAAGAGCACAATGGAAAGGAAATTATTGCGGCTGATTTGTATTGACTTCCTCACCATAAGTAACCATGATCTTTGAATGAACCACCTAGAGATGAAATGAATATTAAACAACTTCCATCTCTGGAAACTTGCTTCTTAATTAAGAGAGCTCACTTATACAAACTACAGGTGTGAATACATAGATGTTCATGTACACTTACCTGCACCAGAAAATGAACACTTTCTAAGCAGCATGATCTGCGAGCTCAGTGGTGTTCTGTCGCAATATTTATGACAATTGTTCTTTCTTATGTAACACTTTGCTCTTTGTTTTCTTCGCTGAGGTCTTTGAATTATGTCAGCGCTCATCTTTATTATCGCCCAAACATGGGTAAAGACACAGTGCATTTGTTTGCCAGTGATACTCAGTTTTTTTTTCTTATTCTTGATAGCAATTGAAGGCCTTCCGTTTGAGGTCAATTCCAAGTTTGAGATGCTGTGGAAAAAGTCAGGGGTAGGTTAAAGTCGTCTACCACAGCGGTGCTCATAATGTAGGACATGCGCAAAGGAACCAATTTTGGCCGGCAGTGCGTTAATGTGCTGCTTAAAATTTCAAAGGAAAACTTAAGAAACGACCGCTGACACACAAGATATGTGAAAAAAGAAATGTTAATTCGTTCATAAGACTCTGTGAAAGCAAACGAAAAAAAAAAAAAAAAGGAAAATGGATTATTTTCGAACACAAAGTTTGTTTACGTATGGATTTCTTTCTGGTTACCATTGTGTTTTGAGCTTTTTGGAAAAAGTCAAACGATTTTCAAACACCGCGACTTACTCGCTCGTGCAGTTGTTTATAACTCTCTTGTAAGACAACTTGATTCTAACATCCTGAAAGCACGCCGCCTAGTCACCACAGCGTTTGTACATTCGCCTACGTCTGACGGCTGTGCTAAGTAGACCTTACAGCTGTAAGCGTTGCAGTGTGATCTTAATGAACAACATAGAATCGTTTTTGCTCGAATGTAGGTTTGCGTCGACTTGTCTTAAATTCGAATATTCTTGCATGAGCGAAAACGCAAGGATTTAAAGTTAGAAATAGGAATGAGAAAATGAACGGGGTGGTTCAGTGGTTGGGCGTCTTTATTTTGAGAAAATTATGATATTAAGGGGTGAAGATCATTTGTTATCCAATATTTAACAGAGAACAGAGAAGATATTCAACATGCTCTCTTTAACGAAGGTGTTATATCTTTTCTTCAGCCTGTGATTCCAGCTATGCAAAGCTTATCTGTCAGTGACATAGACGTAAAGGTAAGTGGTACTTTCCGTTGAAGCCGGCTCCAAACCTGCGGGCTTGCAGCGGTAATGAGAGACTGCTCCCAGGCTTACAAGGCTCGATTGCAGTCTTTTTTATTGTTCCCATGAAGCTTAGATTCCTCGAGAATGCCTCTTGAGGGATCAACTTCGGAACCAGCTTATTACGGGAACTAAGAATTTCAGCTCGGTCTTCTTATGCCAAGTTATAAATCGGGATATATTTGTTAGTTCATCCTATTAGCCATTAGGCAATGTCTTGAAATTTTCTAAATTTGCATGGCCTAGGCTGGTTAAAAGTGACATGTATTTTGGTCGAAATTTCGTTTCGCGTTTGTTTTTTCTCTTCCAGTATAACTATGACTTCAGCAAAGAGCAAGCTGTTACATCAAGATGAGAGAAACAAGCTGTCTGAGTCAGTCAGATGAATGGTTCGTCTTGCTGTGTCATGCAGCCAATTCCAATCTCTCAAAGCATAGTTACAACTCCGGCGGCAGCAATCACAAATTATATGCGACTGACCATTACAGCTTTGGAAGAGAACTTAAGATACAAAAACATTCCGAGTTATGTCTCCCTAAGTTTTCTAAATGAACTGTCCAATATAATTTACTCTGTCAACTTCACTCTGCTGCCATTCTCTTCTTCATTTTTCCACATTATTTTGCTCCAGGCAGTTTTTCTTGTCAAATTCCCTCGTCCATGTTATGTATTGAGCCGAGAGACTTGTTACGTCCGGAAAACCTTTCCACAAAACTGAGATACGTAAAGGCAGTGCTTGAAGGACGCTTTTGGTGTCCATTGAACTGTGGAACAAAATGAATGAAACTGGAATAAACTAAGACATGAAAAAGTAAACCCAAGGTCTTAATGATATTTTGTGCATTCTTGATGTTTTGTGGTAAACAAAAGATATCATGGGCAGAACAATAGCTCTACTCGAGTGTTTTAAAACTTCGTAAATGTCTTAGCCGTCCTCTGAAAGACAACAACTTGAAATTACCAAAATTTGCGTGGTGTTAGAACCGAAACCCTGACGGCAAGTCATTTAAGTTCCCATTTGGAACTAAACGTTGCTCACGTGCGTGAAGCTGTGGTTGAGGTGTGGCGCTGTAAGAGAAGGTACACGCATACAGCTATTCGCAAAAAATTCTAACCGTTAATATAGATTCATTTTTTAATCAACGTCTTCCTCGGCGTTGAGGGCCTGACCGCCAAAGATCTCTTCTTTTAATGTGACAAACGTACAAAACGAAATTACGAGGACATCTAAAACAATATGTTCAACAACAAAGGAAATGCCTAAAGCTGGTTTTTTTTTATTACCTAGTTGGCAAGAGATAATTGATTCTCTTGTGTTGTCAGCTAATCCTTAATGGACAAAACATTGGCGCCGTTTTAGTCAACTCGGACTCTTTGGATTAAAGACTCTAAATTCTGAAAATACCGGCCGGATTCAAGATCGGTCATATTCAGATGTATTCAGGTGGTTTAATTAGTTCAGGTCACTATGCATTTATGCTAATCTATGTTAAATAAAGGATTGTCATTAGAACAGGTCGCTTTCCTTTGAACCCACCGAGGATTGATGTGGGTCAAAGTAATAAAATGGTTAGTTTTGGGCGCAACTAAACCAACAACGGAATTAAAATCTGACTTCATGATACTTAGAGTTATTTGATTTGAAAGTATGGAGTTAAACAGAAATCTTTACTAGAGGGAAAATTTCCCTCTAACCAGGTGTATACAAAACAATGGCGAAACAAATAAATTACTTGCTGGATTGATGTTTTGTTCTAGAAATGGTATAGGGTTTTACGTAAATCTTTCCAAGGGCTGCCACCCTTTTTAATTGCCTTGATAATGATCTTATGCAAATAGGTAGTGTTGATTAGTCATTATTTAATATATGCATTTATACTGCTGTGAAAACCGTAAGTTAGATAACTCATTGGGTTAATTACGTCACCTTCGTTAACTAAAGAATATTGCGTTTTATTGTATTGTATTAAATATGGGTTTTGGGTTTAAGCGTGGAGTAAATGCAACTGTGGAAAACATCTCAAATGTTTGCATGAAAAACCCTTAGGGAAGGCCTTAGTAGGCTGTTCCTTTAGAGTGGTGTATGAATGAGCCATTAAAAGGCGCCTATGTTTCACAAAGAGGATGGTCACTTGTAAGATACTTTGATAGATAAGATAAGATAAAATAAGATAATTAAGTAATATTAATAACTTACCTTTTCATTGGCTCTCTAAAGGGTGGAAAAAAGTTCAATGAACTTTCTTATTTACTTCAGCAATAGATAAAGAGATCTATTTTGTCATCGCAATCGACTAGTATTGCTCCAAGGGAGAACATCTATCTGAAGTTTCGAAAAGGTATGAAATCTGATCAAAGTTTATGTGTGATTTTGGGCCACTTTTAACCCCTAACGCGTGAACTCATCACAATTCTCGTAACTGCACAGCATTTGTATCCTATCAGCCGTGCATGAGGGTAAAACAACGCATTAGTTCGGGGATCGACTAAACTCCATGTGAGCAAATATGTAATAGCTTCTTTTCACTAGAGCTTCACTTCCAGAAGGAACAACCCCGCAAGTTTTGAGTCCAGTCCGAACTGATGCAGACTGAAATGCGTTAGGTGTTCATAAGTTAACATTTCAAATACATATTATAAGCCTAGAACCGAGGGTCCAAAATAGACTTTTTCAATCCCGCATTCTGCCGACATTTTTCATTCCATCCCGCCATTCCGCCATTCCACCGTTCCGCCATCCCGCTGCAATGAACATTTTAATCCCGATTCCTCTGGGTTAAACCCAAGTTGCTTTAGTTCACCACCAACTAATGGACAAATTAGCCTTTGCAATATTTATGATGTACTATCACTATGGAAAAAGGAAAAGGCTTAATGCGTATTTAACGCTTAAAAAACGGTTGTTCCTCGGTGTGTTTACGGTCATTTTTAAATGAGACAAAAAAAACCTCCATCATCAGAAGGACCAACAGTAGAGTTTTACTGTCACAATAGTGGATAAAAATTCTTCAGCCGATCGCCTAACACCAGGAGTCATATCTCAAAGATACAACAGACTTCATCAACTTCATGGGAAGAAACAGAGCTTCCGAAAAAAGTGATACTCGTTTCGCTGGACGTTACGGGCTTATACCCGTCCTATCCTCTATCCCGCCTTCGAAACGGAGCATATCCCGGTCTCGCCTTCCTATTTTCATCCCGCATCTCGCCTTTAAAATTTCTCTTATCCCACATCCAGCCTCGATTTTAAGCCTCATCCTACATCCCGCCGAACCTATATTGGAACCTCTAGAACCATGATTCTTTGCCTTCAGTTGCGGCATTCATTTGATAATCACACGCCCTACTTATCCAACGCCCACGAGTAATAGATAATTGTCTAATGCACAATAATCAATTTTCTTGTATCTGCGCCTAGTAGACTCCTTTATTAATACTGGCAGCAAATGAAACCACGACTGTTTTCTGTTTTTTTTTTCTTTCTAATCATTTGATGGAACTTTCCGAATTTCATCATTTTGCCACAATTCAAGACATTTTGTTAAATTAATGCAAATCTATTCAGGTTATCAATATGGACATGCGCGTGACACTTATACTGATAGTCTTGGTTGCCATGACAATGGGACTTCATTTGAGGAGCCGTTTTGGCTTAAAACAGGGTGATGAGGTACGGTGTCATGATGCTATTGATAAATAGTAAATATTTACATGTAATTACTTGTCTGTTGGCTTTTGTTTTATTTTCTCACACATCGACATGAGAGGTACTTATGACACTGCTCTTATTTTAATAGTGCATTGCTGATGTCTCTCATAGATACAAGGTAAAGTTTTCCCGCAAGGGTGGCCCTGGAAGAAGAGAGCTTGCAAAAAATGCTACCGTCGTTTTATTACTACACCCACTGACTGTTGCACTCCGGATCAAACTTGGTAAGTATTACTCGACATTTAAATCATATGAGTTGAGTTGAGGCAGGAAATTTTTACAAATATTTAGGTGTTGAGAAACCTCGCACATACAAAAAAAGTCGCCATTTCAGTTTACCATACGTGTACTAATCAAGCATTAACAGGGATGAGGGTAATATAATTCAGGGAGTAACCGAGCGAGTGATTTCAAACTGTCCAAGCGCGTAGCGCAAGACTTATATGAAACTATGAGCGTGATTGCCCCTGAATTGTCCGACACGAAGTGCGACGGCCACCTGTGCCGATAACAAAATGCGAGAAACTCAGGAATTAAATATTTAATGTAAGGGCACATACCCTGAATACCAGTCAATAGACTAGTTAATTTCTTCCATGTTTGTTTTCAGTGTGAACCTCTCAACCTGCTTGCTTAAAAAGTTTTTCTTTATTTCGATTGGCTGGCATTGGTTAGGTAGTTAAGTTTTATTGGCCAATGACTTTAAATGTTTAATTTTTATTGGCTCGTTAATTGTCTGTTTTGGCCTGCCCGATTCTGTCCAATAACCAGTGTTTGTAATCGGACAGGTAAAATCAGACATTTTGTACTTGAAACAGCCAATTAACCCGCAGATAGGGGCTGTAAGGAACCACTCATATCCGAGCATTTTGTAATTAGCACAATTATATGGAGTATCCGCGCAGTGTAATGAACCCTACCGAGTTCTTTTCAGCTTTTAAATATTTTTTGTAATACCTAATTAGAACTCTACTTTATTTTTAATGATTTACAGTAAATGGGATGGAAAATGTCATTAAACCGAAGTGAGCGCAAATCGAAGAAAGTACAGAGATTTTGTGGAGCTAGTGAAGATATTTAAACGTGCGATTTCATGTTCCATTCAAGTCAGAAACTTTTCGTAACCGGTAGTATTTTTTGTAGAAAATAGAATAATAAGCTCCGCTGATCTTTGAAATAAAATAACTGCCTATTGGCGTTTTTCACGGTTGTTTTGAGTTAAACGAATCGAGCTTTTCTCAGTAAAGAGTACCACCCTGTCCTGGGAGAGTAGAAATACTCCTGGACCCTTCATAGTCCCCCATGATATGGAAAGCAAAATAGGCTCTGGCATGGTAAGCCACACACCTCAGGTTTTCATTGGCGCTGCGACACGAACGGCGAACCCAAGCGTTTCGAGTCGGCGAGCGATGTGAGCACTCAAGAAGTCCTCGAGGGTTCGGTTCTACCGATTCTAAGTACCAAGCTCCTCACAGACCTCTTGCACAAATTGCATGCCCCCGGGGCCAAAGACTGTTGCGTTGCGGGTGAAACGACAGGGTGGTGCATATTAGTACTTGACATTTGAAGCTTATGAGTTGAGTGGGTGCTTGGAAAGTTAGAAAAAGGGTCTATTAGCGAACCTGTTCTGCGAAAAATGGCGTGTAAAAGGATTAAAGGATTGGGCCTTTTTATGAGGGGAATGTCGAATTAGTAGTTCAAAGCAATGTCGAGAATAGTTCACCTTAAAATGCATAAAGGCGCGGTAGCCGAGTTTACCGATGTTATACAGGAGCTGATTGGTTTTACGTTCCTAAAGGCAGATAGCTGAAGGACTATGTTTATTTATTGCGTTTCCTGCATTGGCCTTCGACCTAAAAAACAGCTGAACGTTACCAGCGTTCTAAAACTTGCCACTGATATTCTCTACATCATTGATATTTTACCGTTTTTAAAGAGTTTGGTATTAAAATTTCGGTTTTTTAGAGAAACTTAGGAAGCTATCAACCTGGTTGCATGTTTGACGACATATAAACGTATTCATTCGGCCCTAGCCATCACTAACAGTCTTCAACTGAAGAAAGCAGTCAGTAGAACACATTTCAGCAGGACAATTCTGTTCCACCCGGCGAAAACAAAAGAAGTTAATTGAAAACGCTTTTATCTATGTTCTCCGGATTTTATCGTTCCATTCTCTCTTCTATGAAGCGGGCAGTCAACTTTCAATAACTATCTGCTCTTAAAAGTCCCTGTTGGCGGGTTATTTATTGCCGAATTGAAAGCTGTAAATTGTTTGTAATATTTATGATCAGAAAGGTGCTTTTAACGAAACTTTCTTATCAATTCATTCAAAATATAATGAGGTTTCGGAAAGTTCTCTGTGTCAACAGTTTAAAACAGGTTTAGGACTATATATACTGGAGCGATTGGACTAGAATAGCTCTTTGTACTCTAAAAGATTTATTGATTGTGTTGATTTTATAGCGCAATCTCGACTAAAATTTGGAAGTTTCTCCTCATTTAGAAGTCCCTATTTCAATCAATCTTAGAGACCTATTTTTTTTTATCAATTTATAAATTTTTATCCTCTTAATGCGACAAGAGATCACTCAGACAGTATGTTATTGAAGTTTATTCATAGAATTCTATTCTAAAGAGGTGCTGGCTACAATTAGCTTTCATGGTTATTTTCTGGCTGTTAAATCAGGCAGAGATGCACTGCTCTGGTATCGTGGATTGACACTGTTGTAGATCAATTGACGCACCATCCATGTGGGCCAACGCTGAAAAAAAAATGAAATAAAATGAGATGTCAATAACAAGGATGACGAGGAATATAACAATGATGATGACACTGTCATTGACAGAGAAAGAGGCAGTAAAATAGACAGAGACAGGGACAGTGACAGTGACAGGGACAGGGACAGGGAAAGGGAAAGGGAAAGGGACAGTGACAGTGACAGACAGTGACAGTGAAAGTGAAAGTGAAAGTGAAAGTGACAGTGACAGTGACAGTGACAGTGACAGTGACAGTGACAGGAAAAGTGACAGTGACAGTGACAGTGAAAATGATAGTGACAGTGACGGAGACAGAGACAGAGACAGAGACAGGGACAGTGACAGTTACAGTGACAGTGACGGGGACGGGGACGGGGACGGGGACAGCGACAGTGACAGTAACAGAGACGGGGACAGCGACAGTGAAGGGATGATGGCATGGTATCATCGTTAAATCTTTAACTCAACTGAAAAAGTGAGCTTTTACTAAAATTGTTTCTTATAGGATAATTACCATCTCTTTGGCGGGCAGCAAGTGCGACTTGAAGGTCCAAGAATAGTTGGACAATGTAAACAACCAGGGTCATTCATGGTCTCGATCTATAACGTACATTGTAATCATTACTACCAAAGTGAATAACCAACTGGTTATCCTTCTCGATCAGTCAGATTCTTTACTTCGTATTTATAGAAATCTTCATCAGTAAAGGAAATAGTACACAACGCAGTAGTAGTATCTTAAAGGAAGCTCTCCTGT